CCCAGAGTCCCGAGTCTTGTTTCCCGGCCTAATTTATATTTTTTTTTCGTTGGCCGCTTTTGGCAAAACGCTTTTTATCCCTTTGTCATTTCGGGTTTTTGGAGAGTAGAGAGTAGAAGTGGCAGAAGAAGCGGCGACATAAATTAAACTCAACTAATTGCGTATACGCCGCGTGTGCCTTAAGTGGGCTTTGCCAAGGACAGCGGCAAGGACAACGCTTCGGGGGCTTAGTAGTCAGTCCATGTTGATCCTGCGACAGCATTCGCTTTTTATTATCCCGAAATTTTCGCGTATCCTTCAGGGGATTTGTGGCCATGATTTAGTATAGTGTGCAGCGTCATTAAAATTTAATTAAATGTCCCCCCGAAAAACAGCACATGAAACAGATACAGATAGAGATAGAGATACAGATGCAGGACAAGATACAGGAACAGGACACTGATGACGCCATATAGCCAGCAGCCGTCTCATTATTATTACCATTTCTTGCCAGCGGCATTATTACTACCATTATCATTATGATTATCATGATCATCATCATCAGGGCCAACATACATATCCGCCTGAGCGCAGCGACATCAAATGGAATTCGTTTTGTCTCTGAGCTTGTAATAATTTATAACACGATGAACTTGTTGTTCTGGCCCCGAGTCCCACCCAGACACATAGAAGCCAAGTCCCACAGACAGTCACGCATATGCAAATTAACTTTGCGCCTTCTCTGATATGAGTATACATTCGTTACTATCTTAACGTTGCTGGCAGAGATAGGACCCTGGCACCGTTGTATATGTTTCTGAGATATATCTTAGCATGCCTGGAATTTATTATAAGTTTTGGAAACATGGCAAAGCAGTAGGAGTTATTATAAGAGATACATCTTCTTCATTCCCAGCAAGAATTTTCCATATTTAACATTAACTAAGTCTAAGATTCCTTGCCCAAGCTGTAACTTTTATTTCTCAACATCTCAATCTCAATCTCGCTTCAGCATCTTACTTTCAATTAGGCAACTAACCAAGTCATGATGTTTATCCCTTTGCCATGCCCTATAAACTCCTTGCCCGCAGAAAGAGGAGAGAAAAAAGAGGAAAATCATCATCATGATTGTCATCGTCATCAGCGAAGCATGATAATGATAACAATAACAAACAAGAGCAGCGACAACTCTGGCCAGAAAAGTGGGGTTTACGGGCGCAGGTTGATGGGTTCTGTGTCTGTGGGCGGTAGACGGTGGGCGGTGGGTGGTTGTTGCGATATAAAGATTGTTGCCATATTGCTATCATTTGCACACAATCAGCGTCAACGTCGTCAACGGGATGCGAAATGAGTAGAAGCAGAGGAAGTAGAAAAAAAAAAAGAAGAAAGCGGGACTGAGGTCAAAGGGCAGCGGGTGTCTGATGGTTGGGTAGGTAATGTATGCAGGAGAAGACTGAAAGTGAACGAGGAAGTGGGACCTGGGACCCTTCAAACAGGATGAGTCGAGGATGAGGCGGAGATTGCTCGTCGTTCCTCTATGCTGCCATCCAACGACCAAATTGCAGATAAAGTATAAATAAATTTAAATAAATAGCGTAAAATCAAATTTCCTAAGGGGGAAGCAGGCACGAAAGGAGCCTCGAGTGGCGTGAAAATTTCCATGTGCTGGCGGGCTGCGCTTGCTTGCCACAAAAAACAAAAAACAGAGAGGAGGCACTACGGAATCGACTGGCAAAATAATCATTAGCGAACGGAGTGACTGGAATAGCAAATAGGAAAGTGATTTTCCATTAAGTTACAATATCTATTTTGCTAAAAAGATGTTTTAAATTTGGATTACGACAAGGGCTAATATCAATGATTATTTAACAAATCCAAAACAAGCTTTTAAAGAAGGCCTAAGCTAGGGCAGTTCTGATTTTGCCTCGTGTCACACATTGCCTAACCACATATTTCACGCGGTCTATGACCGCGACCTTGACTATGAGCCTAACACCAACCACAACCCACTCAGCCACCCCCCACCAACCCCTTTGTCTAACATTTGCCTATAATTGCCTATTAGTTTTCATTTGTTGATTTGGTTTTGCCTGCACGTGACATTAGGTTCTAGTTCTGATTTTCGGTTTCGCCTGTGATATTGATATTGCTTTGCTTTGCTTTTCGGGTTCTTTTATCGATTTGGATGTATGTATATGTATGTTTATATATATAGATATAAGCTAATGGTCATGGTATGGCCAGGCGATCAATGAGGGATAATTGAGGCCCTGCATTAGGGGTGTCTGTACTCAGAGCTAGAGGGTCAGACGGTTCAAAGGGGCTGAGATTTGGTTAAAGAAAAAAGGGGAAAACATGAAAAGGCCAACAGGCTGATTGTCATTGAAGAACCAGACTTGGGCTAATTGGCCAAAGTTAAGTGTTAATCAATTTGATTTTATACAATCTCTAATCTCTGCTTTAAAAATTTTAAAAAATATTTCTTAATATTTTCATTTCAAAAGTCCCTTGCCAACTCTTTGACAGCTTTTGGCTAGCAAAGTCAGAGAGCGTTGGCCAAAATGAAGCATTATTCTTTGGATTGTTCGGAATTTTGTTTTATGTCGGTCAGGCCCTCGTCTGTCTCCCCTCCCTGCACACCCTCCCTTCATCCATTCATTTCAATTTCGTTTCAATTCTTTCATGACGGCCATTCTGAATTTTTTGCTATTTTTTTGCTTTTCTGACTTGCCACAGTTCGTTCAACTTGGCGACGACGACGACGACAGTGCCACAAATATTTTTCATTGGGGCATTTGCATTTTTTAGGGGGCATTGTTATGGGGTCATCTTCAGCTCCCTCTAAACCGACATTAATTTCCCGATGAGAGCAATGATTGGGAAAAGTGCATTACTCGGAAATTGGAAAAGAAATCATCGGAATCATTATTCATCGGCCGCCAATCTGCAGCGTGCCAAATTGGCTGGCTGAAGATGAAAGTGAGCTGCCAAAAAACACAACAAATCAGTATTTTATGACGCCTGGCAAGGGGATACAACAAATAGTTACACTGAGAGAAAAAAAAGACAAAATAAATATCTTAAACTATGATTTTCAATATTAAAACTTAAAAGTTTTCTTCTCTGCTCTGTGAAAACAAAAAGCAAATAAGCTAGTGAAGAAGAAAAGGCGGACAAGGCCTCGAAGAGCTTCCCTTGGCACCTCCCCCAGCAACAGTTTCCCCAGCCCCCCCCCCTTGCATCCATCCATCCATCCAAGTACTTGCAAATTTTTCATTTCTGTCTGCCTTTTGTCTGTTTGTTGCCTTTTTTTGTGGTCGTGGGGCGTGGAGGGGGCCTTTGTTATGTGTTAGTTGGCAACTGATTAATTGGCTCGCCTCTCAGTGCCACAACGCACTCCTCCTCCCTGCTGACCCTGCCCCCGATTTTGATACGGATCGAGAGTGCCTGCTCCGCATTATGCCATTTTGTTCAAACAAAATTTAATTCGCTAAAAATAGTTGGTCGAACTCTCGACGTTGAAAATTATGCCGCCTCTAATTGGCATGGGGAAAAGTGAAAAATTGAAAAACTGAAAACCAGAAAACCTGAAAATTCGCTAAGCGGCTAAATGCTTGCGGTGGCAATCCCAGCACGTTTGCCATTTAAAGAGGACTGTTTAAGATTTCACTTGATGGCCTGTCGCTCGCAAATGGTTCAATTTTTATCAAGAGTTTCTCTTAAAGGAGCGCTAGTAGCTAGTATAGTGACCTAGTCATAAAAATCCACCACAAATATTGCGATTTTTATCAAACGTCGAAATCTTGAAATTTTGTACTTAAAGTGTCAGAATGTTTCCCAAAACTCAGGCAAAAATAGGCCAAAAACAGATTGTGTTACATCGATGAACTCGTTATTAAAATTCCAACAAAACTGCATTCACACCTTAAAATGAAAAAAATTATGCCATTTTTAGTAAATTTTGATGATGTTACCCCTTATCGAAAATGGGAAATCTTCTTTATCACGATTTCCCCTCAAAATGGCAATATTATGGTATAGGGCCCTAAAGTTTTGCTAGTTAACTGCCTAAAACAGTGATTGCTTTAACCATGCTGCTTGTGTTGACAAAGTTAGAGCTAAGAAACGGCAACAAAGCCGGGCTCTCTGCTGTCAACCGACGTATACGTGATTTTAAGCACAAAACAATCAGTTTTCTTGCCATAGCACAGCCAAAAATGGTCCAAATGAGGAATGTAATACCTCGTATGGCTCGTAACTTGATTGCCATGATTCCCAATTGGTTTGCATTCAAATCTGGAAAACTTCAATTTTGGCCCATTTTTGAAAATTTTGATGATGGTACCCCTTATCAAAAATGCCAAATTTGGGCCAAAATTGACTTTCACAAAATCGAAAAACGAGTGATAGGGGTGGTTAGTATTGGTCATTAGCAGCACAAAACAGTCGTTCTTTTGGCTGTGCGCCTTGTTTTGACCGAACTAGAGCTAAAAATCCGGAAATAATATTGCAAATTTCTGTTGAAAATCGGTTTCCTGATTTTTCAGCCCTTAAAACAGAGCTCGTATCGAAAAATCAGAACAACAACGCAAAAAGTAAGTATAGGGGTATTAAGTTTCGGTAGTAAGCTGCATAAAACAGTCATAGCCTTAGCCATGCGGCTTGTTTTGACAAAGTTATAGGTATAAAACCAATAAAAAATATTCAATTTTCTCTCAGAAATCAAAATCCTGATTTTTGCTCTATAATATTCAGAATTCTCCTCACAACTAAGTCAAAAGTGGTCCGAATATAGAATGTCATACATCGATGAACTCGTAATTAAAATGCCAACAAAACTGCATTCACAGTTTAAAAAGTGAAATTTTAACCATTTTTTGCAAGAATTTATGATGTTGGGTCTTATTTTGACAAAGTTAAAGCTGAAAAGCTGCTAATTAGTTTAAAAAATGTCTTCATTTTGTTTGATTTTCATTTAGAATTTTATTCATATATTAAGGCTTACGAGCTATCACAAAGTTGGCTATTTAATAAGGGAATATCATATATCTCAGAACTTAAACCTTTACCAATCGCTCACGTTGCTGGGCGAAATGGAATCCGCCGTAGTACTCCTCCAGATCGCGGAGATCTCGCTGAAACTGGGCATCGATCTTGGCTTGAATGGCCTTCTGGCGGGCAGAAGGTCGTCGGACTAGTGTGTGGTTCCTCAGGCTCAAACGGCGGCGTATTTTCTGTCCTCCCACCATATCGTAGAGTGGAGATTCCGGGACAGGAGACTCATCCTGGATTAGGCATCGCTTGGGATCCGTATGGGAGGGGAAACCCCTTGGTGTGATCTGTCCTGTAAATGCCTCACTGATGTCATGGAGTCGCTGCTGCTTCTGGGCCAAGTGCTCGAAACTGCACTTCCATTGGGCATAACGACGATCGGCCAAGGTAGATGCGGTCTTCTTGTTGGGTGTCAGCAGAGTTCCGCAGGATCCGAAGGACGAGCACCGGGGCATGGGTCGCAGGATCTGCTTGGAACGTTTGCTCAAACGCTTTTGTTTCCTCGCCGAGATGCTCAATTTGCGGATCAGGATTTTGTGAATTTTGCTTACAAAACCGGGTAGTGGAGTGCAGAAAATGCCAGGATTTCCCGGACTGGTGGAGTCCTCAACGCTCTTCACCTTCTCAGCGGAATGTGTGCTGCCCATATTTGATTTGATATTTTGGATTTCTGTAGAGCTTGAATATGATTTTTCAGATTCGATTTGTGCACTTTCAAAACTTGTTTCGAAAACCGATGTTAACACTGTAACTGCTGTTGGACAACTGATGCTGATTGCCACAGGTCGCCCGGGATATATACCCAAAGAAGCAGATAGCAGTAGGTCAAGGAGTCTTAGGTACCTGGGATCCCTAATAGGGATCAGGGTCTTATTCGCTACCTTCGCGGCAGGACCTTCATAAAACCCTGACCCCTAACCCTGACCATAATCCCCTTGTTTTGCATAGTTTTATGAGGCAACATTTGGCCACGAATTCGGGATTTTGCAAGAGTCGCGTTTATTTTTTATTGCCCCTGCAATCCTTGCACGTGCAAGGGGCTTTAGGGTTGAGGTCTTGCCCACAGGCAGCGGGCATTTAATGGCCTGTCATTTGCTGTCGCCTGCTGCTTTCTGGCCAGGCTATATCGAACATCCTCGAGACATAATTGCCTGCTATAAGGCGGTGGTTAGTGGGTGGCTGCAGTTCGGCGTGGAGAAGAATCTGGGGGCGAGGGAATAGCCACTTAAGACATGGCTGTCAACGCAGGGGGAAGGTCTTAATGAATTGCAGCAAAGCCAGGGGCGAAGCATAAGGCACTGAGAGAAAAGAATGACTGAAAACTAAGTCAAAGCTAACACAAATTTAAGACAGCTCTGAGTAGGTCCTCCCAATGACTTGATTTCTGGGAATTTCAATGAGATTTCTTCCTGTGTAGTCGGGGAGGGAGACATGTCTGTCTGGTGGAAATCAGGAAAGGGCGTTGGAATAGGTGATGGGATGGCAGAGGGTCGAGGTTCGTGGCTAGGGGTCCATGGTCCATGGTTAAGCATCCTGGCAGAACGCTCGCTTTGTATGTCAATCAGCCTTTGCATGTCAGTAGTGCCTTCATCAATTCTCCCTCCCTCTCTCTCTTTCTTCCTCTGTTGTGTGTGTGTTTGGATGGGGTGTAGGCGTGTGTGCGTGCCTGCGAGTGTATAAGTAATTGCGTGGGCGAGGACATAAGCTGCTTTGCCATCATTATAAGTCGACATATGTACAGTGAGCACTGCGAAAAGGCGAGCAGGAGTACAAATTAAGCCCAATTAAATGCAAAAATACACTGTGAGAAAACCAGAGAAAAGCAAAGACAACTGCTGTTCCTTTCAACACACATTTTTCTCACTGTGCATAAAATCCCTTGCCATAACCCTGAGCACCATACTCGTATTTCCCATTAATTAGGTTTGTTGTGGAAACCCCCATCTGACCCTGAAAACCCGCTCAGCTTCCACTTATTTCGATGCATCCTCTAATTGTATTAAAATCGAAACACACAAAATACCTTTTCTGGTGCTTGCCATTTCCCAGGAAAATGCAAGGCCAAAGGGACGAAGGTCAGTAGAAGTGGGGGCTGCGGCTTGTGGCCCAGTAGTGTCCATTTTCCGCTTTTCCCATGCTTCTGTAGGATGCAAAAGCGATGCAAACCAAAAACTGCAAAATTCATTTGAAAATTCCAGGCCGCAGTAAAATAAAAGGTTTTATTTTTGAGAAACTTTTGGGGAAGTTCGGGTTACCCTACCTTAATTTAGAAATATTTTTTAAATAATTTGCAAAGCTGTTACTTGAATATTTTCACTGCTAAACTGTATATTTAAATAATATTTAATATTAAGCAAATATTTTTCAATTTAAATTCTTAGCAGAGCAGCTGTAAGTTTACCAGGAAACGGGGGGGATGGGAACTGGAATTCCCTATGTCCCCAAAAAGCATTCAAAGAGCATTTCATTGTCAGCTGCAGTTTGGAATGGGCAGTCTCTGGGGGTCAGTTGGACAGATATTTGCGGCTTTTGCAGCTCCAAGAGTCCCCTGACAGGATTCACCTTTCACCCCCAGTGTATCCCAAAACGGATACAAAGTTCCCATCCATTGGATTTCTCTGAGCGTAGGAAGCTTTCCATTTAATTGCAGCCATTTGTTAAATGCCAAATAAAAAGGGAAGAGGAAAACAAATTATTATTGCAAAAGATACATTTGTATCTCGGGGGCAGTCAATATATTTGCATATGTAGCTGTACAAATGCCGCCGCAGTTCGTTTAATTTAACATTTTGTGGCTGGCAATTAATTAGTGCTCTTTCCCCTCTAACCCCCCTTTCGGAAAATTACACATTTTTATAAATATTTCAGGGATTTGCTGTGCTCAGTGTCAATGTCAAAGGCCAGTGACAAATTGAATTTATAGTTTTCAATTAAAGCGGCGACCAATCAGAGTTTACCAACTCCACCCCCCTCTCACCACTTTCCACGACTGCCATGCAATTCAATTCAATTTTTACCTGGCCGCATTTTGAAAGGGCTTTTACGATTTGACCGACACGTCTGCCTATCATAAAACGCAGTAAAAATATGTAAAAAAAAGATGGAAAAAATGACAAACGTTTTGTTTTTGCGTTTTGTTAACCCTTTCGGGGGCATAAAAAATGCATTTGGGAATATTTTTCTAACCCCTTCTATCTTTTCCCATCCGTTGGGCTGTATATTCCCCGTATGCAAATCAACCCTTTCACTTTGGCACTGCACATTCCAAAGGACAAAGGCGTTTTGTCCTGCAAATATTTCCCTCTGTGTCACGCGTAGAGAGGTGTCATCGAATTCCCCCGGGGGGAACAAAGAGGGGGAAAATGTATGCATAGAGCGGTTCGGGCGAAATAGAAAATGCCAATAAAGGTGGCTCCTCCCCGAGCTGACAAAGCGAATTTTGCCAAAGTTTTCCATTCGAAATTGAGATAAAGTAGCATGAATCAAAGTTGAACTTTTTCCAGGTGAAAGTGGGCACAAGTTGTTCGGAGTTTTATCAATGTTTCTCACTTTCTTATTCAGGCAATGCTTAGGCAGGCTATTAAATATCGTAAGTTGCTTGAAAATCAGTCTAAGGATGGAATATTTCCTTGGTTAACTAAGAAATTTCTTAGCATCGCTTGTCTTTAACCCTTTTAGAACTTCCACTACCAATTTAATCGTTGTCCCCACCATCAAAGCTCCTTAACGGACCACAAAATCAATCTCATTCGATCACCCCCATGGCCACCACTGAGTAGATTACAAAGTTTACACAAGCCAAGTGTAAGCCAAAGTTAATAACACTTATATACTCAATCACCATCACCATCACACACACACACACTTTAAGCACAAAACACCACCCAATCAGGCAGTTAACTTTGTCTTCGGTAATTTAGTGGCCCACACAGAAAGCCATTTGGGATGACCACAAATCTCGGCAGAGTGGAAACGCGGAAGAGCCAGCAACAGCAACAAAATATATATATGGAGTCAAAAGGATAAGGGCAAGGACATTATTGTGCGTGTGAGGGTTAAGGACAAATCAGGCATCAATAGCAATCAATCAATTTGCGGGCAAACAAACAAATTGACCAAAAAACCCAACCGAACACAGTCTCTGACAAAAGTTAACACAGCATCTAATGTGATTTTGACACACACTACTCCCTATATGAAAGTCGAGGATGGGAACGTTTTGACAGTCTTTTGTTTACAATTTGTGCTTTGGCCTTCAATTTTCCACTCGATACCATCGGTGCCTTATCAGCTGATCGGAAAAGTCAGCTTCCAAACTAAGATACCCTGCAATTAATGGGGGAGTACTAGTAAAAACGGAGGGAGAGATTATATTCCACGTAAAGTATTCCTATTCCTACCCATTAATGGGTATCCTCGCTGCCTTCCCTTGGCCAAACAACAACATTTCCCTTGCTTTTCATAATTGAGTTTGTTTAAGCACAAAAATAAAAGGGAAACGAGAAATGTTTTTTGTTTGTTTTGGTTGGTTTTCAATTTCAATGGTGGCCAACCCACACTGCCAGCTCCAATCAAGGGAACTATCCATCAGTGAACGATGGCCATGTGTGTCCATTCCCCCAAATCCCCTGGAATCTCCAGTGGAGTTTTGGATGCTGGCAACTGGCACGCATCAAATTCCCTGCTCCTCTAGCCAATCCTCTCCCTTGGTTTTCCTTTCCACAACACACACACATACAAACATACACACGCATATGGGGAAAATCAATATAAAAAAAAAGAAAAGCTGTGTTCCGCAAGTCGAATTTTGTCCTTCCCTTTGTTGGAATATTAGGTTTTATCATTAAAATGAGATTTTCCTTTTGGAGGATGTCTAAATTTCTGCGCTTAAATGTAGGCAATAGAATAGTTACCTGCTAAGAACATTTAAATTTTACCATTGCCTACTTTTGGGTTCATGGCAGAAAAGGTCCCCTAATCCTAAGGGCTTAACAAATGAGCCTTTAAGGTCTTTAAGTTATCGTTAAATTGATATTAAATCAGCGAAGGTTTTTGAAAATCTATTAGGTAATAATATTAGCAAATGCTAACATTAAGAAAGTTACTAGAACCTAGAACGTAAAGTTCTTTGGCCATATTTAATATATATAAATCAAATTAAAAAACACCCTCATATATAGGGTATCCAGGGCATAAAAAGCGGAGCTATGTGACAGCCTCACCGAGTAGGACGGTCCATAAATTCATCAGCGTTTCTAAATGGCTTAAATGTGGCTTAGATGGTCGGTCACAGCTGCTGGCTGGATGGTTCGGCTGGCATTAAAACCGCAAGATGTCCTAATCCCCGCCGATGGATTTACAAGGACTTAACCACGCCCACCACCCACTCTCCACCACCCCCGTCCACCGAATCTCTAATCTGGCCACTTGATCCCTATACTCGTATGTACACCACCATACACCATAGGCCATAGACCAAAGACGAACAGTTTTAGGTATGTGTAGGATATCCGCGCAGATCCGCGGTAATCTTTGGCCAGATTTCACACCGTCGTCAAGCGAGCAAGCACGCGACTTGCTCTGCTAGAGCGAGGGGGGAGGGGTTAAGGGGTCGCTGATTAGGCAAATCTTGACCGGGATTTCGATGCTATGGATTCAATGGACTATAGCTACACGCAACGCTAGCAAATTCTCAATTGTGGCCAGATTGTAATTAGAGCGGATGCCATACTTCTCACCGGCTTAAGGGCTTTAAGATCTAGCCAAATCTGGGCCAAATCGGATCGGTAACGGGCAGTATTGTAGGCCCACGCCGTAAAGGGACCAAACCACTTGAGTTTGCTCCTGTTCAGCCTCGCGCCTTTTGTTTTTCCGGACCACTTTGCTTTGTCCGCCACTCGAGGCTCAAGTGTCGCGTTGGAGTCAGCCAAACACTTGCGGCTGTCAAACGGCAGCAAAGTCCCCTGGCTTCCTACGCACCTCGTCCTCGTATCCGTTGGCCAGGCAGCACGGACGCACGGCGAGAAAAGATTCCAGGAACTACTCTTCAGATTTTCTAATAAACTATATACCTTTTTGAGATACTAATCGACCTTTCTTGGCCCACAAACCTAACCCGATTAAATATTAGATTAGATTGGTAGTAAAACGTAAATAACAAACTTCGACTTAAACTATTAAAAGTTTGAACAAATATTGTCTTGTTTTTCTTTTTGTGTGTGTGCTTGGCTAGTGGCTAGTGACTAGAGGCTCTTAAATTATGTAAATGCCTTGTCCGGCCCTGAATAGTTTGATTTTAGCCCGGTAGTTTGCTCTCTTTTTGGCCCACTTGCTGGCATGCTAACAGTTTGACACTTTAAAGTTTGTCCCCGAGAGTCCCCCGAGTTGAGAAGTTCAGGGGGGGAGAGGGGAGGTAATCGGCTGGAATTGTGCCAGGTTCCAGTTTCCAGGGTCAATGTCAGCTTGCATATTTCATGGACTTTGACCAAGACAAAGGTTAAGTCACGGATGGGCACGATTTAAATGGGTGGAAAAAAGGTGACCGGAAGTGACTGGCAAATTGCAGACTTTGGGACTTTGTTTTTTTAACTTAATTATATTTTATTTTCCTTATAAAGGAGCCAAAATTTGGCCATATTTCAGCTCAAGATAATTCATAACTTGGCTAAAATATATTGGACTTTTCAATTTTCCACACAATAGGACGGCGCTCTCATCTTTATTTGATTTCTTTGCAGTTTCTTTGTGCATAAATTCCCTATAAAATAGCGCCATTTACTATTTATTATTCCGCCAGATGGGCGGAGGAAAAGCTATTCCCTGGGGCAGGGTTTTTCTTATTTTTTTTTTTGGCTCCACTTGTTCTTTATGGCAGCCAACAGGCCAAACGGAGAAACTTAATAATTCTACATCATTTTTATGTGCAGATCATGAAAGTCAGCCGGCGCAGAAGTTGCCTGCCTGCCTGCCTGCATTAAATAAAAGGAGAAAGGGAAAATTCTGACACTTCAACGTGGCTTTAATGGAAACCCTGGCCTTTAAGAAATGTTCCCCCTCTACTTCATATGTTTTTCCTGGCTGAAGGACTTGGCAAGTGTGAGGAAAAGTTGTGCAATAATCAACATGGCACTTGTTGGTCCACCCTTTTCACCTCGCAATTAGGTGTAACACCTGTCTCTCTCTCTCTCTATCTCCCCTCCTCCTCTCTTTCCGCTGTCTGAAATTATAGTGCATGGTGGTCGAAGTCATTGATTGATTGAATGATTGACCGATTGCAGGAACAATCGAGAGTCCGCACCAATTATGGCAACTCACCGATGCAAGCTAAACTACTTGGGTAACCTGGCTGTCTTTCTCTTTCGCCTGCCCGCCTTCCATTGTCTGCTCCTGTCTCTCTCTCTCTCTCTCTTTCTCTTTCGCTTCTGTCAAGGAGCCCAAGGAGCGGGAAAAATGTCAGGAAAATGCGAGGACTTCAGGTGCGTCGACAAACAAGGGGGGCGAAATGGGAAGAGGGACACTTAAGTGGGCACCCAGACACTTGACAAGCCACTAAAATCGATACTGCCAACTGATACCCTATAAAGAGAGTGGGTTAATCGGGATTCTGGCGAAGGACAGGGTATTATTTATGTTTAGTTTCTGTTTTAAAGTTTTCATTTTATATTTTCCCTAAGCTTACCAACCTTAATTTATCTTTATAACTCTATAACACTAATATAACACTAATTACAAATGCAAAACATTCAAATATTTGGAAAGCCACAATTCCTAATCCATATTTGCTTATCTCTGGCTGCGTTTTTCCATTTTCCATTATCCATTTTCATTTCAATTTCGATTTGAATTGGCTTTAGCTGGTATCCACTAATTAATGCACATTTATTCGCGTAATTACGCGCAGCATGCTACTAATTCTTTCCGCCGATTTGAATACGGAATGAGCCCCCCATAACTCCAGCCCTTCCCCATTCTGCGGACAACCCTCTGTGCGGTTTGCGGCGGCTGTTGAATTTCGAATTATCAAAGCCCAATTAAAACATTTTGTGGCCGGCAATCAGTTAATGGCCTGGGCCGAAACTTCTGCGAATATGAGATACGGGCGGAAGCAAGTTTCTCCCGCACTCTGAAAATCTATTAAACATTCTTTTTTTTTAGTTGAGAACGATGAGTGCTAATCGGAATTCATATTTTGTTTTTTAGGGGTAAGAAAGCAACGAATTTTAAGCTATTTTGCCTGTTAATCTAAATCCAATCGTAAAATATTTTACATCGATGAAATCGTAAGAAAAATGAAAAATTTCGTTTTATCCTCATAACCAGATTTTTGCTCTATAATAAAAAGAAATACAAAGCGAAAAGTGTCTGAATATAGAATGTCAGATATCGATAAACTCGTAGTTAAAAATCCAACAAAATTGTATTCACAGTTAAAAATGTAAAATTTTAGCCATTTTTCGCAAAAAAAGATGAGGAAATAGGAAATGAGGATAGGAAATTGAAAATCCGATTTATCGCTTTTTCCCCTACAAATTGGTAGTATTCTTCTCATAACTCAGCCAATATTGGCTTTGTAATATATTGGTATGTAATGTAATACCTCGCTGAGATCGTAATTTGATTTCTAACAAAACTGGATTCCCACCTTGAAATGTAAAAATTTTCAAAATTTTCACAAATTTTGATGATGTTACCCCTTACAAAAAAATGAAAAAATTGCCAAAAATTCAACTTCCCAAAATCATCAAACGAATGATAGAGAAAGTTTTTTGTGGTCGTTAGCTTCACAAAACAGTCTTCATTTTAGCTGTGCGTCTTGTTTTGACCAAGTTATAGGTATAAAGCCGATAAAACAAGGTTAAATTTTCTGTCAGAGATCATAATCCAGATTTTTGTTCCTTAATAAACTGAATTCTTCCCACTACAAAGTCAAAAGTGGTTCAAGTATAGAATGTCATATATCGATGAACTCGTAATGAAAATTCCAACAAAACTGTGTTCACAGTTTAAAATGTAAAATTTTAGCAATTTTTCGCAAAAAAAGATGATGTTACCCCTTATCGAACTTCGAAATTCTGTTTATCCCGATTTTCCCCTCAGAATGACAGTTTTAGGCTCATAACTAAGGCAATGTTGGTCCAAATGTGGAATGCCATACCTCGTTGAATTCGTTTTTAAATTTCCAACAAAACTGCATTCACAGCTAAAAATCTTGATTTTGGGCCTTTTTTAGCAAAATTTGATGATGTTACCAGTTATAGGAAATTGAAAATCTGATTTACCTGACATATTGCTAGGTTTCTTCTCATAACTAAGCCAATAATGGCCCGAACATGGAATGTAATATCTCGTTGAGCTTGATTTTCACTTTCCAATAAATCTGCATTCAAGGTTAAAAAAGCACAATTTAAGACATTTTTCACAAAATTTGATGATATTATCGAAAATTGAAAATCCAATTTCTCCCTTTTCATCCGACAAATTGGTAGAATTCTTCTTATAACTCAGCCAAAATTGGTCCAAATATGGAATGTAATACCTCGATAAGCTCGTATTTTGATTTCCAAGAAATCTGCATTCACAGTTTGAAAAGTGAAATTTTAGACATTTTTCGGAAAAAATGATGATGTTACCCCTTATCGGAACTGCAAAATTTAGTTTCTCACTTTTTTCCCCACCAAAATGACAGAATTTTTCTCATAACTAAGCCGATAAGGGCCCAAATATGGAATGTAAGACCTCATTGAGTTCGTAATTTGATTTGCAACAAAACTGCATTCACAGTTTAAAACGAAAAAATGTTGCAAATTTTAGAAAATTTTGATGATGTTACCTTACAGAAAAATCGAAATTTGGGTAAAAATTAAAAACCCAAAAATCACCAAACGAATGATGAGGAAAGTTAGTTTGGGTCGTTAGCTTCACAAAACAGTCTTTATCTTAGCTGTGCATCTTGTTTTGACAAAGTTATAGGTATAACACCGATAAAAAATATTCAATTTTCTGTCCGAAAATAAAACCCTGATTATTGCCCCAAAATTATCCGAATTATTCTCATAGCAAAGTCAAAAATGTTTCGAATACCGAATGTCATACATCGCTGGACTCGTAGTTAAAATTCGAATAAAACTGCATTCACAGTTTAAAATGTAAAATTTAAGCCATTTTTCGAAAATTTTGATGATGTAACTTAACCCCAAAAATACCAAAAATTTAAAAATATTCCAAAAAATAAATTTCACCGAATGACAAAATCAGTGATAAGGACAGTTTGTGCTGGTCATTAGCTGCACAAAACAGTATCCTTTTCAGCTTTTTCAACTTATCTTGACAAAGTTAGAGGAAGAAACTCAAAAGGATATTGGGATTTTCATGTCCAAAGACAGAAATCCCGATTTTTACCCATCAAAATTGGGATTTTCATGTCCAAAGACAGAAATCCCGACTTTTACCCATCAAAATCCAGGCATTATGCAATTGTTGATGCGTCCACTGATTTCTTATTAATCAGTGTGTTCTTTCATTAAAATCTGAGAATCATCACTTTGGCAGCTAATTTTCCAGCTGAGAAGCGAGTTTCCTCAACCGTGAGCGAGCACTTCAGTTACCCCGCAACGACCTTTGACCCCGGAGCTAATTAATGAAATTGAAAAGCCAATAGCTTAGAGTTTACAGACTATATATATATTTGCGAGTATAATTTGATTATCCAACAATGTACACATTGCTGATTGTCCTGTCCTTAAGACTAAGTTGTGTGCCATACACTTAAAAAAAAAAAAAGTCGTACTTAAACGATTGCCATTGCTGGGCAATGGAACCGCAGAGTCGTGGGTTGAGTGATTATTTGCCCAACTGTTTGACAGCTGGCACACCTGTTGCCAGTCCTTGCCGGGGATTATGGATCTATGGGTCCACCAATCGTCGAACCACTCCGGACCACGCGGAGGTGGTGCGATTGGATAGGTCTCTTTCTCTATATATGTTCCTTTCCTTAGAGCTCTGTGGAAATGGTGTGCGTGTGCCCAGCTAGCAGTTGATAGGTGGTATACAGCGGCTCCTGGGGCTCATCTTCAATGTCCACCTTGAACCGCTTGGCCGCACTTTCCATTTCCTCGAGATCACTGAAGCCCGGAAAGCTAGTGGGGCAAAAGTGTCCGGCAATGGCCTCTGGGATGTGGGTGACATTGTGCAGCATGTGAGCTGGCGTGGATTGCAGATAGGTCCTCCACTTCTGATATGACGAAGCTGGCACATAGCCATTGCCTCTCCTTTGGCTAATCGGTGACGAGGTCTTCGGCATAATGCGCTGAGCCTGCTGCATCATGTACATCTCCCACTCCAGGTTGCCGGCCATTTCAGTGGATTCTGTGGAATCCCGAGATCCTGTGCTCATGTCCTGAGTACGCATCAGCACTTCCTCTTCGTCCTCACCATCTTGGTCCTCGCCACGCTTCCTGGGCGAGGAATCGGCACTGCTGCAGGTGTAATAGCCACAGGACTTGTCCAGTTGCGGTTGCTCGGCGAAATCATCGCAAATCGGTTGGCTGGATCGACTCCAAATGAAGCGACTGGAGTTCTTAGAGGTGGAGGCGGAGGATGAGCTGCTGCCCACTCCACTGCTGTTACGACTGCTGTACAATCGTTTCTGGGAGCGACCCGATCCGCCGGTTGCCAAGTAGATGCTGCTGTTAAGGTTCAGCTCCTTGAGTTTCAGATTGCTAGCACAGCAGCCCATGTTGCTTAGGTTTCGAGGTATTTGGGATACTAAAGTAACTCTGGTTAGATGTGATTCGCTTGACAATTGTTTGTCGACTGTTTGGGTTGGTCATAAACCCGCGGGTTTAAATACGGCCAGCAGGTAGCTTCGTAGAAGCCAGTTCCTGGAATCACCCATCACTGTTTTCGATCGGCTACCTGATTAGGTTTTCAGATATTTTCTGGCCTAATCCGCGAGCGGGATTTTATGAAAATACGCCGTACTTTATGGCCCGGCAATTTGGCCAAAAACACGGCGAAAGTTGTTACCTGAATACCTCGCGGCACGACCTTGATTCGAGCACTTTCGATCTGGCCAACGAGTTAAGGATGGTCACTACTAGTGCTCCTCACTCTTACTCCTATTCACCATCCTATTTGTTAATATCTTCCTAGCCATAACCCTTTTTCGGTTCTTAGCCACATTTTCATATAGTCCTCTGAGTTATGAGGACAGCAGAGGATATATATGGTATATGATGATGTGCTGACCATGATGTCAGTCATTTTGGTCGATGGCCTTGGGCCATTGTGTTGGCCAGATCCTTCGTCCTTCCCTTGGCCAATTGTTGTGTAAACGCCGTGGCGCAGTCCTCGGAACGCCGTTGACGCCGGCCACAAGTCTCGAATCAGCGGGTCAGGAGGACCTTTTCCTGGCCAAATCAAAAACCAGAAACTAGTTACTAGAAACTAGAAACCTCGAATACCGCGCAGCTGCTGCACCGACTTCGATCTATTTCGGGCGAAAACTCCTCAATGGAACAGCTCTCCCATTCTTGGACACTATGGAACGCTATAATAGCCAAGGTCAAAGGAAATTGAAATCGGAATCGAAGGTGCAAAATGAAAAACATCATTCGGGGAAAAGTGGAGAATGGAAATTGGCAAATGATTTCGCACTTGATTTGAGCTCAATGAAACGATGGCCCATGAATGGGGCTTGCAAATTGAAATATTCTACTAATGAGACTGCATCGAGGCTGACAAGTGCATACGAGAAAGTGTCAAATGTTTGCTTTTAATGGCTAACAATTGCATTGCATTTAGGCCATTAACTTGTCTTCAAAGCAAAGTCATTACGACTAGGAAAACATAAAGTGGTTCTCTCAATAAAGTGAGTCGTAATGTTCTCAAAATCAAAAAACAAATATATGTTTATATGTTAATATATGGTTTTCTTAATAACCTGACTCATAAACTTTGCCTTTATTACGGCTGGAAAAAGTTGCTCTGGAAAATTCTTTAATATAAATATAGTCTTTCTATATGGTATAAGTTGTATCTTATTTAATATAGAAACCTACCAGATACTTCTTCAAATTCGGTTATCCATGATTATGTAAGCTATAACCAGGCACTTCCTTGCCCCACCCCATCACCCGCCTACCCCTGCAGACCCTCATTCCTCAAGATCTGTTACTCTGCTTGGCCCTATCTAGGAACCTTAACCCCTATGTTATATCCTTAAAACGCAGTGGCAACTGCAACTGCAGTGGCACGCGATAATCGCTGACTCCTTTGGGGTCCAAATACCCGTAGCCATAACCTTTTTCCCGGGTTCTCCTTTCGGTTTAACGGGTAACCCAAACTTGGCTTTTGTTTTTGACCATTTGACCATTCTGACCAAATGGCCAACTGGCCAACCTCAGGCCTCATTTGACTATCGCACATTTGCTGTTTGATGTTTTGGTTTCTTGTTGCATTTTCACACGCAATCGCTGAAATTCCCGCATTTTTCAAACTGGGAAAACGCGCAGCGGAATTTCCTCGCCTTTTCTTTATTTTCCTTGATGGAGTTTCCCGCAAACACACCTCTCTCGCTCTCTCTCTCACTCTCTCACTCTCTGTCTCGCTCTGTTTGTTTAGCGAATTTCGATCCGTATCTGCATCGAAATCTGCATCCGCATCCGTACTCGTATCCGCATCCGCATCCGCTTGGCAGTCACGTAACTCCGGCATTTGTTGGCTGCACGTGACGGGTCTCCATTTTGGGAGGGTCTCCATGTTGGATGCGATTGCGGAAACGGAAGTTGAAGAGCTCCAAGTCTCCACTTCTCTTTAAAAGCACAGAGAGAAAACTTTGAAAGTTAAACTACAGAGTTTTGATGTTGTTAAATCCAAAGAAAACTCTTTTTGAAGGCTAAAACTACTAAATTGACTTCATTTCTAAGATTTCCTTAGTCTTTCAACTACAACTTTCCCTCTGTGTAGGACATATGTGTTGCTCTTGGCTGCGTTTCAGTTGAGCTTGTGCAAATGGCATCTGAGAAGTTTCCAGCAAGTCCTGGGGACAGGTCCGAGAGCAAGGCGGAGCAGGCGGTGGATACATATCCTTCGATTGAGTGGGAGTCTGATAAAGGGAAATTCCAAATGGGGAAATGGCACGTATGAGGAATGACCCTTGACAATTTGGCTAAGTAGGATGCACAGCTAACAGCACGACTGCTCCCCATTGCTTTGCATACCAAATTGCCTCAAGTGGCCAGCTCTCACTTTTCGTGCTCTGTTTTCTTTGGCCAACAGCTGTGCTTATCAAAATAGCAATTTCAATGGAAATTATATTGGAAAATAAAGTATTAAACGAAGAAGTTTCATCTTCTTAAGAAAATTAAAGGACGTTGTTAGAACATTTTGGAAAATATATTTCCTTTTGGAATTTGGGAAACCTTTTCCCTTGAAGACAGCTGTGGGTTCTTGACTAAGCAAGTACTTTCAGGAAGTTCCTTCGTAATGTGCTCGCTTACACCACCACCTCCTTGAGGCAAACACAGGCGAAGTGCTCTTAGAAACTTGCAACTTTCACCTTAATTAAATAACAAAACTTGTGGCTAGTTTAGTGCCTAACTGGCAATTTTCCCAAAAGCCACTGAAACTGCATTTAAATAACAATCAAGCTCAGAGGAGAGAGATCTCAGTCATACATACGAGGAAGTGCATCAATCGTGTATGCAGCATGCACCAGCAATGCAGCTTATTTGTGCCAAAGGAGCAATCGACTCCAAGCATTCGCAACTTTGTGACAGAAATCAAGGCAAAGGGCCAAGGCAAACCATGTCCCTCCTCTCGTCCTGACCAGTGGAATCCAGTCCAGTCCAGTTGAGTTGCCATTAAAGACGAACTGAACTGGATGCAGAGGATTCCGCACGAAGCCCCAAGGAAATGGCCACGAAATTGAATTTCCATTGACACAAAGATATCGAAGGAGGAGGGAAAGCCCCGAACTAGGGGCCAACGAAGGCGACGTGTTTGGGACCCAAAATCGTTGCAATGAGACTGAAACCGAAACTGAAATAAAATAACTAAAGGACACGGAGAGAAATGGGATTGAAAAAGTCAACGTAATATATAGTTAGAACCCTGTGTGATATATAGAACTTCATTCTGAACTCTGATCTTTGTTGATAATAACAGAAGAATTCAGAAAAATATCCCCTAAACCATTGTCCTCCTGAAGTGCTTCAAGGATTACTCTATTACTTGAAAAAACAACAACAACAGGTAAGCCTTCTTATGACACCTAAAAAAAGAGCCTGCAATAAAATCCAAGTTGCCCCCGATTTTTTCCAGCGTACTCAACCAAGTTGAATGCAACTTTTGGCACAAGTGCAAGCCAAGCAATTGTCTTGGATTCCGGCTCGGATATTTTTTATTGAGCCAGCTGGCCGGGTTGGAAAACCAAAAACAAAAAAAACGACGAGGGGTGAGGGATGAGGGCCAAGACAATGGCAAGGACATGACCGTTTCCAGGACTCTCGCGGTCGCAGGACATCTGTGATCAGGAGCATCAATGCAATTTCTGTTTACCATATTCAGTTTTTCCTCCGTTTTCCTTTTCTTTCTCTTGTTTTTTTTTTTTTTGTGAGTGACAAACAAAACAAAGGGACAAAAAATCATGAACGGGCGGGAGGGAGGTTGGATGGGAGGGATGTGAAAATGAGAAATGAAAATTTGAAAGTGGGAAAGTAAATGGAAATGCGAATGGAGGCCGAATTTTGTTTACGAAACGCATTTTCCGTGTATCGCCGGCAACTCCTTGGCCATGGCCATAAAGCCATAAACCGTACCGCGTGCTGAGGCCCAGATCGGGCAGGTAGATTATATATACATATATCTATGTATGTATATACCTTCCTGAAGACGATGATGATGATGATTGCCGCGATGCGCTGGCAGCGCACTTGTTGATCCCGCGACAGGGTCAAGTTAAGTCGCGTACCAGAAATCGCTGGGCGCTCGGAAAGGCCCATCGACTGGCCATCCATCCATCATGTCCTGGATGGTATTTCCGTATCTTATGGGAATTTCTCGTTGCACTGAGCCGGGGGAAACACTGATATCCACCGATATCGATCCACATGTGTTCCGCAAATGGGCGAGGCTACTTAGGCTCTAATTTCAACAATCACCGATCACCTGATGCCATCACAGCTGGATCCTGGATTTGCCCAGGACTAATTTAGACCAAGGACCAGGTGCTCGCGAGTCCTTGACAGCGAGAAGTCAACGAAAGTGAAGGTGAATCTCAGGGAAATGCGCGGGTACAGTTGGGCATATTAAAACTAACTAATCTTAAATGTTTTTCTAAAGACTTTTCATTAAGAAACTTCTGGAAACTTTTCCAACTTTAACTCTACTTAACCACACTCAGTACAAAGATAGTGTGTAGTGCACTTTATGGATACGTTAATGATAGCTGGCCTGCCTTCGCTAAAGCATCGCTTAAGTACAGTTGTGCTCAAATGCTTCTGTGACTAAGAGTGCCTCCGACAATTAAGCATTCCCCATTTAGCCGCCACGCCTCCTCCTCGAAAGCCTCGTTTTACGATGGCCACTTTACGTGCCCATCGCAGTTTTTTGGCCAGCTTTAAAGTGATTCTGTTGCTGGCCGAAAGAAGACCGCAGCACTAAGTGCTCCATTCCACTCTGAATCCCAGGCAGCCGCCCCTTAAAGCTGCCACTATATAAGGCTGCGCCTCGGGGGTATGCAACACTTTTTTCAGTTTGGCTAGAAACTCTTTTCTACTTGGGAATATCACAATTTTTAGATGTTTTATAGGGGTTATATATTAAAAATATGTCTGAATATATCTTAAAATATATATATAATTCATAATAAACCATTTTTGAGGTTATTTCCTTGTACAAAATATTATTAATTAACCAAAAAAGATAGTTATTGGTGAAGGAAAATTGATTTCCAAAGATTTTGTTGAGTTCGAATGATGAATTTTCCCAAAATATTATCTTATATAAGCATACATCTTAAGATTCAAATGCCTTTGCCCCAATCCCATACATATTTTTCCCTGCTAACTCGCCCGAAGCCTTTGCATGCGTCACGTTGAATTGAGTCGAATTCAGTTGAGTTTCTGGCATATAGGTAAGCGGCTTTTGTTGGCAGTACACCTGCCGTTCGCCCCCACCGCCCCCTTGATTTCGGATTCTCGGGAACTTGGAAAATCGGAAACTCGGAAACCCGGTAACTTACAACGTGAGGCAGACATCTTGTGCCGGCCATAATCGTAGAAAATCAATAGCATTCCCCACCACTGATAATTGTGTTTGTGTTATGACTGTCGTCCTGCGTCCCCGAGTCCTGCATTCTAAGTCCTCGTTTCTCTCCGTGTACTCCTGCCATTGTGTCTGTCTGTGTTTTCTTATGAATTATTGAAGGGCTTATGGAGTTTTTTCTCCGCTTGATGTTTATTTACATTTGTAATCCGGTTTCCGTTCTCATTTTTTTTGTGTGTGCTTGCCTGCCGCCTTTGACAGAGTTTGTTGGGAAAACTTTGCCTGATTTGGTTGCGTTTGCATCTGGCAAGCACAGCGAGCGAGGTGATGATGCGGCTCATGAGGAGATAAATAATATCACTGAGTTCAGGTTTTGTCACAAACTGTTAGGCTCAGCAGCAACAGCAACAGCAACAGCAGCTGCAAGCCAAACAAATTTGAAGTGGCTGAGTAATGTCTTTGGGCTTTGGGTAAGGTTGTTTTGATATTTATGGGAACAGATTTGTTTGCTAAATCAAAATTAAACAGTTTTAAGTTGTAAGAATAAGCTACTTAAGCTTACTTAAGCAAAGTTCAGCTTAAGCCAAAGGAGTTCAATTCCATTTCCCTGGAAAACTCTTCACTTTAGTTTCTTGGGAGGAAAGGAAAGCCCTGAAGATTATCCCCTTGCTTATCAAACATATTAATTGCGTCTTTAGAAAGCAGTGTTAATTAGATTCATCTCGCTGTCTAGCTTACTCAGAGCACAAATAGTGTTCCTCCTTCTCGAGAACGATTCCATATTTAATAGCCTCTAGACACATTGCTCATTGCTGCTACCGAAAAGTGAGAGACCCCTCCCTCCCAGCTAGTGCTGGTGAGTCATGGAAATTGCGCAAAATGTTTTTGTTAATTGCCGGCCGAGTCCTTTTTCGTCCTTCTCATTCTTGGTCTTATAACTGGCCTTTGTCCCTTGGCTACTGATTATTAAAATTGCATTCCGGCGTTGTTGTTGTGGGTTGTTTGTTTACTCTAATGAGCATTTAATGGCCAATTCCAAGCTGGTGGATGACACACACACACACACACACGGGGAAAGTGAGTGAAAATCAAGAGAGAGAGAGAGAGAGAGGAAGGGAAATTCAGATTGGGCTTACCTGCAGCAAGAATTTCCCGCTGCCCTTCCGGTTCTGCCCTGCACTGCACTGCACCCTTTTCCCTCGCTCTCCACCTAATTTGATTTTTATTACACTTTTCCCAGTTCATTACAGAGTCTCCTTTTTTTTCCTTTCCTTCTGCCGCTTTTCATTCATAAATTACGGGGAAATTCTGTAGATAGTTAGGTTGTTTTTTCGCCGCTCTCTTCGCCGGAAAATCCCCTCCCTTTATGGCACATCCTTTGTACTTATCCCTGTGGGAATTGCGTATAATTTGCGCATGTTAATTAGCTCATTTCGGGCATAGATTTTATCCCATCGTCGAACACATGTAATTAAGCAAATTAGGCAAATGAAGCAACTAAATAAATAGTTCATGGTTGGACCAGCAGCTCACGGGAGGGAGCTGGGCAGCTGGGCGCTAAACACTTTCAAGGTCATTTGCCTAACAGGCTGACTGGTCGACGTAACGACCCATTCCCCTTAGTTCATGGATGCTTTGACTACACTGGGAATTTACTTGTTAATATTTGTATTATATTAAAAAGATTCTTTTTTAGAAGAGTTTCTAATTCGTATATCCAAGAATCTGCTTTAAATTTTATAGATTTTTGAAGTCCCAAAAAACTTCTCTGTTAAAATCAAAAGTTTTTCCAACAAAACTCTTAACTGTAGTCAAACTTTCGGCCATATTTTTTGGCACTGTGTCATCAGCACTTTTTGGCGGCTTTGGTAAGGTGGTTAGTGGGTGACCCCACCTGTTCGCTGGCTTAGTGATGGTCTCTGTGGTTGTTGTGGTTCTCGGTCGGATGGGTCCTTTCATTCTGAACGCAGGCCCTTTTTTGGGACATTTATCATCGAAAAGCCCAGACACACGCATCCAGCGTCAAGGCTGGTTCGCCTTCAACCCTCAATCCTTTTGGCCAACTTTTAATGCACTAAATAACTACAGAAAGTTGGGACGTCTTGGGTGTGAGTGGGGGGGATGTGGATGCCCTTTCACACCCATCCCTCGAAGAACCAAACACCTCCTGACCACCCACATTTGCATATGCTCGAGTTGGAGAAATGCAATGGCAGCACTTTAGTGAAACTTTCACCGACGTCAGCGTCTGGGAAACTTTATCCTTGACACCCACACACATGCATACATACACAGGCCACCCCCACCCCTTTGAGCCCTTCTAAGCAATCATCTGGGGATAAGCATGGCCATATAGGATCCTTTAAGTGCTCCACGATTGCATAATAGAGGGAATTTTCAAGTGCAAAACTTGGCATAATTCCTTGGCCATCAAATCTGTTTGCAGAGTGTTTATTGCATTTTCTTTGAGGCGTCGTTTGGCTTCCAACACACACACACACACACACACATTTCCTTGAGCTGGATGTCCGCTTTCCCTAGCGTGGGATAATATTTTCCGAGCTGCCACTTGCCACAAACTCAAGTTGGCTTTGAAATGCTTCTTGCGTTGGGTTTCCTCGTTGATTTGCCAATAGCGAAATCCATTTTATGGCTGTTAAGGATGATTAAATAAAGAACTTTGCTTGACTTGATGAATAAACATGAAGATTTCCTAATATTTTTCCACCTTTCTTCCCCATTGCAGTCGTGCGTCTTGAGGTCTTGGCCGAAGAGGTAACCACTGCAGCCAGTCTGTCGGAAGGTGAGTGATGGTTGCCCACCCCCTGGAGTGACCAATATATATATAGCTATTGAATCCTTACAGAATGGGGCTCCGGATGGCGGGGCACCAATTTCCTAGTGGAGGTCGAACAAACCGCCCCCATCTCACCGCCCTCCTCGTCTTCGGCGTCCTCGAATGGCAGCGAGGATTATATCGGGGAGCTGGGGAGCCAGGAGGTCGACGAGGGACTCACAACAGGTGCCACAACGGGTGCCTCCAATGCCACCGTCGTGGAGACAGGTGGGCCACCATTTCCTTTTCACTTTAACTACGCAAAAATCATATTCAGACATTAAAAGACAATTCCTTTTCGAGTGCCAATCAAAATTTAAAGGCGTTTCGACCAGGCCAATTCCACAAGTCAACACATTTTGACCACAAACCAAAAGTTTGTACGGCTGACCCAAAGTTTCAGCTGCAAAAAACCATTTTCCAACTTTAATTGGCTGAGTTGGGAAAAAATAGTTGGTAACACGAACATTTTCTATGTTTTTCTTACACTTTTCCGCCATTAAATAATGTGTTGTTCTTATGATTAAAATAAATACCCTGCCTTGTGGTAATAACCACGTTAATATGAGCATAGATTAGCGTATTTCCGCTCGCGGAATCATCATTTTCCAAGGATGTGCGACATATGTATCTCAGGGCTACATTTTTCCTCTTGCAAATATTGAATTTTCCGCGGCAGTCGCGCAACTTCAAACGCCTGGACATAAATCCCCGGGCTAAAGTCGCCGATTCGGTTGCTTAATAAATCCCAATGCCAAATCCCACATCCTTAACCAATCGCACTCGCAGCAATCCGTTTGTTTAACGTGAAGATTTCACATTGCCGATAATTGAATTCGAGCCTGACTCTTGAGTTATTTACGTGCGGTACGTGCGACCAGATTTTACAGTCTCAAAACCAAATCCATAATGTTTATGGCGAAGAGGAGAAATCACGGGCTTACATGGCAAGACAAATAAACAAATCGAAATGTCTTGCAGGACCCAAGATCATTGTGCGCACCGAGGAGGTGCTGATTGTGGGCTTGGTCCTCGTACTCTGGGTGGGCGCCATTATGCTCTTCTTCAATCGCTGGGGCAAGATCCGGATGCTGGAGCCGTATCAGCCCAAGTTCCAGCAGCAGCACCGCAGCTCCTGTCCGCTGGTCGACTTGGATGCGGTCACCACGCATCAGGTGAGTTGAGTTTTTTTGCTTTTAAATTGCAATGCAATATCTAGAGCCCTTTTCCGCACTTTAAAAACCCGTTATAATAAACGTTAAATGCAACAATTTTCAGCGCTCCTCCGTGTCGCGAATGTCGATGGGCATGGTGCACAATCTCAATATGCCGACGTGTCAATTTGCGGCCTATAATCCCAACATTTATGCCAAGGGTATGTACGTCATTTGCTTGCCTTTCATCCGCCTCTCCTTTCTTTTTTTTTTCCCACCCACCATCAACCAGCCCACCCTGTGAGCCTCCACCGAATGCAATTAAAATCGAACATCCATCGAGCTCAAAGTATCCGCAACTTGTGCTGCATACTTTTGTGCGTCGCCAAGAGCCACACAGTGACTGGAAATCGATTTGATTTGGGGGACTTAAAGAGTAGTTTAGTGAAAGATTTTGATGGAAATTTCAGTGTTAAATGAAACCACAAAATAATTTAGTATTTTAAGAAGTTTGTTGGAAGTTTTGAACTTTCATTAAGTGTGAAAAGTCATCAGGAATTTAAAGTTCCTTAAAGAGATGTCCAACTTTAGAAAACAGAAAACCTTTCCCAGTTTTAACTTAAGTTAATAAACTAATCCAATACCATATTGCACAACTTAGTGGCACTTGCATTTAACGAACTGGTTAACATATGCAGACATCTGTTCTCACTGCCAATCCCCTTCAGCTTTATAGTAATCCCTCACCAACCTCCCCTCCCCCCAAGCCTTTCCCAGCAAAGTCGAAATACTTATGCGTAATGTTCGCCATTCGAAGCGTTCATTAATGACATCGCCCCTCGAGAGCCACGCCCACACTAGCTGGTAAATACATAGCATTTAGTTGTAGTCACTTTGCCGCCCCTTTATCTCGATCCTGGGACGTTCTTATTCCTTTTTTTTTTTTTAATGAGTTGCCAGACAATTAAGTTGCCCGCTGAGCGAAGGCAGCGGAGCGCAAGTGAAAGCAAATAACAATACAATTTTAATGCCCCTGCTGGTTGGGTGCCTCTCCTGCACCTCTTCCAGCTACCCTGGAAGTTTTTATGCCTCGCATCGAGGTCCTCGTTCCTCCTCCATCTCCGCCAGGACACGCAGCCACATCCCCGCCAGAGCTGCGCAATTAAATCTCGCAGAAATGCAGGGAACACACGGACAGAAAGATAAGCGGCCCATGATAGGATACGCACATAAAACATGCAAGAGAAAGTGTGCACAGAGAGAAATAAATCGTAAATTAAATCTAAAAAAAATTAAGCAAGAACAAGATTTATATAAACAAAGACTAGACAAAGGTTTGCCATAAAAAGAAATTCCAATAAAGAAAGTAAAAGTGATTTCTTTCTGTACATGAAATTGAAGATGGGGCCGGTGATAATGTGGTTTCACCCGTAGGGGGGTGAGGTGGCGGAAATGCTGAGTTGAGACCTTGATGCCGTAGCGGCAAGTCTATTAAGTTGAGTCAGGACAACGCCGCTCGAGGGGATTCCCCAATCGCAGAGCACGTGACACGAACTGCCAGAATGCTGACCTACAAATGCACATTAAATTGATCAGAACATCAGGATAAAGTGCTTTTAGCTAACCGAATAATGATGTTCATCAATTTGTGATATAACCAATGGAAACTAAATTAAACATCTCTACTACTGAACATTTTAAAAGGGGCAAATAAAGTAATTTAGTACCCTTTTTGTATATCAAAATGTCAAAGTGTAAGTTACTGAGAGGGATTACATGTGGTTTACAGGGGAAGGTTCTTAGTCCTCACAGTTTCCTGACATATCATCTCCTAACTTCCTATGAGCTTTTCAATGGTATGAAACTTTGACTGCAGATATGTTAAGGATTAGAAAACGAGGTACTACAGTACATATTTTGGGCCATTATGCACTTAGTTATGGACATAATAATATCATTATTGGGGAGAAATCGGTAGAAAACCAGTTTCGCATTTTCGATAAGCGGTAACATCATCAAAATTTTCGAAAAATTACTAAAATTTTACATTTTTAACTGTGAATACAGTTTTGTTGGAATTTTCATTACGAGTTCATCGATGTATGACATTCTATATTCGGACCACTTTTGACTTAGTTGTGAGGAGAATTCTGAATATTATAGAGCAAAAATCAGGACTTTGATTTCTGACAGAAAATTCAACCTTTTTTTTATCGGTTTTATACCTATAACTTAGTCAAAACAGGACTCAGAGCCAAAATGAAGACTGTTTTGTAAAGCTAACGACCACAACAAACTTTCCCTATCATTCGTTTGTTGATTTTGTGAATTTTAATTTTGGGCAAAATTTCGATTTTTTTGTAAGGGGTAACATCATCAAAATTTGCTAAAATTGGCAACATTTTTACGTTTCAAGCTGGGAATGCAGTTTTGTTGCAAATCAAATTACGAGTTCAACGAGATATGACATTCCATATTCGGTCCCTTATCGCCTTAGTTATGAGAAAAATTCTGTCATTTCGGTGGGGAAAAAAGTGAGAAACCAATTTCGAATTTCGATAAGGGGTAACATCGTCGTTTTTTGCGAAAAATGGCTGAAATTTGACATTTTAAACTGTGAATATAGTTTTGTTGGAAATTTAACTACGAGTTCATCGATATATGACATTCTATACTTGGACCACTTTTGAGTTTGTGGTGGGAAGAATTCTGATTATTATAGAGCAAAAATCTAGACTTTGATTTCTGACAGAAAATGCAATATTTTATAACTTTGTCAAAACAGGACTCAGAGTTAAAATGAAAACTGTTTTGTAAAGCTAACGACTAATATTAACTTTCCTCATCATTCTTTTTCTTTTTTTGTGAATTTTAATTTTGGGCAAAATTTCGATTTTTTTGTAAGGGGTAACATCATAAAAATTTGCTAAAATTGGCAAAATTTTTACGTTTCAAACTGTGAATACAGTTTTGTTGGGAATTAAATTACGAGTTCAACGAGGTATGACATTCCATAATCGGAACATTATTGGCTTAGTTATGAGAGAAATCCTGTAATTTTCTAGCTTTGTCTAAGCAAGAAGCACATCTAAAATATTGACAATGTTGTGCAGTTAACGACTGAAACTAACTATCCCCATCATGTTTTAAGCTCTTTAGCCTTTTTTCCTAATGGGTGCGTGTACCCATCTCCATAGCTACCCTGCCCACCTCAGCAAATCCCTGAGTTGATACTCATGCCCTCCTGACTGTTAACGCACCATGAACAAGTGTGTAATCCCCAGCCACTAATTTATTCCGAAACTGAACCATTATCCATTATCTCGTTTCAGGCTACGCCTCGCATGTTTCGGCGTCGCGTCCCCGCCAGAACTCGGTGTTTGTGGGGGCCAGTACTAGTCACTATCTGATGCCGAGGCCTCCGAGGAAGACTCGTTCGGCGATGGACCTGCACTCCATGGTTCTCGATGAGAGTGCCGAGCAGGTGTAGGTTTCCCAGGGGAAGGAATCTCAAGGATCCAAGTCTGGATCTAAGTCTAAGTTATTGGGGTGTGAGTGCGAGTGCTTTCTCCACCTTTCTTCTGGTGTTTGCGAATGAAATCTGCTAGGAATGTCAGATGGATCTCAGAAAAACAGATAAACTATTTGAGATACCAGAAGAAATGGGATAGAGTGCTCAGTTTTTTTTGTATTCGGGTGCCTGCAATTAAGGGAGCAAGGAAGAAAGGTAGCACTGTCCAATATTTGCAACTTGATATATATATATATGTATGTTATACGAGGTGTGTTCAAAAAGTAAGGTGACTTTTCAAATTTCGCGGGCAACATATTTTCGATTATCGTTTTTTTTGTTTTGTTATATTGGTACACTCTTCCCTAACATCTGTACCAAGTTTCAATGGAACATCCTCTTTTGTTTGGTTGTGAGAGGCGTAAAGTTACAAGTTGTTTTGCGAGCTCGGCGATTTTTTGCTTTTTTCGGTCTTGGCTCGTCTGGGCTCTTCCATTGGGACGATTGGGCTTTGGTTTCGATATCATAACCATATACCCATGATTCGTCACCAGTTATGACCCTTTTGAGTAAATCTGGGTCGTCGTTGACGTCATTCAACAGCTCTTGAGCGATGCTCATGCGACGGTTCTTTTGCTCAAAATTCAGCAATTTCGGAACAAACTTCGCTGACACACGACTCATACCCAAAACGTTTGAAAAAATTTCATGGCACGAGCCAAGCGATATACCGACATCTTCAGCAACTTCTCTGATAATGATTCGACGATTTTCCAAAACAATTTTCGTCACTGCTTGAACGTTTTCATCAGTTGTTGACGTGCTTGGGCGTCCAGAGCGAGGCTGGTCATTGGCATCTTCCCGGCCATCTTGGAAGAGTTTGTACCACTTGTACACATTTTTTTACTCAGAACAGTTTCACCGTATGCCACTGTCAACATTTCAAGTGTTTCAGAGCACTTAATTTTATTTTTTACACAAAATTTGATGCAAATCCTTTGATCCATATTTTTCGATAGCAAAAAATCGCCGAGCTCGCAAAACAACTTGTAACTTTACGCCTCTCACAACCAAACAAAAGAGGATGTTCCATTGAAACTTGGTACAGATGTTAGGGAAGAGTGTACCAATATAACAAAACAAAAAAAACGATAATCGAAAATATGTTGCCCGCGAAATTTGAAAAGTCACCTTACTTTTTGAACACACCTCGTATATGTATTTACCACTCAGAACTAACTCTATGCCATTTCCTAACTATCTCTGTCGCACACATAGCTTATTTCTGTGCTGGCACAGAGTCAATTTGAGTCAATTTTATTTAGGACCAGTTAACACACACACACACACGAAAATTATCAGCTAAAAGAACCACACGAAAAATGTTGTAGAAGTTTCTAAACTTAGAATACTCTTAGCCCCTATCCAATGTTACTCAACGTAGTCTCTATACCTAACCAGATTTCTCCTAGCGTGTTTCTCCTTCTTCGCAGTATTGGATGCCAGAGCAAGTTGTTAAACATAAAACATAAAACCTAAAACATAAAACATAAAGCATATGTATATGAAGTTAAGCTAATTAAATGTATCCGCGAAACCGTTTAGTTCGTAAGCCCAAAGCTCAAAGATCAATCAGCATACGAAACTCCAAACTTGACCAACTTTCAACCGTACTTATACGTTCTACCCAGCACCTATCTATCGCACCCTAAAATGTATCTCTTAACTTAAGTGATTTCGACCAACAAAGAACGTATGGAGATAGAGGAGATAGATCAGCTTGAGCGAAGGAAAACTTGGCAAAGAAAATGAACAACTAACTAACGAAAGCTTTAAATTCCTTGGGTCTCCTTAAGGGGGACCTGCAAAACCAAAAGAAAAACCCATCCAGATCGAAGTAAACTAAACCAAAGCTGAGGATTATACTTTAGGCCTAAGATAACTACAGATGCGTGTAAGTCTCTACCAAAAAGTCTAGTGGAAAATATGTGGATCAATGTACACTTTACTAAAAATGATGATTATAGCCCCAAAACTTAACGATAACGATAGTTCATACAGTCGAACAGATTTTCCTCACAGAACAGAAACAAAACCAAAACTAATTGTTGAATATTAATGTTTAATTAAACTTGTTTACAATATTTACAAGGCCTGAGCAAAACCAATTATATATACACTCGTGTAATATATCAAAAAAACTAAACTATGTATACATTAACTATATACATATATATGTATAAAACAGAAAACAATTATATACATTTTGATGAATTCGATTAAATATTATATTTAAAACGAAAGGAAACTGTCTTAATGGGAGATGTCTTGGGCCTTGCAAGGATCTGTTGGCTTGGACAAGTTATGATATTTGAGAGGCCAAATTGAGTTATGGCCAAGCTAACGGGCAGATGTTCTTGTTAATGCTTCGGCTAAAGTGTTTATGGGCGTGCAATAAAGTATAAAGCTATTTGCTTTCGACTCTTAATAACCCGGATTTTTCGATGGTGTCTAAATTGGGGTCACCCCCAGCAGTGCCCCCATAAACGGACACAACATTTCACAGATGTCGTCGGACTTGGCGGTTCGATTGGTTCGGTTGGCTTGGTTTTCGGTGGGATTTCGAGGGGGCCATAACCATTTTGGCCATAAACACATTTGACAAGACGACCAGAAACAGGCGCGTCAATGGCCAAAACAGGGCGGCCAGGGGCTTGGTGGTGGGGCCAATAAACGGAAGCCATTTCATGTCTGGCCATCTCGGCCATCGGGTTCAAGTGCAGGCGATTTATGATGGCAACAGAGCTGCACCTTCAGCTATTTTGCTGCTACATTTCGACATAATCAAGAATATTTTTTCAAGAAATCTATTTCTGTGGGTTTATGGACTATTAACAAGTTTTTTTAAAGAGGAAAAGGGGAAGATTTTAGGCCACTTAACGGGGTTTCTATCACCAAAGTTGGGATAACCAGTTACCATTTAACAGAATTTCTCTTTTGGCTATAGATACTTGGCCATTTTCATGACAACACTGTCTGTAACTCTTAGTGCAGCGCATAGAAGAAGGAGAAGAACGACCTTGTCGCCGCCGCGGGCCACAAATCAAACACCACCTCCCCCTATCCACCTCTCCTGAATCTGCACTTTGGCAGAAAACCAAGTAACAGGCTTTGGGAGGGGTTTTCCAAGATTGTGGCTGTACTACTACTGGAAAATGGGGATTTTACACCAGCTGACTTGACCCCAAAAAAGAGTAAGTGTTTTTATTGAGCTGCTTCAATCGGAAATTGGTCGAGTTATGGCTGTCAAAAGGGGAAAACTGAACTGGAAATTTGTCTTTATTTTTACTAGATTAACCCATGATTACAGCAACAAATTGTTATATGAAACTCAATAAGAAGTTATTGTAATTCAAACAAGATAATATCATAAACGCGTAAACCTGTAAAGATATTGCTTATTTAACAAGAATTTCGGCAGAGTCAGCTCGTAAAATAATTAACAACAAAAAACGCCACCCCATAAAGATGGCCAGAACATTGTTGCCACACTCACATTATGGCCAGAAAATTATGAGAAGATCCCAGCTAGAACGTAATCGGCAAAACGTTTACGATGACAAAGGCACAGCGAATCTGCATGACAATGTGAATTAATTTCAGGCACACGACCATCTACAGTTTGGGCCTCCCAATTTCGGGGGAACGGACCTTGGGACATGCAAATCTCGGCCAATTGTGAGTCAAAGATTGATTGACATGGCCATGGAGGCTGCGTAAAAATTTAGCACAAGTGGCTAATCAAAACGCTTAGCATAACGCTTTTTTTTGCTACCAAGAGGAGGAGGTCCTTTTAGATTTATGGACTTGTGGGTCAGGACAGCTCTTAATTGCCTTCTACATTTTGGGGCCAGCGACAGGGACCTTTAAAATATTGCTGTATTTTGCTTTTCCTCAACATTAAGTAGATGTATTATCTCTAGTTATATTCTAGTACATGACGTTTGTTAATCTAGCCAAGTTAATAACATTTTCTGTACCACAAACCAATCTTTTGCTGTTTTCAATTTGCGCTCTTCCTTCGTTATCTTTGATTTGTCCACTGAGGGACATTTAAATGGAATTTCAGCCCCAACATCCACACGTCAGCAATTGTTGTTGTTGCTGTTTTGTTTTCTTTTTTTGTGGCACAAACGCCGGAAGCCTTCAACGCCCCCAACTCTTGGCAGCATCTTCGTTTTTGTTGCAAGGACACACACAGGACACACACAGCTATTGCGCACTTGCAATTCCTTTTCCCCCGTTTCCATTGCCATTTCCTCATTGTTCCTTTTGTCCCTCGGCAGCCGCATAAAATTTTCAGTGCAGCACTCGCTTTTCCGACTTTTCCCAGCGACTCCCACATGAGCGATCACTTTAATTGCTGCAGCTTTATTTTGATGCCGGCGGTCATAAACGTAAATCAGAATTTTAGATGCTCCAAAAAAGCGTGGCCTGGCGTCCATCATATTTAGTCCTTATTGCTTTTTATTCTACAACTTTAACTTCCTTTAAACTTCTAGGATAGTTGAGTTAAATTCATATTTTGTAAGGATTTATATAGTCACAAATCTTATTGTGACTTTGTGTCTTTCTTGTTACAAAAATAATGATTTCGTAGGACAAAAACCAAGATACGACTTTCTACAGAAAATTTAAACATTTTTGAACATTTCCTTCCTCTAACTTCTAACTCAAAACAAGTCGTACAGCTAGAAGGGCAACTGTTTTGTGAAGCCAACGACCAAAGCAAACTTTCCTCATCACTCGTTTGATGGTTTTTGGAAATTTAATTTTCGACAAAATTTCGATTATTTTGTAAGGGGAAATATCATCAAAATTTGCAAAAAATGGCTACATTTTTACATAACAAGGTGTGAATGCAGTTTGGTTGGAAATTAAATCACGAGCTCATCGAGGTATAACATTCCAAATTCGGACTATAATTGACTTGGTTATGAACACAATACTGATTATTTTATTACCCAAATCGTCTTTTGGCATAAAATAACATGGTCAAAACTAAGACCTACAAATAAGACTAAAATCCCTAAAATTTATTTTTAAAAAAATACCTAAACCTTGCCCTTAAATTGCCGAAAAAATGGTTTCCTATTTTTTTATAACTGCAGCTTAGCTAATCTCCCTTCAAGATGACTAATACTCCTTAAATTTATGCACAGTGAATCCCTTTCCTTCCAGCCCTGCTAATAGTTGGTCCAACTGATGGATGAGCCCCTTCCTCCGCCAACAGCATGAATGATAGTCGAAAATGTTGGGGACTAGGGCAGTGCCAACCAGCTGCCCTCCAAGCGGCGTACATCTACTCGTACATCAAGTGTAAACAAACATGAAATTTGATTACCAAAACATGAGAGTTGGCTTTTAGCTGGGCCCAACACCCCACATTTGCCACCCATTTTGTAGCCCAATATGATTAATCGTAGCTGCATATGCAGCTGCAATCGTTCTGAAAGCCACTAGTTAATCAGTTTTCCTGTCTTCTTTTCATTTCCAAGGAAACGCCAGACTGTGGCTGCTAATTATGTTGCGACTGGAAATGGAGCTCCTCCATTTCGCCAGCACAATGTGTGTGGTTTCTCACCATCCCGAGACGCTTGTCTGCACAGAAAGAAAAAACCTTAACTAAAAACATAACTTTACTTAAAATAGTTACAAAAATATCAATTGATTAAGTAGAAACTATCATTTTAGGCAAGTTTATGTTTAGTAAAGTTTAAGCAGCCTAGTTTTTCTCTGACTGCATCCATGCTGTGGTGACAAATGCAATAAAGAGCGAAAGCGAGAAGCTCTCGTTGACGTGGGTCGGGGAACGTGGAGGCTTACTGTTGCCAGTTTGATTAATGACGGCGATTGCCGGGACTGATGGCCAAGAGGAGGATTTTGAGGGGCCTTCATTGACAGTGACCCCCGTTCGGGCACTTTCATGGCCAGGCCACTTTATTATTGCGAAAGGAACTAAGTTGTCTGCCAAGGCGGCCATAAAACATCTTCGCAGAGTCATTTTAAATCAGGGAAAACAGTGCCACAAGCGCCGAGAATCAATCAGAGTGGGGGCGTTGAAGGGGGCGTAAACCAAGTGCAGCCCCACTGTCATCAATGTTTACGACTGGCTATAATGACGAAACACTGCGAAAAGAGGGAGATTGGCATGGCATAATCAAAAGGACACGCAGCCTCATCAAGTTTTTCGCATTTTCGGGGGCTTCCCCTTTGTTGTTTGGCAGCCATTGTTGTTGCGAACAATGCGTGAAAATAAAATGACCGATAATGAGTGCGTTCCCAAACGAAAAGAGAGCCGTCGCTTCTGACCCAAGTTTTGTCAGCCTTGCAAGCCATTCATATCCATGTGCTGACAGCAAATTGTCCAGAAACTCAAAAAGGCAACAAGCCGTTAGAAGCCATAAAACGGTCAGCAAACAGCAAACAGCAAAACGGCAAAGCAGCAAAACCCCAAAAGGGGCCCCTATCAACATTCATAATGATTGGCAAAAAAAATATAAATGAAAAACGAAAGAAACAAGGAAAAGGTTTAAGCTGCAGATGTTGCCAACGGTGAAAAAATTATGCGAAATGCGCCAGATGGTTTTGAAAATCGTTTTCAGAACTATCCAGGATCTTAAAATTCCGATTTTAGTGAAATGGGGTTTAAGGAATATTTAAAAACCGCGCAAATTTTTAAATTATCCTGCAGAGGTGCCAGACGTCATGATTTCCTACATATAACATGATGTAAGTTAACAGCTCTGGTTAGTGATTTCACTGTTATGATCTAGCGGAGACACCTACCACTAATTTTCGTTTCCATCTCAATTTTTGGATTTCGCGCTGCTACGCCTTCCAAAATAGCCGAAATTGTTCTTAAAAATGCTATAAAATATAAAAGCTGGAATTAATGAAATTGAAGTAGAAAATGTCCCTGGACGACGACCACCATCGGCTTCGAACATATCTTTGTCAAGAGACAAAGTTTACCATATTAAGTTCTAGAAACCCAAATAAAAATATGTATAAATGTGAAAATTTACAAAACGATTTGTATAATTTAATAAAAAAAAATAGAGGACAACGAGAGAAGTTCTGGGTAAATGCGTAGGTGGATCTGGACTTGGTCCTGCCCAAGGACTACATGAAGTCATCCGACTCGTTGCCCGCATCATAGTTGGTACGCATGTTTTCGGTTTTCTGGAGAGAGGCGTAGCTGCGAAGCTCCGCTTCCAATTCGCGCTGCTTAGCGGCTTCCTTCTCCTTTTCGCGACGCTCCCTCTGTAGCTTTTTCTGGTCCTGGCGCTCAGCGGCATCACGAGCCTCGCGCAGTCCCCTATAATCGGGATGCTCCTCCTCCGTCTTGGTCTTGTTCAAGCGGTTAACAATCTCATTGATACGCTTTTCCAAGCGGATGCGACGGACCGCCTTTTCATCATGATAGGCAACCTGGCCGGGTTCCATGTCAGGGGTTTTCTTAAGATTCTCCCACATGGTGTAGACCACCTCCAGGTTGTTCACCTTGTTTCCCTGAATGCTGTTGGCCTTGCAGAGCTGGGCGGCGTCCACCAGAACATCACTAGGTATGTCATCGATGGTCTGTCCCTTTCGGAGTCTCAGGTACACATGGGCCGAGGACAAATCGTGGACGTGAAACCACACGTCTTCTGGCCATCCCCATCTGATCAGTTCCTCGTTCTCGTGCTTATCACGACCCATATAAAGCAACGCCGGCGGCTGGACTATATTGCTCTTGAAATAGAACACCATTTTGCCAAATTCCAGAACACAAAAGACAAATAATAGCTAAAATGTTGGCCAGCTGATTCTTCTCACGCTTTCGATGCTTTAAGTTTCGCTTCAGCTTCTTTTGTTAGATCTACCTCAATTAACCTTAATAAGATGAATATGATAATATTAATATTATTACCAATATTAAATTTATTTTATTTTATTTACGCCGGTGCCTGGCTGGTAGTCGATAGGTAAGCAAAACGTAATCGATACAAAGAGATGTGACTTAGGGCCGTCTCGAGTTTAGAGTGACCAGTAAAGATTGTACTTGAGCACAACATAAAAATACCATTAAAAAATGTTTTGTTAAAATCAACAAAAGTTTGAAATTACATCTATTCAAATTTAATTAAATGCCTACACAGCGACTGCTTGTGTGATTTTGCTACAAATTCTAACCTAGCGTACATATGCTTAAAAATGCCGTTAACGCGGGAATCGGCCCGTGAGCTTTGTCGCACCTGCCTGCTCCAATTGGACAAGGAAGACATCAAATCAGAGCTTCAATCAGAGGAGATCCCAATCAGTGCGGAGGTGCAACAGTTGCTGAACATAAATCTTTCCCAGGATGTGGAAAGCCAGGACATGGAGCAGTGGCTGCCCAATGAACTGTGCTTGGAGTGCCGCGCTTTAGTTCAGAATTTTGAGAAGTTCCGCAGAAAAGCCGATGATTGCAGAAAGCAGTTGCTTGAAATGCTTAAGGAATCGCAGGAACCCACTTTTGAGGTGGTCTACGAGGACAGGGAGCAGGACGAGGGGTCGCTGCATAGCTTGGATCCCCCAGAACCCGAGCCCGACCCAGATCCTATCGATGAACCGGCTTTAAACACTGATACATCTTCCAGGAAGTCCTCCAGAGGCTCAAAAAACAATCTAAAGTGCTCCCTGTGCCGACACAGCTTTGCCCACCAGATCACCCTCTCAGCTCACATTCGCAAAGTCCACGAAGGCAGTAAACGACCCTTTCAGTGCGACCAATGCGAGAAAGCATATAGTTTTATGGGCGGTTTGTACACCCACATTCGAGAGGTGCATGCTCCCAAGGAGCGACGACATCCCTGCGATCAACCAGGCTGCGAGAGGATCTACACCAGCCGCATAGCCATGCAAAAGCACAAAAGGCTTAAGCATAGTCCCCGAGACAGGGACGCGTTGAAGAAGTTCATCTGCGAGCATTGCGGTGCTAGCTTTAATCAATCAGCTAATCTTAAGTATCATCTGAAAACGAAGCATCCCACCGAAGACGAAGTGGCTGCCAAGGAAGGCGGTGCAGGGGAACGTCACTACTGCGATATTTGCCAAAAGGAGTTCCATTCGCGATACACTCTTAAATACCACACTTTGCAGCAGCATGAGGGACAGGAGGAGCTACCCCACGAATGCCAGGTCTGTGGCCGCCGGATGGCCAAGAAGTTCATGCTGCTACAGCACATGCTGATGCACTCCAGCGACAAGTTACCCTGCGAGCACTGTGGCAGGCGCTTTGCCAGAAGATTCGAACTGGAGGCGCATGTAAGGGCAGTCCATCTGAAGCTCAAACCCTTCGCGTGTCGCCATTGTCCAGAAAGCTTCGCGTCAAGGAAAACATTGAGGCACCATGAGTACATTCATACGGGAGAGAAACCCTACGTTTGCATCACCTGCGGACAGGCCTTTCGACAGCAGACGTGTCTCAAGAACCATCGGAAGGTGCACGAGAAGTAGCGTAAGCTAGCCTTACAGTATTTTTATGAATACATAGTTTAAGTTGAACTTGGCTTTGTTTGGGTGCTTCTGGAACTAGTCAAAGACCTGGCGGGCCTTAGCCATTAATTTCGCGGAAAAAAAAATCCAGGGATAAACTTAAATAGCTTTATAGACCAGTAAATTGTCCGAGTACACGATTTCAGGAAGCGTCCGGTGGCTTTGCTGCAGGATCCGCCTGTGTGTTGTGCTGTTCCCGTTCGATATAGGCGGGCAGATCCTCCAGTGGCTTATAGTACAGATGCACTGCCTGAGATCCGGCCATCATAGATGCCATGGCGCAGGCAAGGAACTTCATGTACTGACCCCACGACACTCCGGCGGGCATTTTGTTTAGTCAGTGTTGTTTGCGGTCCGTGACTGCAGATGCTGCTGCTCCTCTACGTAGTTCTTGGCCTGGCGACGCTTAAAAGTGCGATCTAAAATGAAGAAGAGATTCCTTATTGGTCTGAAGAGTATTTCGTTTGGGAGGAGCGTGGTTACAGAAATTCGTCTCGCCCACTGTCCAATTGATCATAGAGAATTCCAGGCCGGCACCAAGCAGGAAGAAGAGCGGCAGAAAGCGGTAAACACCAAATCGCTTCTTTCCTGGCCAACTGTCCAGCAGACGACGGACGGATCCACTGTACGCACTCATGTGTTTTTAACCGGCGATTATATAACTCCGTGTCTTTTACGCCCTTTTTCGGACGATAATCAAAAGTGCCTTGTGCGTGGAATGCCTCCGTCACATGGGTGCGTCCGTCCTGTATGAAGTTTAATGGAAAATGTTAATTTTCCTTGAATTGTTTATTTAATATTTGTCAATAAAAGCAAACTCCGCTTGCCCTACGTTTCAAATTTCAGTCGTTCCTCCGCAATCAGCTGTTTATTTGGAGACGATATGTGCAGGGGCTGTGGAATTAGGGATGAACTTATAAATTAACAATCGCTAAAAAATAAGTCGTGCTTGTGGATATATATTTTTTACCAGCTCTGCTGCTAAAAGCACATATATATATATCCTTTGAAATTTTCCATTAATTCATGTATCCGTTATATAAATATATATAAATATAAATAGTTATTTTGCGTGCATCGTGAGTATGTCACTAGAACCCCCTCACAGTGTCATCACCAAATACTCATCCCTGAGTGTAGCAAAAAAAGAAAACAGAGCTTAAATAGTAAACAATTTAGGGCCGAATATGATACACAGTCTGTTTATAGTAAACAGCGGCGGGTAAGCCAATCATCTTGAAGGCATATATATCCGATATAACCGTTTTATATTCTTAAATCAGCGAGGTCTTCCTGGAAAAGCACTGGCGCTCTGTAGTCTCGCGATCTGTGTGCGAATATTTCCTCGACGCCCAGCGAGCCGCTCCATATGTAAGCCGACCCTGCCACGTATGGCCTATGTATTGATTATATCTTTCGTTTTCAGGATGTGCCGCCGGTGATAGCCACGCCCCACTACTATCTGATTACGGTGCAAAGGGATACGGTGTCCTTGGTGGCCGCCTGCAAGCAGGAAGTGCCTCCACTCTTTGTCATTGAGTTCCTACATCGCGTAGTGGACACCTTCCAGGACTATTTCGGGGACTGCTCGGAGTCCGTAATCAAGGATAACTATGTGGTCGTATATGAGCTGCTCGACGAGATGCTGGACAATGGCTTCCCGTTGGCCACCGAGAGCAACATCCTAAAGGAGCTGATCAAGCCGCCCAATATCCTGCGCACCATTGCCAACACGGTGACGGGCAAAAGCAAGTGAGTTCAGTGATGCTTCTTCACCCGTTAGATGTCCCCTTTAATCCATTTTGTATATTTCAAAGTGTTAGCACCACCTTGCCCTCGGGTCAGTTGTCTGCGATTCCCTGGCGCAGAAGTGGCGTGAGGTACACCAACAACGAAGCGTACTTTGATGTCATTGAGGAGGTAGACGCCATAATAGATAAATCGGGTTCCACGGTCTTTGCGGAGATCCAGGGACATGTAAGTAAAACTATAAAAGCGTACTCTCTCTCTATACACTGCTCCTTTTTAGATCGACTGTTGCATAAAGTTGTCCGGTATGCCCGATCTGACGCTGTCCTTCATGAATCCTCGCCTATTCGACGACGTCTCCTTCCATCCTTGTGTACGCTTCAAGCGCTGGGAGGCGGAGCGCCTGCTCTCCTTTATACCGCCCGACGGCAATTTCCGTCTGATGTCGTACCACATTAGTTCTCAGTCTGTGGTAGCCATACCCATCTACATTAGACACAACTTTTCGATCAAAACGGGTGAGCAAGGACGTCTGGATCTGACAATTGGGCCAAGAAACACCCTGGGACGCACTGTGGACAAGGTGAAGCTGGAGCTGACTATGCCGCGGTGTGTGCTCAACTGCCTGTTGACGCCGAATCAGGGCAAGTACACCTTCGATTCTGTGACAAAAACATTGTCCTGGGATGTAGGACGCATTGATGTGTCTAAGCTGCCAAATATTAGAGGATCGGTAAGTCGAATATTAAATTCCCCTTAAATTCCTTTTGAAACTACAACCTACTTTTCCCGTAGGTTTCCATTACACCCGGAACGACCAACATCGATGCCAATCCGTCCGTGAATGTCCAGTTCCAGATCTCGCAGCTGGCCGTCTCCGGGCTCAAGGTAAATCGCCTGGACATGTACGGCGAGAAGTACAAGCCCTTTAAGGGCGTAAAATACCTGACCAAGGCGGGCAAGTTCCAGGTGCGGATGTAGACGAGATCAGCATCCCAATTCCGATTCCAGCTTTAATTAAGTGCTAACGTTAAGTGTATTCCACTGTTTTATGTCATTTTGCCCTCGTCTCTCCCTCTCTATCTCATCTATGTATCTATATATCTACCCATAAAAGTTTAACTTCAATTGTGGTCGCCGTGTCGTTGTTCTTGGGCGGCGTCGCCATATTCGAAAAGCTAAGAATGCGAGAATCGATCGGGAATAAAGTTGCAAGTCTTCGAGTCGGCGAGGCATGGCAATGGCTGCGTCTTCGACTCCAACTCCAACTCCACTTCACTTCAAGGCACTCCAAGTCACTCCACTCGATACAACTGTGCCTGGCAACAGCCAGCGAGGAAACCAATAAATTTAAATGAAAATGCAAAACTTGATTTTGCAGCCAGGCCAACGCATTTAGCATACGAATAGTATGTATACATCTGTTTATGAATGTGTGTGAACAATGGCGTAAAGTGGAGATTCGCTAGAGATGATTTTCGCAGAAATGCCAAAGGCGGAAATTGAAGAAATAGAATTTATTGTAAGAGAAAAAAACATTTTCTTCTAAAGAAATCTTTTTGACCAACAAATAAGACTTATTTTATAGCAAGTGCATCTCTAGAGGTTCCACTGTTTGTGGCTCGTTATCTCCTTATACAACCTTAGCTGCATTTTTGTCTGTGGCCGAGACCGGTAACCGGTTTGCCCCCTACCACGCCCCCAATCCCTTGCCCCGCCCCTCTGTTAAGTCCACTGCAACAGCTTCTAGGCTTTTGGGCGCGGCGTGCAACGGTAGCCAACAAGCGCCACCAAAAGGCGACGTCGACCATGGCTAGACATGTTATACAGACACACAGAGAGAGAGCCAGCTCTTGACCGGGTCCAAAAAAATCCGGACCCCAAACGGATCGAGAAAATAACTCAGGTTTCGAGTCCAGCTCGCGAGTCTCGAGTCATTTTTCAAGCGTGGGAAACACTCGTTAAAAGCCAAGCAAGTTCTTGAAAAAATCGAAGGGGGTAAAGGGCGGGTGGCGGCACAATTCTCCTCACAGCATGGCGGGCGGCAAGCCCCAAAATCCATAGTCCTATATCAGCCCTATCCCTCTATAACATTACGCCCATGCGAGGCGTTTTTTAAACGCTCATTAACAGCGGGCGTCAAGAGTTCGTTGCCTAAGTCTTTCGTTTTGCCCTCCTAGGGCTTCCCTATCGCCATCTCCTTCTCTCTCTCATGAGAATGAAATGCCATTGGCATTTTGCCGCCGTAATTGATAGCGCATTTCATACGGTTTGATTGTAAATGTTTTTCATCACATTTGCATTTCCCAGCGCTCGAGGTAGAGCTATTTAAAATCAAGTATTACCAAGAAGTCGAATATTGAGATACCCCAGAATCTTGAAAAATAAGTAGGATGACCTCTGGCACATATTAAATGGGTACTAGAGATCTTTAAATGTCTTAATCAATGAATTATTGTTGAGAGGTAATAATTCATTCACCTTGTAGATATGATCTTATACATATATAGTACATAACAGAGTTCTATCCTAAAGATGGACCTTGCGTAACTGGATGAGAACACATCACAGCCTCGGAGAGGGTAACAAAAGTATTATTTAAAATTCCCTGTCTGAAAATGTTAATTGCATTTGGAATTGTTGCAGTTCATGAACAGATTTGTAGCACCTGAATGTGCTTTTTAATGAGCCCCTCGAGGTGTGGATGAAGCCCCATAAATTCCTTCTTCAAGCGAGATTGCACGTGATTTGTTGCCCTCATACTTGTTTTAATCGATACGAAGTCATCTTAGCTCAATAAGCATTTAAAATGCTTACTTTGCTTCTGTAATACTCGGATGCTACAGTGAAGTTTACCTATTAACGTCTCGCTAACTGCCTTTAAACAGATGCAAATGCATTATTGCATTTGATCTACTTTTAAAGTGTTTGAACATCTCGAGGGTTTAATTTTTAAATATATTTGAAAAGGCCTTTCGTGTGTTTGCCTATCGTGAGTTTGTAATAAGATTAGGGTATACGTGCAGTTGGGTTTGCATAAATTACAGACCGATTTCTTATTTGGGCAAGTCTATATAACGATTTTTTGAAAGAGGGAAAAGTGAAGTGGAAAATAAAGTTTATAGGAAATTAAAATTTTTGTGTCTTTTAAGGCAAACTTTCTACTTATACATACCTAAAACTACTTTTCCTAACATAATTTATATAATATTAATATATCAAAACCTATATATTTTCGATCTGCAATTTGCTGCAGGAAACATTCAAAGTCACAGACAAGCGAATGGAGTTTTTTGCTCAAAACTATTTCAAGTGAAAGACAAGCAACAAGCATTTGTCATTAGTGCAACAAGGTTGCACCTCTTCAACCCCCCTAAAAAGTAGCATTAGAAGGGTAGTCAGAGGGGGGAACTGTAGCAGGTCGTGCAATTGTATTCGCAGTTCGATAATAATTTATGCAACTTGTCGCCGGTGCACTAAGCAAATGTTTAAACTCTGCCTGTTCGCAGTGTTTGCTTTGCTTTGTGCTTTGTGCTTTTCGCCTTTGTTTGTTTGTTTGTTTGCTTTGATTGCTGTTTGCCCAACTTTGCGAAAGGTGTTGAATGCCGGCCGCGCCAATTGTAGCGTCCCACATGATTTCGAAACTATGGTTTATATATACTCGTATATAGTAAACCAGAGCACGAAGCCCCATAGAATGTCTATTGGGCACTCGGCCGTCTGGCCGGCTAATTAGAAACGCTGATTGTCTACGCAAGAAAATGAGGGAAGTGGGTGGAAAATGGAAAACAGATCCAGAGGGAAATGATGACACTGATGGGTGTTCGAATATGAGTACCCTAGCGTAGCTCTAGCTCTATATAAAAGTCAGATTTCCGTTTAATATCAAGAAGTAAGACTACTGTAACTACAAAGTATCTAATGTAGCTAAAATGTAACTGAAAAGCAGCTAAAATGTAACTACAATTTAAAAGATTTGTATAATGTAACTAAAATGTATCTTGAATACGGTTTAAATGTAACTAGAAAGTAGTTACAATGTTATAAAACAAAGCTAAAATGTTGCACAAATCTCAGTTTGTAACTAAAATGTAGGATTATCAATCATCAAGCAGAGGTTATTCATTCATAATCTAAGATTCACTTAGATCAACGACTTCCTATTCATAACCGTAGCATTATAGGGTATGCTCGACATGAAGACGCCTCCATAAAATAGACTTTCTGTGTCACAGCGATGAGGCTCATTAAAAACGATTGAAACTTCCGGAATTCGATGGCCCAAGTGGAGCCGCGTCCAGAACGAGAATCAGAACCATTATCCAAATCGCAACCAAAAATATGAATCCAACAGCACAAGCGCCACGAAAGTGTGTTTATAGAGCGTTAAATCACTCATTTCTTAGCTTTTGATGGCCAAACAAAAACAAAGACCGAAAAACTAAAAAAAAACGCGAAAACAAAAGAAAAAGGTGACTGAAATTTCGAGCCCCTGTCCCGGAGGATTTGCATACAACAAAGTCCTCAATTTGCGATAAACAAATATGAATATTTGAGTATAAACTGCTTACGCATACTAAAGCAGGCAGGGGTATTTTTCCAACCGATATCTGTGATATGCTAATGCCGAAAGTCTTGATACGGTGTTTGCGGACCTCTCATGTGCGGCGACTAATTAGTTAGTGTTACAAATTGTTTTTAATTAATCGATTTATAAGAGGTTAGAGGTCAGTTTAGAGATTATTATAAAAGATAAACAAATTGTGAAAATGAGACAGTTATTTATTTATATAGAATATATCCCCTCCCCTCGCCCAGATTTCAATTGTGACTTCGCCAGCAGTGCCTATAAATAACTTCTTTGGAATGAATATAAACGCAATCAGAACTTAAAACAGGCCAAACTGGAAGTCTGTTTTCGGGCTGTTCAAGTGAATTTATCGCATTGAGCAAGAGACACAAAGAATTAAAACAAAAACCAGGCACAATTGTGTTTAAATAAAGGCAAATCAACAAATAAGCAAAATAAAAAAGCAAAACATTACAATAAATCAGAGACGACGAAACCTTCAGCGTTTCCCAAGCGGTCTTGTTTTTTTTTTTTTTTGTATAAATAAATTCTGTCTAAAGCGAAATTTAGGGGTTTTGGGGTTTGAAATGGGGCTTACGTAAGCAGTTCCCGCAGCAGCCGCCAGAGGCCGCCACTGAAATTGATCGCTGGGGGCGATGATGTTGGGGGTGTTTCGCCGTAAATCTTCTGAGCGAAATTGCTCGAAATTAATTTGACAATTGCAAGTGCAAGGTCATCTGAAAGGTGTGTGTGTGCTGTATATACTATATAGCATGATTGTTCAGTTTACTGCATTCGGGAAATGTAAGCAGATATCAGGGGAAATGCAACACAAGTTTTGACCAGGAAATTCCGTATTATTTACAATTTAGCGAAGGCTTTTTTTGCAGATATTTTATTTATATTTCAGCAACTAACAGATGACACTTGATATCCCAGGAATGTTTATGGCTAATAATAAATTCAATTCAATCAATTTAATTAAAAGCCCAGAACTTTGACACTTGCGGCAAGTCGAGTTCTTTGACCCCATTCTCCCAGTTTTAGTTTCATTCGCGTTCGCATTCCCATACCGATTTCGCTTTCTTCGGCTGGCTCCATGCCGTAATATTTATTTACGTATTTATTGAGGCCAATTGCAGCGTTTAACTCAATTTGATATGCTAATTTGCTCAACATCTCCTCGGCCTTCTATTGCCACACTTTCCATGTAAATTGCACAAGAGGCATGTTGACGTCGGGAATTGCTTGAGTTCTCACCGGCTACCAGTTTCCCCGCGATTACGACACTTTAAAGTTAGTGACCCACTATGTTTAATACGCGGCTAATAAGCAATTTCATGGGAATATCAACGAAAGTGTAATTATAACATGGTAACTCATAGAGTCAGATTTATATACCAAAGTATTTATATAGATTTTTGGTATTGAAAGTCCTATGGTTAAGCCTTATCTGAACTAAATTGCAAAAATTCTACTTTTCCTACTTTCAGATTTCCTAAGAATGAAAAAACAAACTCAGCGAGGTAACACATTCCCTATTTGGACCACTATTGGTGTAGTTATGAGAAAAATACTACCAATTTGTGGGGGGAAAAGCGATAAATCGGATTTTCAATTTCCTATAAGGGGTAACATCATCAAATTTTGCTAAAAATGTCCAAAAACCAAGATTTTTAGTTGTGAATGCAGTTTTGTTGGAAATTTAAAAACGAATCCAACGAGGTATGACACTCCACATTGGGACCAACATTGACTTAGTTATAATCATAAAACTGTCATTCTGATGGGAAAATCGGGATAAACAGAATTTCGAATTTCGATAAGGGGTAACATCAACTTTTTTTGCGAAAAATTGCTAAAATTTTACATTTTAAGCTGTGAAAACAGTTTTGTTGGAATTTCAATTACGAGTTCATTGATATATGACATTCTATACTTGGACCACTTTTGACTTTGTGGTGGGAAGATTTCTGATTATTAAAGAGCCAAAATCGGGATTATGATCTCTGACAGAAAATTCTACCTCGTTTTATCGGCTTTATACCTATAACTTAGTCAAAACAAGACGCAGAGTTAAAATGAAGACTGTTTTGTGAAGCTAACGACCACAAGAAACTTTCTCTATCATTCGTTTGATGATTTTGGGAATTTACAATTTTTTCAATTTTTTGATTTTTTTGTAAGGGGTAATCAAAAAAGGGGTCATCAAAATTTGTGAAAATTTTGAAAATTTTTACTTTTCAAGGTGGGAATCCAGTTTTGTTAGAAATCAAATTACGATCTCAACGAGGTATTACATTCCATATTCGGACCATTATTGACTTAGTTATGGGAAAAATCCTGCCCTGTTGTGAGGGGAAAATCAGGACTAACCAAATTTCGCATTTCTGATAAGGGCAACGTCATCCTAAGTTCTGACCCCAGAGTAATAACTTCTACCTTTGCCACTTATACAAGTAAAATATAAAATTGCTCATAGCCTTAGCAGCAGCAAACCCTTCATTGGCTATTAATTACTCGGGATCTATTAGCGGAATATGACCTACAAACACGAGGGGAAGTACGTGTCTCCAATAGCGTAGAGTACCACTTTACCTGTGGTGAGTCTAAACAAAAAACTTGAGTAAAGTCGATATGGCACGTGCGGGAATTCGATAAGAAAATTCGATCTAAACAGGATATGGTGAGGCACCTGTGGGACAGTCTGGAAGTAATGTTTATTTATTATTTGTAGACTCCAGTAGTAATTCCCTAAAAAGTTATAGGGACTGATATCGTTATCAAAGAACATATGAATTATGTTCAGAATTTAAATTTATGAGCTAGCAGAATGAGTAAAGAGAGAGAAAATAGGCATGCAGTCAGAAGAAAAGATAAACAAGAAGTTGATATAAATGTTTATAAGGAGAAGGAGAATAAATTAAGCGGAAAGAAGTTAATTTTATAAGAAGGAATAACCAGAATGTATCACTCATCCAAGTTGACGTACTGGAGCTTATGGAAACGAGGATTATGGCATTCCAGAGGTCAAAGACCACTAGAATCTAGGAGCCTAGGCCCCAAAGTTTGCCTGGCTCAAACACGTTTTGGGAGAGCTGGCTGGTCATAAAAAAACCAAGTTTACAAGGTGGGTACACAAAGCGAACCTTTGAAGTGTCCACAAAGCGTTGTTTGTACTTGTTTTAGGAACCAAAACCCACAAAAAAAAAACACCGAGAACCCTCCCGATAAGATAGATTTTCCATGTTTGCTTCGATTTTCCTTGTTTTATTTTCTTGTTTATTTTCGCATGAAACGAAGTTGAGTTCGGCTGGGGGGACAAACAGTAAATCATAAAAAGATCATCATGTTTTGGGTGTTTTTATTCTCGTTTAATGTAAGTATTTATAAGTATATGGAATTGAAATTGAAACTTAGCTTAGGGCTTGGCTCGTCTATCGCTTCGAGGATAAACACAAAGTTACAAACACTTTTATTTGATTTTCGATTGCTTTGTTTTTAAATATTGCTTTTGAGTCTTTCATTTTTGTTTTTCGTTTGTCTTTTCCATGTTTTTATTTTTTCTGTTTGTTTGTTTGTTCTTAACACTAAAATGTATATTTTTCTGGCGGTTTCGCTTTACAAAAATATATACGTCTATAAATATATATATATATATATATATATATTTTTGTATATATAAATTTATTTGCTCTTCTTTACTGATGAGTTCGGGTGTGTGTAAAAAAAATTGCGCTAAACTAAATAAATGCTACCAAAGATATGCAAAAAAAAAAAAGGAATTATAATTATTATTATTATTTGCTGGCGAAAATTGCTAAATTAAAATTGTAAAAATTGAAATAAAATATGTATTATTATGCTGGCGTTTTTGTCTTTACTAAGTGTAAATTATTGTGTTTTTTTTTATGTCATTTTGTTTTGTTTTTTTTTGTATTTTTCGCATAGTTTTTTTTGTTTAGATGTCTTAATCAATGATCACAACTCTTAGCATAAATATTACTCGCATGTGGCATTCATAAATATATATATATTGTTTCTTTTCGGTCCGTCTGTATATTTATGTATAAATATATGTGTAATTGCTTATTAAAAATATATATGGATGTATATAGATCTATCATATCTCAATTCGTTTGCTGCTGCTGCTGCTTCTGCTGCTGCACACAAAAATAGTTAATATGTTCTTGAAAAATGTATTTTCTCCTGTCTTTCAAATGGTTTCCAGAATGCTTATCGATGGATTGGCTGGCTGGTCAAGTCAAGTCAAGGGAAATTCATGACTTTGGCAAATTGGAAAAATTTGATTGTCTTTAAAAATGTAGAGCCAATCCATCTATAGCTTACATCTCTGGCTGGGGCTAGTATTTGTTATTATTGTTATTGTTATTGTACGTGTCTTGTTGTTGTTGCAAAACAGTAAACACAAATCGGTTATTGCTTGCGATCTTGTCTTTTTTTTTACCATGGAATTCGTTGATATGTGTTCATTAGCTCGTCATTAGCTCGAAAGGCCTCATCTACATTGTCGGCTTCCTATATCCTCCGCTCTCTGCGTTCCGCTTTCCGAATGTTGTTCTCCCCATTTTCCGACATCATCTTATCATCGTCTTAACCCAATTTCGGCTGCGTGAAACTGAAATGAAGTCACTTTATATATTAATACTTCGCGGGGTTAGGCTTTCGGGTTAATAATAAAAGAATGACTGGTGCCGCATTATATGACTTAAGATTAAGGTGAGTATCATTATGTCACAGAATTACAGTTGAAAATACAAAAGGATGAGGGCTACAGCAGATAAGATTACAGGAAACTCGATAAGGTTTCTTATACGGTATGCATATTTAACAAGTTTGTGGGTATACAACCGAAACATAGGTATTACTTAGCTTCTAAGAATTTACATGCTTTGTAGCTTAATGTAACGCTTAAAGGTATTACCTAATCATTTCAAACATTCCTAACAGCTGTTCTGAATTCATTTCCTATCAATAGCCTCAGTTTTGATCACCCAAACCCATTCGTACAGCTGTCAGACAGCAAAGACTAATCACCTGAGAATTTCCAATCGCTGAGGAAATAATAAATCATCCCATCATCGCCATTGTCTGAAACTGAAAACGTTGCATTTTCATTTCGGAAATCGGAAACGAATAAAGTCTGAGAGTTTCGATTCGATTCGAGTTTGACACTCTCGCTGGCTCTGCGCTAATTGAAAGCAATTAATGCAATTAAAAGCCTGGGAAATGAGTTGCTGACTTAACAAATTAAGTGCGTGTATAGTAAAAACATACAAAACCATACGGCTGTAGGCACAACTCAATGGAGAGCAAAAGTTTTCGCGTGTCTGCTTCTCGTTTCATTCAGCTTGGGGGCTGCTGAGTGGGTGGTGGGTGGTTTTTGGGTGTGACAGAGCCGTCCATTCATTAATTCATTGATACCTCAAATTGGCGGTCAGACAAAATGTATCTCTGTACGTAGATACAGAACAGACCGCACAGCAAGAGCATTTCCAGCGCTTATTTGTTGATTATGATCATCATCAAAAGCTGTGGAGGCCGCTTAAATTGTGTGCCAGCCATTAATTGAAACTACGGATCTACACAGGGGCCTGGATCTTGTGATCTCTGATCTTGAGGTGGGGCTATGGTTATCATGGGCGGTTTGGGGGGTTGACTTGCTATAAAAATGGATGTGAAAACGTGTGCTAATTGCAACACTTTGTCACCAATCAACGGCAACAGCATCTGTGCCCGTTTATGTATCTCATATCTCCGCATATCTCGCACCTTATCAGAAGGTGCTGTTCCCCGAGGTTCCCGCCTTCGATTAGATAAGCACCCTCGCCCGTACCCATGCCCGAAACTGTCACGTATCTGGTTGCCCAACTTCTAATTGGCATTGCATGTCCCAAGTCAAGTCCCAGCGAAAGATGTCTGCACATTGGGCAACGCAAACCAAGTCGGCCCGAGTAAAACTCAACTCCACACTGATTACGAATCGAGTCCGCCGTTCGGAGAACCGAACGTCGAGAGCTCTTTTCTTATCGCCGCCGCCTCTGTCCCCAAAAAAAAATGCCCACACCGTAAGAAATTTGGTGATGGAAATCTAAAACTACAACTACTGTACGAGTACTGCGGTATCATTCTGGTTTGTAAGTTAATCGAAGTATTAAAAAATCTATCAAAGATCTACCAATTATATGGTATTACCAGTCTTTTGTCTCTGTGTAGAGATGGCAACTTGGGTCGTCAAAGAGTCGAAATCTTGAGACTTGAGGCAATCTAAGAAAATCTGAGGCCATGGAAAACGACTAATAAATAATGAGCTTGTTAGCTCGGCAGTTCGACCATCACTGGTGATTAGGCTTGGACTATTTGGTACCCTAGAGTAATAGTTAAGGATTTGAAAACTTCTGATAAATAAAACTCTTTCGGGATTCTTAATTTTAAAAGTTATTTGCAACCTTTTACATAAGATTTACAAAAACGAAATCAGTACAGCGTGTTGTGAAAATCAAACTGAGTATTAAACGAATAAAAACCCGCCTCTTTTCAAATACCTGAAGAGATCTGTACAAAGTGGTTCTGGTGCTGAAACCACCCTCCCTCTGGAATTTTAGAGAGCATCGTGTAGAGAAATGCCAAGCCATAAGAAGACAGAAGAATCTTTTGCCCTGCTGGCAACAATCTTCAACTAACTGCTGGTCAAACTGGTTTGCCCCCTACACTCCGCCTCTCTTTCTTTTCCCTTGCCTAGTCGGCCGTGTGTATGTGTGTGTGTAAGGGGATCGAAGCTATGCTGGCTGTTGCGCATGCGCAGCTGCCGTCTCGCTTGCTCCGAAGCCGGTTACGCTTAAATGAGCGTAAGACCAGAAGAACTCTTTTCTCTCTCACACTCTGTGAGCACAGTTTCTTTTTTGTGTTGGAAAAAAACATAATTTTTTATTGTCATTAGTTAAGTCTTCTCTAAAAAAGTAGCGTCGAAAAAAAAGAAAATTAACTATCAAAAAAAAAAAGTAGTATATCGTATGTATAATCTTAAGACTTAATCGAGGTTTACATCGAGTGGAAGTGTGGCTTGGGCTAGAAGCTAACTTAAGCTAGTGTCTTGATGATGATGATGATTAAGGGGAATAGTGTTTTGGGATAGTTTGGGATGGTATTTACGAGACTTACTGGCACTCTGGCACACGGCCACGCCCACTGATTAGGCGTCGAAGGGCCGCTTATGGGCGCTATGCTCATCGCCGCCCATTTCACGGGACAAGTCCGATATCACTTCCTTGTAGATGAGTGGATCGATATTCTTGCCCAGCTGATACAGCAGGAACCAATCGCCAATGTTGCACTTGTTGGCCACCAGCTCGACCTCCTCGCTTTCGGCCAGACGGGAACGGGCGCGGAGCAGAAGATGGCGAAGTTTAGGACCCGCCACTACGGCGATTCTGTAGATCAGCGATATACCGGACAGGATGCTCAGGATGATGAACCAGAACCACAGGAACACGTAGATCTTCTCGTTGACAATGTTCAGGGGCAGCACGCACAGACCGTCGAACTTCTGAACACTGCCGGAGGGACCGTATTTGTGGAACGTACACTTGGTGACTTTCGGAAAGACCCGAGCCATGGGATCGATACGATCATCGGGCTCCATTTCGGTGAACTTGAGGACATCGCTGCCGTAGGTGCTGAACTCGCCATCGAGGAAGAAGTCCACAAAGTAGATCTGTCCAATCACATTCACGAAATTCAGGGCCTCGCACACGAAGAATCGGAAGGCGTAGAAGTTGTGGCGATTCAGGTTGCCAATGAAGTAGTCCACCAGGATCTTCTTGCGATCGTTTTTGCACTCCTCGTTCACAATGGGACTGTTGAGATCCATGACCAGCATCTTGAGACGACCGCCCTCCCAGGATTTCCACAGATAGCGTGGGACGTAGAACAGGATGGCCTGGAAGAAGAGGACGAAGCAGACCCACTGGTAGTACTTGTGGTACTTCACTTCATCCTCGCCCTCCACATGAGATCCCACTCCGGGCTGCACCACATCGCGTCCCGTAATGCCCGTTAGCCTCTCTGGCACGGTGAAAGTCGAGTAGATCCAGCAATAGGTATCCATCACGCCAAGCGGGATATCATCTACGATACAGTCGATGGGGTCACCGATATATTGGCGAGAGGTCACCAGCAGGGAGAAGGCGATCAGTATGATCACCGTGGCCTTATAGTGCATGCGAAACACATTGTTGTCGATGCACACCTGGTCGATCTTCAGCAGGCCCTTGACGGACCCAAAGACATCAAACATCTTGTCTGTTTGCTAATCTATTAACGATTTGTAGGGATTCTTTTATTTCGGAGGATACTACAACTCCTTGGCAGTATCGGTTTGGTTATATGTTTGCCTGGTTTGGTCTGGCTTTTGGGTCTGGGTTCGGTTCGGGTTCCCTCACACGTTGGCCACCATTACTCTTCAGTTTCTGTTTCAAGAATGCACACGAAAAAAAAAGATAGTAGTAACTATCGGGGAGAGCAGCGTTACGTGGGATTTGGCACTGGATCTTCGGTTTGGATCCCCCAGAGAGCTTCGTTTTTGTTCGGCTCGAGTTCGTTCGAGTTTCGCGCTCTCAACGCGACAACAAAAAGAAAACAACAACAAGAATTTCGGGGGGCGGCGGGGCGACGGTTACCCAGGTGGAAGTTTAAACGCCGTCGCAGCAGCGGCACTAAGCGCACTCTTCGGATAGAAAATTCAAACTGTTCGGCTTTCCGCTGAGCCAAGTCGCTTGGCTCCGTTAAACGCCGTCGCGCGAGAGTGCCGTAAAGAGAGAGTAACAGAGTGAGCGACGACTAGAGACAGAGAGATAGAGAGGGCTCTCTCGCTGGGGTGGATCTTGTTAAACAATAAACTTTGTTTTATTTCATTTCAATCCTCTCTGGGCTCTCTCGTTTTGGAATGACTGAATTCGATGGACCAAAAGGGTAACATTTTCAAATCCCAAATCCCGGAGAGAAGGAAAGAGAAGGAGATTAATTCAGTGATGCTACAGCACGCTATTCAAAAACCTTAATCATTTACATTAATGTTATTAGTTTTTGATTCGTTTAAAATATACGTATACGTATTCGTATTTCGTTTTTCACTTTGACACTTCACATAACAAAGTACGGTTTCATCCAACATCTGGCAGCCTTATCCGCAATTAACCCTAGATTAGTTTTATTTCGAAGGTTTTTCAAAGATAAGAACTATCATATCTGTAGAATTTTTAAATACCCTTAACCTCAATACGTTTTTTTAAATACTTATAATCTTATCATTATTAATGTACTTTTAAGACACACTTATAAAATTAAATTAAGAACCAAATTTTTATACGTTTTTTGAAAAACTGCGTTTTTATTCTCTTAAACATTCTAAGTTTCTTAAATATATTTTTGGTTTTATGATTTCCAAATTTCAATTTTCCAAACTCCATTTAAAATGTTGCATACCTTCTGGGGTTAAGCATGTTTTTTTCTCCAGCACAGCTCCAAAGATTTATGATTTAATTTTAATGTCATCTGGCAACGCCGACGCTCATGAGTCTGTCGATGCATTTAACCCCCCGATGGGACACGACCCCACCTCTCACCATGCTTTTAACTTTTAACTCGGAATCTGCCATATTGGAGCTGCGATTGCATTTGTATTTGTGTGTGGAGTGTGTGTGGCTGTGGAGGCGACAAGTTCTTGGAACCCGTTGTGTTGTTGTACTTGTGGATGCTGGAGTGGTTTTTGTTTTTCTGTTCTTTTTTGAGCACGAGATGGGAGCTGCTGCACCACCAACAAAAAGAACAAGTTAAACAAGGCACGAAGAGGTGAAGTGAAATAAAGATAGAGCGAGAGAGAGCAGCACAAAGGAAATGTATGAAACATTGAAACTCTCTGCTTTCACTGCATTTCTATACCTGCATACCCCTATATACCTAATGATTTCGAACAATTACCGGCGTGCAAGGGAATTTACCTGCGTTTCAGGTAAAGGCCAAGAATATTTAGCGCGATTTTTCATGCCCTTCTGTGGAGAGAGAAGAGCGCCCTGGAATAGGAACAAAACGAAAACGCGACTACCTGTTACACTCGTTCTTCTTCTCTCCCTCATTTCTTTCTTTTCGTTTTTCGGACAGTTCTTGAGGTTCGACATTCTTCTTTTACCTGTTATCTGTCCATAAATTCGAAGCCATAGCTCTGGAGTCCCTCGAAACTATCTCAACTGTAAATTAAACATTTCAATCCGGACACAAGCTGGCTTATCAGGGGTATATAAGTATACATATAGGAATATATAATGTCGGCCCTATATAACATACTACCTTATATTGCTCTCAAGTGCGTGTATTCGATTGTACAAACTAATTAAAACGGTCTAGATGTAGCAACACTCGGCTAGTTTCAGAAGGCTGATAAGAGATATAGTATTTGTCATGGGAACCGAAATGGTTGCCATAGGTGTTATGACATCGTAGATCTGGGTTGATATGGTCGGACATTGGGGATGTCTGAAGGTTCCACTTGGCAGACATTCAATTCAAGGTTTAATGGGTTTGGAGGTGTAAAATCCTATAAAATTATGTTAGCAAGCCGAGCCTTAAGCCATAAATTAAATAAATAGATTTATTAGAAGAGACAGCGTAATCTATCATAGCAGCCAGCTGCCAAATTGATCGTATATCCAAGATATAAACAACAATATAGCCCCAAGAAAGATGTAAATTACTTTTGCAAAAAAGAAAAAAAGACTCATAAAAACTGAACCAATGAGTCCTCTCAATCAATGATGATTAGCTACTGCCTGCCAAGCAACCTGAGAAGCGGGCAATAAAAATCAGTTATAAAACCATTAAGCCTATATGTCGGTATATGTATATCCCTAAATGAGACGACTACTGTCTGGGATATAAATAGCCATAGCCGGAGAAAACCGCAGCGAACCGAGGCGAGACCGATGTCTTAATTGCCCACTAACGCCAGTACAGAGTCCAATAAATCAGATTGGTTCCCACCCCTCTCAACATACGTCTGTATATATCTTTCAAATTTCGCATAAGCTGGCCAATTTTGACCGAAATTAAATCTTCGAACATGATAGGACAGACCAAAGGAGTAAATATTTAGAAAATTTTTGTTGGTTTTTCAGTCTGATGCTCGCAGAATCTTCCGATACTGGAGGAAATCAATGAATATTGGAGATTTCTCAGAAGAATCTTAAAAGACTATTCCAATCTTGGTTTGAAAAGATCAACAATGGTTTTCCGTGTATTCGGACTGCTATTTCCTCTCGTGGCACACGTTTAATTGTTTTAGCTTAGTCATCGTATTCAGGCGAAATCAAGCATCAACATATGTATCTGAAAATTCCCCGAAAATCGGATGCGTCACGTAAAACGATCTGGTGAAAAGAAGATACGTCTACATCAACAAGCTGCGCATGCGTTTCTCTCCCTCGATTTATTTATACGTTTTACTGCCCATGGAATAACCAAAGACTATAAATAATATTAGCGGCTCTTTCAAAGGAATGGTATCCCAAAAGAAAGACCTATCTAAACTTTTAGTTAAGGGGTTCTGATTCTGGTCAAAACAAATCACAAATGTCTCCATCACGTGCCTTAGGCGCGATGTGCTTGGAATTCTAATGCTCGTCGGAGGCAGCAGCTTTTCACTGTCAGCAGACCAGCATTTACATAAATATCGAATTGCAATCGGGTTAATTAAAGAAACTCAGAAACTTCTGTAGATGTCAAAACACTTGTCAGACAGTAATTAAGATTTGAATTCGACAAAGACTTGACCCAAAAACAATATATATTTCCATTTTAGAGGACAACAACTTTTTACTAATTGAACGGGTATTAAACTCTGCTATTTAATGATCTAGAGATTAGCGTAGATACTAACTGGTTACGGGATATATGTATATATATATTCTAAAAATGTAAACTACAGATAGAAATTAAAGGTGTGAGATTGGTAAAATTGCGTCATAAGCCTTATTGGTTATAACTTTTTTAGGCGATTTCATTTGCATTGCGCAAACAAAAAATTGTATCAAAAACACTTTCACTTTTTCAGCAGAATTTTGTTGCAACGAATGCGAATATATCAATATCTCGCAGTCTGTATTGCAGATATAGATATATATATATGTACATATATAGTATTGCTTATGGCTGGTAATTGAATCTGTAGCCGAGGGTAATACGTGTGGAGCGCCTTGCTTGAATGGTTCGAATTTCGTATTCATTGCGGTTTGTTGTATTTAAATTTCAATGCAAGATTGCCAAAGACAAAAGAACTTGTACATATAACCTATCTGTTTATATCTGTATCTGGGCTAAGCTAATAAAGCCATACGTCTGATATTCGAATATGAATCAATGAACTTTCGTCAGCAAAACAACAGCAGGTGAGCAAAGCCCCTAATCAAAGCGATTTCCATGGAAACCCTAGTAGAGGCAAATTCGAGCAGTCAACCGGCTAAAAATGTTGCAATTACTAATATAGTTGGTAGGTCTCTCTCTCACTCTGGTTACGCACGACGTCTATATGGTCTACTTCTATCTTATCCGTAGCGGCCAGTGGAGAGCTTAAGTAACAGGCACTGAACAAGAATTCCTAGGCGAGCTATTTAGGTAAGCAACAGATACTAACACTTACCAACTGATAGTACGGATCTCTGATGGCATTCCGGCCGAGCAGTTACTTAAAAAAAATGTATATACAGCGAACTTGGCTTGTTGTCTTTTTGGGGATTGACTAAAAGATAAGATTGTCGGGGCCAAAGAATGAAATATTGCGGAGGGTGAATATCCACCTGATTCACTTGCCAAGAACCTTGTCCATAGATCTTTTCAAGACTCTGGAAATAATCCACTTAAAGACGAGGCTTTATATATGTACATAACGATTTGATATTGTCTGGCACTGATCTGGGTCAATAACATCCCCAGCGATCACCCATATCAGGCTGTAAATATGCTTACTTATCCAAAGTCTGTCCCATCCATCAGAATAGACAACTTTGAATCAGTATTGGGTGCGATAGCGGCAAGCTCTAAGACCCAGTGCGTTCCAGATTCTAGAAATCGACTGGGCAGAAGCTCTGTTTGCTCCAGGGAATTCCCTATGAAATATATATCATTGAAGTGCTCCTTATTGATCGCTGTATATAATCTAATTCTACTGTTAACACGAAACACATTACTCGGTTGCTCTCGGTTATTCCGAAGAAACTTTTCTGCTGATATCCTGTAGCTCTTGAGTCATAGATATTTTCTTTCTCTGATTCATTTCTCTTATGATTGTTTATTTTGATCACGCACAACTTCGTTCTTGGATCTTTAATTTAGATTGCCCGGGGATTACTCACCCACAGACCTGTCTAAAATCTCTTGGCCTTGCTCAGCCAGATCGCTAGCTTAACGATAAGGTAAGCCCTACGAAAACCCCCAATATTTTCCATATTTCTTTCACTCTCTCTGTTACTCTTTCTCGATCTAGGGAGAACCCTAGAGAACCCTAGGGGTTTGACATATTCGGTTCTCCATGAAGCCACGAACCGAGTGCATGCCGAAGTTCTCAAGTGGGCGAAAACTGAAAAGTAGCCGAAAAACTTGGATGGTTTTTTGGGTTTCAAGAGAGTTTGTGCAGTGGGAAAAATTAATAGTTAATGGTGGAAACTGCAAAAACACCACCTCTATAAACCATATGTATATTACGAGTAAAAACTTTGAAGAATATATCGGTTTGGCCAAATCCCTAGTAGTAAGGTCTAAAGTATCATGAAAACTTTCTCAGTGCAGGCCACTGCCGTAGGTTCTCATATTTCCCTTACTCTTTTCTTGGACAACTCTGAATTAAACTCAATTAAATTGCTGATTCGGCATTTTGGTGCGTTTCTACCCGACGACACTATCTTATCGGGTCTGGACGGCTCTCCTGGCCAAAAAGAGCGGTCGATAAGGCGCCAGAAAGCCCTCTCCAAAGTACGGAAAAATGATGATCGGAGCACGGAGACCCGGAGCAGAGTCTCGAGTTCCGAGCCTTGCAGTTACGAGGAGCTAGCCGCGGCAAGCGGATCGCACAAATCCATCCGACTCTAGACTCCAGCCCCCTTGTAATCGCCACATAGCCAAAACCATCGTAACCATCGTAAGAAAGCCAAACGATCGTGATATCGGAACGGGGCCAGAAGCAAACCCATAACCGTAGATAACGGAGGCGCTACAATGCTGAATACCTTCAGTTCAGTGAGGCAGTACCTCAAGTTTGATCTCACTCGGGTGGTCATCGATAACATAGTGTTCAAGCTGCACTATCGATGGACCTTCGTGATGCTCCTGGTGGCCACGCTGCTGATTACGTCGCGTCAGTATATCGGTGAGCACATCCAGTGTCTATCCGATGCCGTCATTGCCCCGGTCATCAACACCTTCTGCTTCTTCACGCCCACCTTCACAGTGGTAAGTTCATGGGGTCACCATGGGGTCAAAGGGCATCAGTAGGGGTCACGAAAGGAAGAACTTGGCCTAACTATAGGGTACTCCCCTCATTTAGGTACGTGATCAAAACCACACCACCTACAGACCGGGAGGTGAGCCGCCGGGAATAGGACATTATGATCCTGAAAAGGACCAGATCAAGCGGCATGCCTACTACCAGTGGGTGCCCTTCGTCCTGTTCTTCCAGGCGCTCTGCTTCTACGTGCCCCACTTCCTCTGGAAGAAATGGGAGGGCGGCAGGATCAAGGCCCTGGTCTTCGGACTCAAAATGGTGGGTCTAACCAGGTACCTGAAGAACGACAGTCTGCGGATCGGCAAGCTGAACATTCCCTCCATGGCCGAGGCCGAGGAGCGCGTCAAGGATATTCGTAGGACAATGATAGACAGGATGCGGTTGAACCAGTCGTGGGGTGCCCACTTGGTCTTCGCAGAGGTGCTCAATCTGGTGAACCTGCTGCTGCAGATTACGTGGACAAATAGGTTTTTGGGCGGACAGTTCCTAACCCTGGGACCGAAGGCTCTTAAGAATCGGTGGTCCGACGAGATGAGCATTCTGGACTTGGTCTTCCCCAAGGTGACCAAGTGCAAGTTCCACAAATTTGGTGACTCGGGCTCCATTCAGGTTCACGATACCCTCTGTGTGATGGCACTGAACATCATGAACGAGAAGATTTATACCATCTTGTGGTTCTGGTACTCCTTCCTTTTGGTTGTTACCGTTCTGGGACTGGTTTGGAGAATCTTCACCCTGTGCTTCTACAGAAAGTAGGTGTTTTTCTTATCTTAACCCCTTTTCTTAACCCCTTTCTAACCCACCAACAAACAGCGTCACCTTCACCCGCTGGTCCCTGTACTGGGCAAAGCCTGGCCAACTGGACGAGAAGGAACTATCGGCTGTGATCGACAAGTGCAACTTCTCCAACTGGATGTTCCTGTTCTTCCTGCGCTCCAATCTCTCGGAGTTCCTATTCAAGAAGGTCATCTATCACCTGGCCAGCGAGTTCCCCAATCCTGATCACGACAACGACATCAACGCCTATCGAGAGGCACCGTCAACGCCCTCAAAGTCCCGGTATCCGGACATCAATAGTCTGGATACGGTGGATGCCCCCCTTTTACACCTCCGACATCCTGCCACGCCCCCGGCGGGTGGTGCCACGGCCCCCAACGACTACCAAGGGCCAACGACTTCGGAGCTAGCCAAGCTACCTGTTTAATTTATGCATTTCAATTAACGCTAGGCAATTAATTATTTGAGCTTTGTCTTGTTTACACCTGTTTTTTTTTTATATGATCATTTCATTTTAAATATATTTTTATTTTTAAGAGATTTGGCTTTGTTTTGTTTCGGCTTTCGGCTCCCAGCAACAGGTTTTTGGGGCACATAAAAAACCAAACAAAAAAAACACTCAAAATGGCCGACAGCAAAACAGTAATTTGGTGTTTGGTATTTTTTAAAAAATGAATAAAAAAAACACAAAACCAAAACCGACCAGACACCTTTGTTAAGGCGTGGGGCGTGGGCGTGGCCGACAGTTTGTGTCGAGTGGCGACTGCGGTTGGGTGACCCAGTTAGAGCGATCCGCTGCGGTTTCGAAAGTGTTTGTTTCCAAGCTGTCAGGCCGAACCCAGTAAAACTGTCTAGTAGCTGGGTGGATAGGTCATACTCCGTGGCCTATGACTGGGAAATTTCAATAGACTTGCATCAGAAGATACCGAGATTTGGTCGTGTATGCAGTGTGAGCACCCAAGGTAGGTTACTGTTAATGGAAGATCATAAACTATTCTGTGCTTGACAGAAATTGTAATGCTTTCCCAGGAAAAGATCTATAGAGCTTAGAGAGAAACCACTTGATAATCTCATTCAAAAACTCAATTGAAAAACTCCTCAAAAGATAACAAACTCTACGAATCGAGAAAATACATACATTTCTAGCCTCACAACGAACCGCCGCATAAAGACATTTACACATGCCGCTCTGTCATAACCAAGACCATATTTGGACCGATTTCCATCTGACTTGCCAAGCCCCCCACAGATCCTCAGTCTTTCGGCTGTCTTTAGCAATCAATTAGTACGAGAAGCTTTTTGCACTCACTTTTGGCAACTGTTGCCAAATCGGAGTCGCAAATATTGCGCCACTTCGCTGCGAGGTGTAATGGCAAGCTAGTTATGACACCTGTGTGCCACCAAAAGTGGCAGCCAGCATTCGAATGGGAATCCATAAAACCAATTCCAAATCCGACTCAGAATCCGATTCCCCCCCATTGATTAGCTGACGAGATTTCGCTTTGATAGTTTGCGGTCAATGCCAACCGGCTTAGATCGCTTTTGAGCCTGACAAAAGTTCAACTTTCAAAGCACCCCGGCGAGATGTCTATTTGCCGGCTAGAAGAGGGGCCTTCATACAGATCAGGTTTATTCTTGTCGCCAGATCTGTTATTTTTTTTCAACTTTTTTCAACTCGATTTGGGACTGTTCTCGTTTTGTTCTCTTTTTGGCTTTGTTCTTTTCAATCTGATCGCCGCCTGCATATCAAGTGATTTCTTTCGCTTGGTCGCCTTAAAAGCCCCAACAAAGCAAAAAGAGACAACTCTCGAATATATCAAATAATAAATAATGTGCTAAGCTCACTCTGTGAGGGATCTACTCTTGGCGAAGTCCTTTGCTTTTCAGTGGAAGTTTGTCTCATATTTACAAATTAAAAAGGATTATTAGTCTGTTAATCTGATAATTCTTAAAAGAATAAATATAAGATCTTTGAAAACCTGTTCAGTTTTTTAAAGAAACCTTTTACCTTTTCTCCCCTACATCATCTTCAGAAATCCAAACGTAGGGCATTCAACTATCCTACTTGATCATACAGTTACTTCTTTCCCTTTTTCGGCTTTGTTTTCTTCTTCCAGTGATTGTTGTTGTTGCCATTGTTGTTTTTACCCCCCGCCTTGGTGAATGACCGTTAACATTTATGAGATCGAATTTGGAGATCGAAGTGACTTTTGGATGTGTCTGTTTCTCTTTTGGGTATCTCTTTTCTCTGACTTGCTTGTTCCATTGAGTTGTCTATGTCTGAGTGAGTTGAAGATAGCCTCCTATGGATAAGGGAGTATCAGAGATTTCTCAGGTAGATAGGCCCCAGCACCCTATATGCTTGCTTCCCACTCTACCCAATCCAAAGTGCAGTCTAGACTGCCCGTGGAATACCTTCAATTATCCAAATTGATGTGACAATTAACACTTTTGAACTTTGCAGCTGCCTGGGAATTTTGTGGACCTTTTGAGAGCTTTATTATGCCCCGTGCCTAGCCTGGAATTTGTTGCCAATAAATTATATGCAATTGGGACACTTGTTGCATACATTTATTTGCCAACCAAACTCTTGGCATGCAAATTTATTTCAATTGCATTTAATTTGTGCGGATTAGCAGACACCGCTATAAGCCTTAGGAGGAGGGGGTCCTCTTTCTTACGGGGAAGATCATGTACTGTCCGAGGGCCAACTGGCTGCCTTCCCCAATTAGATATGAGACAAGTCACAATTTATGGCGATTTATTAGCCATTTAGGTAAGTTCAGCTGGCCCTCCTCATTTGCTATTTGCATTTTTCCAAAGCTTCCTACTTATAAGCTTATAAGCTAGTAAGTAAGTAAGTAAGTAATTGATATTTTATATTAAAATATTCCAAAGTACAGAAAACCCGTATTCGAACTCTATTAAATAGCACGCAAAACCTTGAAAATAGAAACTTTTTGGTTGAAAAAATCCTCCCCCAAAAATGAAGTTCACAAGTGAACGACCTTCGTCGTTGGAAATTCCCTTTTCCGCAAAGGAAAACTTCCGCTCTTTGTGTCCTTTGTGTCGTCATCTTTTGGAATCCTTTGGCTTCCGCGAATGACGCAAAAATTTTCACGCGTAGGTCAGTTCGAGTTGAGTTTTTGAGTTCGTATTTTGAGTCGAAGTTCCTTTGCTGAGATTCGGGAAACAGGAATCAGGAAACAGGAACAAAGGACGCGGCTCTCTCGAGGATGCCTCTCTGGTTATATTTGTCAGGACACAGTTCTTTCTCTCTCGTTTTCTTTGTTTGGGTGGGAGAGATCCACCCCCAAAGGATAATGACGCAGCAGCCTGCCGAGAGCGAATTTAGCAGGAAGCAGTTTTGAATTTCAGGGTTGACCAGATTGTTTTTGTTTTAGGGGTTGTTCCACATTATTCTCTCTTTCTTCCCTCTTTTCCGCCCTGTTCCTCTAGCATTCTCTTCCGCCTTTTGTTAGCAGCATGTGGCACACGTTTCGAAATTGTTGGGAATTTACGAGAATTTTCCAAATGCAAAGCACCCGCATTAATATTTATTTCGGTTTTCTAATCCTGCCAATGACCTTGAACATCTGGCATGCAGATCTACATATATGTACAAGACGAAAAATCCAAATATAAATCCAAATAAACTTCCAAACGAAATACTTATTTTTATAAGATTTTTCCATAACTTGCAATGCTGTTGACCTCCGCGGTCAAGGCTTTTTTTTATCATTAAAAGTATTAATAACAAATATATAAAATCACATGCGGTTTTTTTCATTTTACATTGCGCAATCAGAATCAAGAGATTACAGTTCTTCAAAGACCAAAAACATAAAGACCTGTTTGATGACTTAACCCGGCCATCACTTTGAATACATTTTAAATGTCACTCACATTATTCCATTCCACTTAACACCCTAACACCTCTCAATCAACCTTCGTTCCTATCTATTTTTGAGCTAAAAAAATAGTAAAAAATAGTAGAATTTGTTTTCTTCTTTTTTCCATCTTTAAGTAAACACGGCAGAGACGTACTGAGAGGGGAGACCCAGTGATAGGAGACAGGCCAAATGTGACAGTGGAAATGCTGATAAAGAATCGACACGATGCGATTAAATGTGTTTACTAAGAACGCCTGGTCTCAGCTTGGGAACCTCTATAAGACTACAAAAAATATTCAAAATAGGGGTCATTGTATTCCCATTTTATATACAGGCCTATTAGAAATAATAATGATCTGATAGATGGTACAATTTTTAGTATACCTCATCTCTAAACTATCTTATTATTGTTTATTTTGGCCTCTTGTTGAGGCGTGGCTGTCACCGAGATCGGTGGCCAGCACGAATTAGTGTCGCATGCCCAATGATAGCGCCTCAAGGCGCTTTCAATTTAAGCAATTACCCAACTGTCCGTCCGCCTGAACTGTCCGTCTGTCCGTCTGTCCGTCCGTCTTTTAGGGGGAGTAGATGTTTTTCTAGGCCCAGGTTGCGCTCTCTTTGAGCTTAATCAATCAGCCGCAAATTGAGCTGGCTTAAATGATCTCGTTCAATTGCCAAATGAAGGAATGTCAAATCCAATTCCGATTGATTGCGTTCGCCGTTCGATCGGAGGTCACCAGATCGTCGTCGTTGTCGGCTTTCAAAAAGGCGGTCTCCGCATCGCCCTGGGAATTCGGAATTCTCAAAACTGTGTCACCGATCGCACTACTCAAGGTGGTCTTTTTGGGTCTAGAGAAGACCATCGGGGCTGTACCATTTTCGGGGTGTAGCCAATTAAAATTATACTGAGATTCGACGATTATGTATTTCTTGAAATGGTTTCTTTTTCAATTTTTCAATGAATTCACCTTACCAAGTGACCCATTCAATGGAAATATTACATTATAAGAAAGTGGGGTACACTCTTCTTGAGTGCACATCTTATTCCAACAAAAAATATGTTAACTTGTATGCTGATGTAATTAAACCAAAATGTTCAGTTTTTTTGATGAGGAGAATAGGATATCAATCTGTTCAAAGCATAATTTTGTTTATAGGGTATCAAGAAACAAGCCAAGACAAGAAACCATTAAAACCCGCTCTCTCCAAATTGCGCAAGCGTGGCTCAACGAGAGAGAGAATCAATCGATCTGTATCTGATTTACCTGCTGTTTCACTGCCAACTGTTTCCCGCTCAGTTGTCGTTTCAAATCCAGTTGGTTTCGTTCCAGCAAATACAAAACATTACTAGTTTTCTCGCTTTTTGTTTATATATTTTTGGTTTTGGTTTTGTGTTTTTGTTCTTCTCTATACTAAGTTGTGGTTTGTGTGTCAGTTTCTTGGTTACAACTTATAATTAACAAAAAAAAAGTGGTAATGTTGCTCTATCTCTCGTCTCCTCTATCATCACTTAAGCTCTGTCAGCGCCGTAAGAGGTAAGTGAGAGTGAGAAGTGCCGCTGCCACGCCCCATTCCAGTTCCAATCTTCCAGCGGCATTGCAACCGTCCGTATCACAAGTGTAAATGCAGCTTCGGTAGTCCATGCGATCGCCCTTATTTCGCACATAGTCACAGTAGTTACCCATGTCCTTTGAGCTGCAGAACCTCTTCGCTCCGATTCCGCCCTCGAAGCGGCCCACGTGCTTCACGCAAAACTGGGCGCCATGGACACTGGAACAGTTTTGGGGCTGGATGTCGGGCTCGTCGTATCGCTCGAACCATTCGCCGCACTGGAAGGGGTGCTCCGTGTCGCTAGTGTCGCAAACATAGCAATTGATCCCCGATACCGTTACCATCTGCAGGCTCATCAGGCAAAGGCAGAAGGCCAGGCTTACAAGCCAGCCATTGTGGGCGTGGTTGGGAGGCCACATGATTACGTCACACCAGCGCAATATTATGAAGACTCTGTTTAGTAAACTCAAAACAGTCAGCGTCGTCAGCAAATGCCAAGTTTATACTGGAACTGAAACGCCGCTGAGACTTCGTTCCCGTTCGTTTCGCTGGCCAAAAACAGAGAGAGAGCCAGAGCGAGAGATGAGCTGCGACTTATATTCGGCGAGTTTCAAGCCAGATTTAGAAATATCTATCCATGCCATAAGGTCAGCTTAGGTCAGCCAATCAATTTTGATGCTTTATTTTAAAGCTAGTCGATTTCAGTGGTCTAGACATCAATATCATGATAATCACCATAGGCATATTTTCAGGATTTTGACCACATAGTTGATAACAAATGAACATGATATGACCTAATATGATAAGTACGTGGCTTCAGAGTTTGGCCAGTTTAAATACTTTTGGCATCACTGGCGCTTACTTTGCTCTCTCACCTCGGGCTCTTCTTCTTCTTTGTTGTTAGCCAAACCGGTTGCCAGGCAACAGGGCTAGAGCTCTAGGGCTAGATTTATATGTATCATAAATATATCCTTGGCCGGCGCCCTGGCAGTCGCTAATCGGCAATCGCTATCGCCGGGCCCATCGGTTATCGGCTTTGACCCCACCTGAAACTTGTTGTGCAGCCAGCAACAGGTAAAAGGCACTTAGTACGTGACGCGTAGAGCATAAAAAACAAACAAACGGGCTCACACAGACCCAGAGCGTTCAGATACAGATACAAAGATACTTTGCCTTTGTTCCTCTGCTTTGTCTCCCAAGTTGATGGCTTGTGTTGGCATTTTTGGTATGCTTTCTTAGGTGGTTTTACCATACACTCACCCAAAATGGGTATTACGATTATTGCATTAGGTTTGTATTTATGATTTATATTCTTTTCCTTAAAAATGTTTTAAGGTTAGAAATTGACTATATAGAATCTTAAAATTATCAAAAGATAATCAATACCCTAAAGATCTCCATATATACGACTGGGAAAACACATGCGTAGTCCAATATTTTTGTATCGAACTCTTTAGGGTGTATCAAGATTCGAATCCCCAGAGTGCCCTCACATTCTTGTTTCATTTTCGTGGAGTGGGCAACTCCAAACCAAAACGAGGGCATTCAACTTCTTTTTGCGTTTCTCCTACTGCTTCTTCGACTCGAGAATCTTCGGGAAGAGAGAGCGAGACCGGGAGCATTGTCAACCGATCAAGTATACCAGTACCCCACCACCCATTGGCCAGCACACGAAAAAGCCAAGCCAAGCCAAGCCCACGACTTGGTAATTGAAAGCCAAGCGGGTTTTCTCGTTTTGGGCCGATATATACTTAGTTATACATCCAGTATCTTCAGTATTCAGTATCGAAGTGGCCAAGATTGGAATGCTGCCAGAAGGTAAGCAATTTCACATTATAACCGACCATTCGGCATTGAGTCATTGCGATCCGCACTTGCGCCCTCGTGTTTCCACCTCATTACAATCCCAAGTCGGGGTTCCTCTGAACATGATTTTCATTGGTCATTAACGATCAGAAAAATGCTTGTTCTTCAGGGGATCGGTAGTAGATAGAAGGAGGGGAAAAAGTCAAGTGCTATATGAGTAGACTGGGAGATCGCTTAGACGTTTAAATGTTTCTAAGATCGTTTTTCGGTTATTTTAATGGATCTATCTTGAGAATTTTGGTTGGAATGCGAGGGTAGGCCTCTTGAAGATAAGTCAATGTACTTTTCATGTTTGTCAAATCGATCACTTTATGATCATTTAGAAGGCAATGCTGGGCTTGCATACATAAAAAATTGAAGAGGTGCCAAAGGTCAATTAAGCGAAATGAAGAAATATGTTGGAAGAAATTAATCAGCTAGTGATATGGTTAGGCCTTTAAACATACTTGTATGTGACTATTACGACTACTGTAGGTTTACAATCTTCAGTACAGATTCTCAAATCTTAAGGTACAATTATACTTTTGGATACTAAGTAAGGTTTTTTCGATCATTTCCTTGAAATTACTCTTCTTCAGAAACTTTAACGATCGTGCTGGGGATCTTTATTCTTCGTGCTAATTTCCCTCTAAAAGTAGCCCTATTTATAGCACCTCCAGCCTGCCTGATGAATTCCAGTACCACGGACATTGACGATCTCCGTTTACTCGAAAACATATGCCAGGTCTCGCTCTATTTATAGAACCCTTACGGGATGCTGGGTTCCGCCGACCCACCCTTTGCCTTCAAGTATTTTCCAGAAGACTCCTTTTGATCGTCGATCGTGCAACGTTCAGCGAATTGTTTTTATACTTGTTCGATAATGTAGGCAGGGTACACAAGGGGAAAAGGTATATATTTTCCATAATACTTTATGATCTAACATTGAGTTAACTTTGAGTTATTCCTTTCACGATCTTTGATCGTATTTTTCTCTGTGTACAAAAAGCCAGACATAAAAGGAGGCTGCAACCCCCCTCTATACCAACCCCCTTATTTCACTCGTTTTTGTGCTCTCTCTCTCTGCCCCATCCCCTTTTCTCTTCTCTTTTAAGGAAGCAACTCAAAAAGGAAGTTGCAAAAACAGGAGCAGCTGCTGCGAAAAATGAGATTTGCACAAATGAGAAAGCGAGTTTCGCGTACGTAAAGAGAGTTTTTACCACTAAAGAGAGAGAGAGATGGTTTTTGGTTTGAAGGAGGGTCCATGGCGAGACACACTGAGATAAATATAAATCAACGTTCGTGCTCCTGCTCACGTACATACACATGTCCGCCGATATCGATACCAACGATACCTGGTTCGAGTACTTTTATGGCCGCGGCCAGAGGGCAGGGATAAGGGGGCGTGTGGTTAATGGACCGATTGCGACAGACGTGACACTTGGCCAAGTGAAAGGTACCACCAATGATACCTTTGTCCGCATGTTTTCGGCATTTCGTGTGGGTACAGTTTGTATGAAGAGCATATATGTTTGCTGACATTTAATTGCACATGTGCGACTCGATTTAAGTGTAAATATCAAACAGAGGCAGACAGAGTCAAGAACAAACATTATCCTACGTTTCAGACTCGCAGAGCTATCACTATTGATAATGCCATTAACTTTTATGCTCAAAATATAGGATATACGGACAACTCTCTTAAACGGACAACTGTTATCAAAGGTTATAGGTATATACTATATAGCTTTTCGATCACTCCTTTTTGAAGTTAATATTCTAAGAGTGTGTAGTTCTAGTCGTCTTTCCAAAATCTCAGGCTTTTGTAAGACCCGCTCACAAAGCTACAATTCGAGCTCCATTTACTCGCTTCTCATGTCCGTGGCAATGACAACGCACTTAACATTTTTCCCTACCTCTTGACTTTTTTTTTTATTTTTGGGGGTTTTGATTTCTTTTTGTATGCCCGAAAGTGCGCAGTTTATTGTGGGCCCATAAAAAGGCCATGTCAAGACGAGCGAGCCCGAAAAAAACCTTAATTTAAAATTAAAAGCAACACGAACTCGCCGCATGATACAATGGAGATGGAGATAGGGATAGGGATGGTATGGGGACACGACCGATTTCTTTAGGGCCGAAACGTAAGACAAAACCAGCTAAAAGGGCGGGGGAATCCAGGCCGAAATGCGGTTGCAATGCCAAAAGCACTCCCCACACACCCTGGCATTTGTCGTATAAAGACATACATAACTGTAATTTGAGATCAGACCATATATTATTGAGGGGCATAATGGTTGGTTTGGCCAATTGACTAACTGACTCAATGCCTGACTGACAGACCGAGCGCACACGCCGAAAGATTTAGTCAACAGTCGGATCCGATATCACTCGGTTTTCGACGCCAAACACGTTCTTGCCGAGATCTATCAAGGCATCCCGAGAAACCCATGCTGAGACAAGGAAAATTCAATTCGCAATTCAGTATAAAATAAACAAACGAGTCCAGACGGGATCTTAAGATCTATTATACAATTCCAAAACATGATTTACCATTATAAAGAACTCTTACATGTTGTACATACTTTCGAAGGCTTTTAATCAAATATTACGACCATCCATCAATCAGTTATAATTATTTAACGATCATTATATGAGTTATGATCTTTGACGCTTTGGAATTTTTACAATCAGTTGGAATTGAAAGTTTCTCTTTTCATGTTAATAAATGCTTTGTGTATTCATAAATCGTTTCCAAAATCAGGTTTATTTTGAATAATGCATCTTTAATTTTTGGATGAGCTCACTTCTTGGACCAGTTCCTAGACCATTTCTTCCTCCACTTCTATGCAGTTATAAGAAATTGGTATATTTTGAGAGCTACATACGTATATTAAATCTACTTTTCAAGACCTCTAGTATATTTTTCGCGGAGTGTGATTTACTTTTTTTGTTACTTTTTAGAAACATCTTTTATTACCTTTCCAAGATCATATGAAAACCCCTTAGACCATTTCTCGCAGTGCAGATATTGAGAATTTCAAGTTTTTCCTTACCTTTTCGTAAGCCAAACAAAAAGGGCCAAAACGAACGAAAATAAGTGAAGAAAAAACAAAATTGGAGTCAGCCAAGCAGGAAAAGAAGTCGAGTTAAGTAATGGAAATAAGAAAGGGGGCTCAGTCTTTTGCAGAGGGGTTGGAAAAAGTATATCTCCTGGGCAATTGCTGCTCCAATTTTAGTTCATTGTTAGCGATCAGTTTAATTTAAGGCTTAATTCGTTTAAATAAACAAATGTGGAGAGCGGTGGCAGGAGAGTGGCCACAAAAGAGAGAGTTTCAAAAAAGAGAGTATTAAAAACAGAAACTGAAATGCCTCTCTGCGTTTGCACTCTCTGTTCGCCAGCAGCTGTTTCGAGTGAGCGAGCAAACGAGAGAGCACGGCTTGAAAATGGAGAGCGGAATGGCGCGGAATGGGATATGGAATGAGAATGGAATGGGTTTTGAGTTTTGCTGTGAAATTTGAAAACCAAGCGGCAGTCGACGGCGACGGCGACAGCGTGCTACAAAAGCCATTGCGAGCGTCTACGCGGCGCTCGAAAAAAACACAGGAAAATTACAAAAAAAAAACGTTCGAAAATCACAAGAAACACCCAGCGAAAATCTAAAAGGAATCCCCATATACGATATAGGAAGTACGAGCAGACAGTTCTCTAAAAACTAAACTACATCTTACTTTTTTTTGAGAATTACCGTTTTGCGTTGGTTATTTTTTGCAGTGAGTGTGTGTGCGCGGTTTTTTGTATTTTGAAAACAGATTTTTGGAAAATAAATTGATTCAAGGCATTGATTTGCTGCATTCAGTACCTGTTCCATGCAAATTCTACGGCCACCTGGCAGCTGATTCGAAAAATAAAACAAAAAATAAGAAGAAGAAGAAGAAGAAGCAGTCCCAAAACAAACACACGCAAGCCATGCTGTGACAAAAAAATCTTACAATAAACCCAAGAAAACGAAAACGAGAAAGCCAGAAGAAGAAGAGCCTAAAAAGACAACGGAATTCTGCGTAAGTTTATCATCACACGAATATATTTAAAAAAAAAAACCAATACAAACTAGTGAAAAATATAAGAATGCATTCCTCATCTCGCCAACGAAAGCTGTCTAAGTAAGAGAAGAAGCTTTCGAGCCGAGCTTTCGAATAACACCGTTGACTTCTGAAGAACGAGAAAGCCCAGCTGGGCGACAGGGACAGAGGTATAGACGTCCAAATTAGTTGTATAACTATAGTATAATCTCCCGAGATTAAGCGAGATGCCAGCCTTGGAGCGTTACTTTGATTAAGGCCCATTTGAGCCAATTGGATTTGATCAGAGGTTGACAGAAGTCAGCTGATACCAATTCTTTGCCATTAAGTTTGGCTCTCAAATGGCTATTGTACAGAGTATCATTTATGCTAGCAGTTCTTAACACCAAACAGAAGTTTCTGTTTATGAGAAAAATACTTGACTTAACAGATTCTTCTGTAGCACCTGAAAGATCTTTAAAACTGATATTGCGAAAACAATCATAGACATTGTCTAGTAGTATTTCTCTTGATAATGATCAGCATTATTTCATCTTGTAATGATGGAAGTATAGTTTCCACAGTTTATAATTTCAAACTGAAAGATCTGAAGTTTAAAGATGATAAGTAACTCTTTTAAAGTTGTCTTAAAATGAAAACAACCTTTGTTGTTCTTCTTAATTCTCAGATTTTCCTTAGCTCTGATGGACCTCTCTTTTTCCTGCCTGCTTTTCATTTCCTCTTTGATGTACCTCTTATTAGCTCCCCCTTTCCCATGATCCCCTCACCTGTATCCCCCCTCTTTTCTTTCGTTTCCTCATTATTTTCCATGAAACTTCCCGCTTCATCATTTTTCGTGTTTTATGTACACAGAAAAAAACTTCACACAGCAAGGCCATATAATTTAGATATATTCTGAACTTTTTTGATAGATGCTTAAGGTGATGATTCCGATTTCTATATATCCCTTATTCTACAAACCTATAACTTTTATAATACCCAAAACAAGGAGTTATCATAGTTTTTTGTCGTGTATCGGCTTACCTCAGAAGTAGCCAGTCTGACGGGTTCGGCGACATCTATGGCATCTCTCCTCTTGGCATCCCAAAGATGACAGACCCCCCCTCCACCTGGCCCACCCCTTCCCCATCTACACATTCTTGCCCCCGTCCAAACGGAAATGGTCAATTTAAGTGACGCAGAACAGTGGCGACTCATTGTTTTTGAGCATGTGTCTCCAATCAGGGAATCAAATGGGGGAGGAGCACGTTCTAGTGGGAACCGTATACTCTATACCCTCTGACTACCTTTACTACCTTTCTTTCCCACTCTTGGTTGCCGTATCCCTATTATGAGCACGCTATGTTGTGGTTTCTCCATTCTAACGATCCCAACCTATCCGATCCTCCCTAAGTTGCATGCTAAGTTACTAGCCGCAGAAGTGGATGACCAAAAAGGTTTTGTTCTGGGCCAGCTGCCGCGTAAATAGATCGCTAGCGATGACAGCGTGAGGCGATAACTATCGATCTTGTTGTTGTGTTTCTTTAACCATTTTTACTATAAGAACCTTTTAATAAAAGTTTGAAACTGGTTATCAAATTTGCTTACGTTTCCAAATAAGCTTTATGAGCCATCTTCTTTGAGACACCTTACCACGGCTTTAGCCATAGCCATATCCCTATATTAGCCATATCCTGTCCGTGAGTCGTGACTCTTTTCGATGTCACCCCTAGTGATTCGCACACACGCACACCCGAAGGGCAACTTCCGCTCTGGTGACCAGCTGCTAACCGAAACCGAACAAAAACCCAATAAAACAACACCAGGCAAACCCTAATGAAAATGAATCAACCCAGCTCGCTGTACAGTCGAATGCAATTAAGCTGACGTCACAACTTCAAGAGACAGACTCCCACAGAAAAAAAAACAACAACAACCACTCAGATTCCAACTGCAATTGCACTTGCAATTGCCATTGCAATTGCTGTTGCTGTTGCCGTTGCAGTTCTCGTGCGCTGTTTGTATTCATGTTAAGGTTAAGCATGTTAAAGCTTTTAGAAGACCCGACATTTGCAATAGCAAACTAAACGACTAAATAAATTTGCTGAGTGAAACAGTCACTAAAAATTATGAAAGCGAAGGGCTAGTTAGCTACACGTTTTCTCTTTTCCACTTCAAATGTCAGGTTTTTGCTGTTTCTGAGAGATGTTTCTTAATTAGGAAAACTGCATAAATTGGTATTTTGAAGTTACATAACTTTGTTAAGGAAATCATTGCACATCCCCCTCTTTTTAGGGTGTTCCAAAAAAAGGTGATTGTCAAGCGGCGGCACGTATATAACATTAATGCAGCTGCGACGACCTTTTAGCAAAACAATTGCCAGAGCTGACACCTAAAACTAGCCTCCCCCCTTTTTGAAACCGAAACAAATTGCAATTTGCACGGCGAAAATTCCACAAAATCCGCGACTATCAACTTCTGGCTGGCAACACTTGCAGTCCATGGTCCCCACGGCCTTGGCAATGAAAATGCCTAGGAAAACCGAAAGAAAATCAACAACAACAAGTGCCAACTGCATGTGTGTTGAAATGTGGAAATGGTAGGGATGGCAGGAGGATGTGGGCGGTGGGCGGAGGGCCATTGTTTATTTGACTGCAACTTCAAAAGCAAAAGCCAAAGCCAGCGAAGCGTTGAGGGGGCTATGACAAAGGGGTGCGACGGGAAGGAGCCAATTTATGTACGGACTGGGCTAATAGAGGGGTTTGAGGGGGCCAACATCTCGTGAAGTTTGCTTACGTTTTTAGTGTTTCATCAAAAATCGGAATTTGTTGTTCGATTGGAATTTTTATTAGGAATTTATTGGTGTAGAAAGGTCCATATTTGAACTACTTTACGCAATGTTTTGGAAGAAATAATTATAATTATTATCCCAAAAATGGGGATTACGAATTTTGACCCAAATTTTCAATATTTTTATCGAGTTTTTGACTCTAACTTCGCCCAAATCAGACGCTTAGCTAAAAGAGTGACTGTTTTGTGAATCTAACAACCAACAGTAACTTTCCTCATCATTCGTTTGGTGATTTTTGGATTTTTAATTTTGGCCCAAATTTCGATTTTTCTGTAAGGGGTAACATCATCAATTGTTACTAAAAATGTCTAAAATGTGACTTTTCAAACTATGAATGCAGTTTTCTTGGAAATCAAAATACGAGCTTATTGAGGTATTACATTCCATATTTGAACCAATATTGGCTGAGTTATGAGAAGAATTCTACCAATTTGTAGGGTAAAAAGGGATAAATCGGATTTTAAATTTCCTATAAGGGGTAACATCATCAAATTTGGCTAAAAATGGACAAAATCAAGATTTTTAGCTGCGAATGCAGTTTTGTTGGAAATTTAAAAACGAATCCAACGAGGTATGGCATTCCACATTTGGACCATCATTGACTTAGTTATGAGCCTAAAACTGTCATTCTGAGGGGAAAATCGGGATAAACAGAATTTCAAATTTCGATAAGGGGTAAAACACCATCTTTTCTTGCGAAAAATGGCTTAAATTTTACATTTTAAACTGTGAATACAGTTTTGTTGGAATTTCAATTACGAGCTCATTGATATATGACATTCTATATTTGGACCACTTTTGAGTTTGTGGTGGGAAGATTTCTGATTATTAAGAAGCAAAAATCGGGATTATGATTTCTGACAGAAAATGCAGCCTTGTTTTATCTGCTTTATACCTATAACTTGGTCAAAACAAGACGCACAGCTAAAATGAAGACTGTTTTGTGAAGCTAACGACCACAAGAAACTTTCCCTATCATTCGTTTGATGATTTTGGGAATTTGATTTTTTGGTAATTTTTTGATTTTTTTGTAAGGGGTAAGTAACATCATCAAAATTTATGAAAATGTTGAAAATTTTTACATTTCAAGGTGGGAATCCAGTTTTGTTAAAAATCAAATTACGAGCTCAACGAGGTATTCCATTCTATATTCTGACCATTATTGGCTAAGTTATGGACATAACACTGTCACCTTTGGGGGGAAAAACCTTGGTTTTGCAAGTTTTGAAAATTTTGTATTTTTGATAAAGGCTAACATTAGCATTGTTTTGTCCAAAAACAGGATTAGGACCTTTGAAATAAACACCTTTCATTAGTCATTAAATTAGGTTGATAGGCAATTTAGTGAAAAACTGTAGGAATGGACTGAATGTCGAGGAGAAGACTCTCCGCAAGACAAAGAACCCGCAACGATTTAACATAATTGAGACGGGGTCTCCCAGTGGCGCTTGGGTCAAATGCGTTGCACAAAGATCGCGAGAGGAGCCAGAGCCACTGGAGGTGCATTGCCCCCAGATAGATAGATAGTATATAGTACCCGGGCAGAAGAAAGAACCTAAAGCCAAGCCCGAGCCCGGAGTGGTCTCGGATGCCAGTGGGCCACACAGGCAAGTGGAGCAAATGGCAATTGGCTATTTAAATGGCGCATCAATTTTCCCAGCTGACAGAGAGACAGAGAGAGAGAGAGAGGGCTGAGCTGAGCTGTATGTATCTTTAATTGAAATTGAAACCGTCTCAAGATTCTATTAGTTGATGTTGATTTATGCCAAAATACTCACGCTCTGCGCATTTATCAATCAGAAGCCCAGACCTACACATTTCGGCGAACTTCAATTGCTAGGTGTTGCTTGTCGCCTCCAATCAGCGATGTGTACTTTCCCCCTAACCGAGATAGCAGTCTAGTGTTTGCCTAGTTTACCTACACAGTAAATAAATTAGATGCAATGAATATCAATTTGATTTTGTTCTATTAAAGGGAAATCTAAAAATAAAACTGATCTATTTATTTTTATTTACTTCCAGTTGATATGCATCGAAGGTTGAAGGGCAAGAGAACTCGCAACAAGTCAAGAACCGGCAAGAGAAAGTTAAAAGCACGCCTAGCCTAACAGGGTTTATCCTCTTTTGAGAGGACCAACGACACTGCCGACGGAGGAGACGAGAGAAGCTCCCAAAGATCAGGAGAAGAATCCTGCTGATTCACCCACCGAGACCCAAACTGTGCCAAGATGTATAAGTTGCTGGGTAGCCTGAAGAGCTACCTCAAATGGCAGGACATCCAGACGGACAACGCCGTCTTCCGGCTGCACAACTCCTTCACCACGGTGCTCCTGCTCACCTGCAGTCTGATCATCACCGCCACCCAATATGTTGGCCAGCCGATCAGCTGCATTGTCAGTGGCGTTCCGCCGCACGTGGTCAACACGTTCTGCTGGATCCACAGTACCTTCACCATGCCGGACGCTTTCCGTAGACAGGTGAGTCTAGGATAGAAAGATTGGGTCTTTAGACTTGCCCCACTATCCTCCCCCCTTTAGTTTAAGCCTTCCTCTTTGGGCACTTCCTCTTTGATCCAGATTGAGAATAATTAAAATTGTTTTCCCATCTACTGCAGAGCCCCTTCAATCCCATCCCCCTTCATTATTCTTAGCTTTGTGTTGTTTTTTTTTGCTTTTTGCCTGCCTGTCAAGTTTTCTGTACGCGGGACACGTCCGGCCCTTTGGATAAACGAAGGTATACGATGATATGTGGTGTGTGTAGTACACACACATAATTCATGCCCGGCCTATAAAGCAATTATAAACTGGGCGTTGTCTGCTTCTTCCTCCTTTCTGCTGCGGGCTGCGATTTCTACAATCGCTTGTAGTAGTGGGAAAAATACAAAAACAAAAACAAAACCCAAAACACCAAAACCAAAAAAAACCGAAATTGAATTCTCCACGGGTGGAACTCCAGTGTCCCCTAACACTGCAAGAAAATCTTTAGATCAGAGATCAATTTAAGAAGCTCAAAGTCACTTTTATTCTCTTAGGATAAGATCTATATCAAGATGATCCCCAACTCAAGATCACATTACTATCATATCATATTTGTACGAGTATGTTTACAATATCTTAACACCCCTCATTTTCTTTCGGTGCGTAGCTCATGTGGGGGATTGGCTCATATTTCATGCCAGGCAGGAAACAGCCTGATAACTCCCTACTCCACGATTTCGTGGAAATATATTTCGTTTTTGGCAGTTTAACCGATCAAATTACCTGCCAAGTCGCACTAACTAACTAACTTAGTAAACGGAGCGGAGTGAGTGGGCGGAATAAATCAGGGAAACCATGCGGGGCCTCTAAGAGGTGACAGGTCGCGTCTAGGTTACAGGCCTAATCTTACTAAATATTGTAGACTAACAATTCTTGATCATTTCTTATGCTTGCAGGTTGGTCGTGAGGTTGCTCATCCCGGTGTGGCCAATGATTTCGGCGATGAGGATGCCAAGAAGTACTACACCTACTACCAGTGGGTCTGCTTCGTCCTCTTCTTCCAGGTAAGTGTTTCACTTTCCCCTTGAGTAAGTCCTCACATGAACTTGATAATAACAGTCAGCAATTATCGCCTCTGTATGACATGAGTACTTAGATTTTGACACCTTTCGATTGTTTGTTTTTGAAGATTAAGATCTCCTGAAGGTTCCCCTAATTTCTTTCTCTGCACTGATGTGTCCACGTTGCTTGTGGTCTCGATTCGCCGAGGCAGAGGCAATCGCTCCAATTAAGTTCAATTGAAAGCGTGGCATGCGTGGCTATATATGGGGAGCTATAGGGGAGTGCTACATACACTGAGAGGAATTTACACAAGATTAGTGTTAGGTCAATCCACCTCATCAGCAAACTCTTTACTACTAAAGAACATCTTGATTGACTGCCATTTCTTACTGTGTACTTTGACTGGTGTCTGTGATCGACTGGGCCTGGGCTATGGGTCATTGTATTGCCCAAGAGACGGAAACAAATGAGGAAAGCTCTTCGAACTTGTGAAATACCAAATATAATTAATGACTTGCTAAACAGCACGGGCAACACCAGCCAACAGTGGCAATTACAAAAGCAGCAACTTCAACAGCAATGTGTCAATTGCTTCGACAGATTCCAATACAAAATGTTTGCTGAAACAGATCCCTGCTCTATTGCCATGTGTTTTCCTACTATAAATAAAAAGTTGTCTATTAACTACGGTAAATGTTTATATTTGCTTTAGGCCATGGCCTGCTATACGCCCAAGTTCCTGTGGAACAAGTTCGAGGGCGGCCTCATGCGCATGATTGTGATGGGCCTGAATATCACGATCTGCACCCGCGAGGAGAAGGAGGCGAAACGCGATGCCCTGCTGGACTATCTGATCAAGCACGTTAAGGTAAGTGATAGGCCTATCAACTATCCAACTGATTCCCAGACTGATTGAATTTCTATGTACCCCCAAAATAGCGCCATAAGCTGTACGCCATTCGTTATTGGGCCTGCGAGGTTCTCTGCTGCATTAACATTATCGTACAGATGTATCTGATGAATCGCTTTTTCGACGGCGAGTTCCTCTCGTACGGCACCAATATAATGAAACTGTCGGATGTTCCGCAGGAGCAAAGGGTGGATCCCATGGTCTATGTCTTCCCCCGGGTCACCAAGTGCACCTTCCACAAGTATGGTGCCTCCGGTTCGCTCCAGAAGCACGACTCCCTCTGCATCCTGCCGCTGAACATTGTGAACGAGAAGACCTACGTGTTTATCTGGTTTTGGTTCTGGATTCTGCTCGTCCTGCTCATCGGACTGATAGTGTTCCGGTAAGAGGCAAAGCAAGCTACCAAAACTAGACATTTAACAGCACTTAAAATGGTTTCTTAAAATCTTTAAAATGTATCTTTTGCAGTGGCTGCATCATCTTCATGCCGAAATTCCGGCCTCGCCTACTGAACGCCCGCAACCGAATGATTCCGATGGAGATCTGTCGTTCGCTGTCCCGGAAACTGGACATTGGCGACTGGTGGCTCATCTATATGCTGGGCCGCAATCTCGACCCCGTCATCTACAAGGACGTGATGAGCGAGTTTGCCAAGCAGGTGGAGCCCTCCAAGCACGACCGTGCCAAGTAGACCCCCAGAACCAGTAACGAGATGCCCCGATATGCCCTATGATATATCAAGTACCCTGCCTACAAGTCCCCCATCATATTTTGTCCGAAACTGAAAGCCCCAAATTCCAAATTCTATTTTGGATTATTTTTTATTTTTATTTAGCACAAATCATACTACTTAGTTGAAACTAAATACCAGGACAGAGCCATGCCCCGACGCCCCTTTGGTAGTTCTGTGATTAAGCCCTGACCCTTGAACCTCTCCCTCTGCCTTCTCCCACTCCCAAACCCCCCCTAAGCTATCATTAACATGAATTAATCAATGATCACAACTCGAATCGCTTGGCAGAAAAGACAATCCCTTTTATTTTATTTTGATTTTTTTGATTTGATTTTCCATCAATTATAACAAGACAAAAACCAACAACAAAAACAAAAATGAGATGAGATTTTCCTTGTGTTTTTTTTTGCAAACAAAATCATTTTTTTTCCTAATTTTAAAATCTAATTTAATGCCTAGTTCTTATTTATAAATAGACATCGTAAAACAAGAAATTGAATCCCCCCAAAAGAAATCAGAAGAGATCATATTTTTGCACGAGATGATGGCGTAATGTTTGGACGCTTCGGAAGAAACCGATAATATAATAACAAATAAATATTGCTTTGAGTCTTTCATATAATACTAATGTCTAGATTTCCATCGGAAGCGTTTGAAACATATGAATAGTTTTTTTTTGGGGAAAACTGAAGAGAATAAAATGCGCTATGTTAAGTTTATTGTGTAGTTTTAGGCGAAAATTGCTAAGGTTTTATATGAAACTAAAATATGATATAAAATAAAAATCTTTTTACAACTGGCGAAAATTTAAATGTGTACTTTTTGCTTCAAAATTAAATACATTTCCAAATGAAAATCAAAATGGAAAACTTGTCAATGGAATTTTAAACAGACGTCTCTACTAACCGCCCACATGGTTTATGGAAACGCTAAGAGCTTAGCAAAGTTCCAAAAGGTACATTTGTCGCAGTTCCAATCCTATTCTTATTGGATTTTGGTGCACGATTTACGTTTAGTATATTTTTAATGGGCGCAACTACATCCGAAAGATACTCGATAAAATCGTATTCGATATGAAATCACGCCTTCTTATATCGATTAAAGAAGGAAAATAAATAAATAAAAAGTTAATTAGATATTAAGAGTGTTTTGGTTTGCTATAAAACGCAAGAAGACCAGGACAAAAAGCAACGCCCACAAAGAGTTTGGGGCCAGGATTAGTCATCAGTCAACCGACCCACCTAGCAAAGCCTTAAGGGAACCATTGCAAGATGGGCAACAAGCAGATTAAACAACATTTGGAGACGGCGCAGAAGACGGGAATCCTGAAGATATCCCTGCAGCGGCTACAGGAGTTCCCTCCCCAGCTGAAGGCCTATCCGAATGTCTTGAAGACATTGGATCTTTCTGAGAATCGATTTGAACGAGTGCCCGATGAGCTGGGCAAGTTGACCCTGCTGAAGCACCTTAATCTCAGTGGCAATCGACTGGTGGAACTTAATGAAGTGGTGGGAGAACTGGCCAAGCTGGAGGTGCTCCTGCTAATGGACAATCTACTGACGAAGTTGCCCAAAACCCTGGCCAATTGCAGTCACCTGAAGACCGTGAACCTGAGCAACAACCAGCTGAAGGAGTTCCCATCCATGCTATGCGGACTAAAGCAGCTGGATGTTCTTGATCTCTCGAGGAACAAGATCACCGAGGTGCCCTCTGAAGTGGGTGGACTTTATGTAACCGAGCTTAACATGAATCAGAACCAAATATCCTCGCTAGCGGAGGACGTTGCCGAGTGTCCCAAGCTAAAGACCCTGCGGCTTGAGGAGAACTGCCTGCAGGCGACTGCTTTCACGCCCAGGATACTCAAGGACTCAAAGATCTGTAACCTGGCCGTCGACGGCAATCTGTTCAACTCCAAGCAGTTCACAGACCTTGATGGCTACGATGTCTACATGGAGCGCTATACGGCGGTCAAGAAGAAGATGTTCTAGATCCCATACGGAGGATCTCCCATTCCCACTGTCCTTTTTTTTTGTGTGCATCCCAGAATATTTATCAGCGTAAACTAATTTAATAGCTTAATTCTATATGCCTTCAGTGTAATCGTTATGAATAAATCGAAAAAAGACAACTACAGCAAGGAAAGCTAATCATTCGAAGGGTAAGTGGAGATCCCTAATGGAGATGTTTATGTACGGATGGAGATGAATATACAAAAACCATTAATATTTTATTCATAATAAGAATTATGATTTCAAATCAGCAGAGGACAATCTTCAGTAAACCAATTCGAAGTAAACCCCAGTGGATAACGTAAGAGATATGAAAAAAAAAATGTTAAAGAAAGAGGACAAGCCAACCCCCTTATCACAGCTTTCCCCGCATCATGGGCAACAGGTGTTTGTGGAAAGACGAATTGACTGGCTCTTGGTTAACCGGATTTCGGCGTGCCTCTTCCATAAGTCGTTCGTAGACCCGACCATCATAACAGCCCAGCGTGGAACCCAAAACACGATCGTGAAAGTCGAAGCCATCTACCAGAGCCACCGCATTGGGACGGAGCTTGGCTAGCAACTCCTCATAGCGACGCTCCACGAAGCGCAGCTGGGTGCCATTGATACCATTATTCCACCGGAGCACACAGCCCGACTGTCGCAGGAATGTATCGAAGACGAAGAGTTCCACTAGTTGGCCTAATATAAGGGATACGTCCGGGCTAAGGGCACCCTGTTTTCGTAGGCTCTCCAATTCATCCAGAGCATTCCGCGTGAAGAAAGCATGGGCGTGGGCAACGGCACATGATGATAGCTGCCTTCCTGACAGATTGCTGGCCATCTCGGCACTCGCCTTGGATTGATGAGTTTTTTGGGTTTGCCAGGCATGACGCACCTGTTCCATGGCGGAAATTTCCAGGGCTCTCACACAATTCGCAGTCAGATTCTTGCCCCAAACAAGACGAGATGTATCTCTCAAATATGAGACACTGTAGGGCAGCACCTTCCGTTTCAAGCTTTCCACATACTGGCGGATCAGGAAGCGAGCTGTCTGCAACAATAGCACCGTATATTCCCCTTCGTAGGTGTAGGCGGCAGCGGTCAGACCATAGATGCTATCGAAGTTGGCCGAGGAAAGGAATCCGTGGCCACCGCAACTCTTTCGCAATATATCCACTCCCTGACTGGCTTCATCGGTGGCCACTGCCTTCAGACAGCAACTCAGTGCATGCAACTCCGGCAGCGAATTTACGCCTCCCCTACCCTCATCCTCTAGCTGCCGCAGCACCTGCTCATAGAAGCGCCACAGCCATTCGGACACCAAGCGATAGGATACACCGCGGGCGATCTGCGGCAGGATCTTTGCCTGCTGTGTGACATGATCTAAAATCGAAACCTCCGGCTGATCTCCATCAATCCTGCTCTGGCGACGCACCACGGAATACCTGAGTGATAGACAAAGGTAAACACATCATTAAAGTAAATAAAAAGATAATCCAGTTCTTTGATAAACACTCCCAAGATGACTCGGAGTTAAAAACAAAAGACTATAGATAAGCCTATTATAGTTTTATATTTACCTGGTGGCGATGGTGGCTGCCTGCAGCAATCCAAAGAGCACATCCTTAAGGGTAATGACCCGCACATAGACCATCGTTCCGTAGAGGAGTAATGGCGGCCTTCCCTGGACGAAGGTTCCGTCAGCCAAAACCTGGGCGTTCTTCATCAGCATTTGAGTGCGGGGTATGCGCACATCGTGGAGCCCCAGGAAACCATTATTTACGCCATTTCCACCCAGACGAGGTCCTATATCACCCACATCGACGCCAGTCAACGGCTCATGGGTGCTCTCATCCCGAATCCTCACCAAAAATGATTGCAGGCCATAGTGCTTTCCTTTCACATAAAGCTGTGCCAAAACAATGGCCACATTAGCGGTGTTACCCAATCCCCCGGGCCACCATTTATAAGAACTTTGGGTGGGTGTATTCAGGACGAACTCCTGTCTCTCCGGATCGTAGTCCGCTCGGGTTTCCAGACCACGAACAAAGGTGCCGTGGCCCAGTTCTGTTTGAGCATAGGTTCCCAGGACACCGTCCATGTGCCAGGATCGATTAAGCCACTGGGCCTGCTGCTCCTCGGTTCCCTGACTCAACAAGGTGGTCATGAACATGGAGAAGTGCACGCGGAGGGGAAAACTCTGCTGGAAAAGGCCAGTGCCCAGGGATCCGGAAAGGAGCAGTCGGAAATCCCTTAGCATGTTTACACTGAGATCGAGTTGGGGCTGCTTTTCCCGCTGCCATTGGCGAAGTTTGGCCAAAAAGCGAGTGGATCGGGCTATGGTCTGTTCGTAGCGCTCCTTGTAGGACAAACAGCTCGGATGTACAGGCTCCACGAAGTCAGGATCGTCGTAGAAACGGCGATCCAGGGCACGACGCTCCTCTAACTGGGAAGAACCACCCGCCCACCAGCGGGCAAAGTCCTCGCTGTCCAAAGTGGCAGCCGCCCGCTCTTTCTGCAGATCCGCATTCACAGACATGATCGCTATAACTCTCGATCTCTCTCTGAATTTTATTTCCCTCCAAGACTTCCCAACTCCTCCGGTCGAATTGCTTGATTGCACTGAGCATCGGTGGCTGCAGAAAACAATTTTGCAGCCCGCAACATAAGAGCGAGGCCTCCACAGACGTGGTCCTAAGGGGGGATCTATGCGATTCCCTATCGTTATCTTCTTGTTAATGTTGAAAGATTTGCAGAAGTTTAAATACTCTAGAAATTCAGAAGAGTGTTTTCTCGTATATCAAATATATTGCAACATATATTGATGAAGAATTGAAACCCCTTTGGATCATCCTGCCACCACTGCTTGTCTTTTTTTCTCTGGGCTTTGGCTGCCCCAACCGGTGTTGTTGCTGCATAGGAGTCACTGAACTGTACACTGAGCTGGCTGAGGGTGGACCTTGTTAGTTTAAATTGAAATGTAAGCTTTGCTATTAAAGATTTGCACTTGCTAAAAGTGCTGGTTCACCCTATGGCGGGATGGAGCAAAGTGCGTAGTGATCTGGTGGTGTCTTATCTTCTTGTTTTTTCTGGGTCATCGTCGACAACAACAAAGGACTGGAATAGCATTAAAATATAATCTAGACTATTCCTTGATTCTTTAATATTGTTTAGAGAGAGCAAATGCCCAATATTTTTCCATAGGTAGGTTCCATAACAATATTTCTGGGACCATAATAGTTTGTTTATGTTTTATTTCTATTTTTGCAGGCCTTTTGTTATCAGCTTAATGCTTGTTAATCAGAGGTAAATGTATGACGGGGTTCGGAAACTTAAGATAACCTTCTAGGTCATTGCCAAATATATTTAAACATCCAAAAATAAACCATTCAGAAATGTCTTTATATTAAAATAGGATTTAATATTCGCATTTAATTTATACTCTCTTGTTCATTCGTTTATCAGTTCAAAAGAATGATCAACAAAAGTTAACATTAAAGAAAACTATAAATTTTCCATTCATCGGGTAGAAGAAAAGTAGAAAAACGAAACAATTCGTTAAAAAATTTAAACGTTAAAAGCGTAGATTAACATTAGCAGTAGCAGTTTAAGGTGACCATCAACAGAATTTCCCTTTAGTATATTTGGTATATTACGCATATTCCTACTAAAATGTATGGGCGCGCGTTTGAAATTGATATAGCTTTTGCTTTTCCTTTTAAGTTATTTAATGGTTTATTAAATTAAATTCATTAACTTCATTTGCGGCATAAATATCCTCTGATTATGTGACCAAGCTGACTGGGTATTTTTGTTGTGGCCCGTTCACGGTCACATTGCGACCAGCTGATCGCCGCGTGCGGTTTTTCTTTTGGCGATTTTCCTTATTTGGCTTTTGTTGTTTTGGGCCGCCGGTACCGCTTAGCACTCCGTCTCTCTCGCACTATCTCCCTCTCTGTCTCTATCCCACCAACGGCACCGCTATGGGCAAGAACAACAAGCGCAACAAGAAGGCCAAACAGCAACAGCCACAACAAAACGGAGCCACTGCACCTTCATCTACTTCCGGCGAGGATGTGGAGGACCAACAGGCGGCAAGGTCATTGCCCAGTTTAAACTCAAAAAAGAGGAACCAGGTGAACAAACTAGTGGAGGAACTTAATGATCTTGTGAAAACGCAACCGGCGAATCCCAACGAGGAATGGAAGCAGTACGAGCAGATGCAGCAGCTTCTGAAACAAATCATGATCCTGGAGGAGCCAATTAGCCAGGCAGTCTGTCCACAGATCAGCGACTCTACCGATGAGCACTCCCGTTTGGCCAAAGTCGAAGCCTTCAGTGCGTGGGCCAAAGAGGGAGGTGTCCATAGCGAAGGACTCGAGATAGCCATCTTTCCCGGTTACCAGCTGGGTCTAAGGGCCACCCGGCAACTGACCAAGGAGGAACTGGTGCTCAGTGTGCCTCGGAAACTCATATTCATGGCTCAGGCCACCCACTTGAATCTCGCCTACGATCTGCTCATCGAGAAGATTCGCGGCGAGCATAGCGAGTGGCAACCGTACATTGATGTCCTTCCCGCCAAATACAACACCGTTCTGTACTTCACCACGAAGCAGATGGAGCGGCTCCGGGGAACCGCCGCCTGTTCGCTGGCTTTGCGTCAGTGTCGTGTGATTGCCAAGCAGTTCGCCTTCCTCTACAGGTATGCCCACATCCTGACCGATGCGAGCAAAGGAAAAACCAACCAGCCTGGGGAAAAAGGCCTCTTCTTTACGCAGCGCGGACTCTGCTACAAGCTCTACAGGTAAGTTTCTAAGTGAAGGCTACTATCTGTAATTCCTTTATCTATCCTAGGAGGCAATGTAGTTCTGGAAAAAGATCATCCTTATACCTTGAGATCTGAAACTTTGAAATATGGAATTCCTTTATTAGATAACCAAACCAGGAAATAGGTTTCTTGGCCATGTTTTAAGACATTAGATTAGTTTCCTTACATGAACTATTTAAAGTTCTCTTCAGTTATGTTTCTTTTCGGAACTCTCAACTGCAAACCAAGCTGCAGTGTTATTCTTATTTGAGTGTATATTTTTGTTTTAGATTGACCCTATTAGCAGGGAATCCTTTGAATCTGTCAGTTGCCGTGCATTGCCCATAAATTATATGTACTTTTACAGCTGGTGCTGTTTGTTGTTAAGCGAAAGTACAGATGGCCCGACCATTGTTGACCTTCCCGTCTGGCATTGTGATCGCATTGTTTTGCCGAAGATCTATTTACGGATCCGCTTCCACTTTGTACGGGTCATGGTGCACTGGGCAAACTTCGGGATCTGTATTTATAGTGCCGCGGTTTCGAAACCAAACTTCGGGGGCAGTCCAAAAAGCCATCGAGTGAGTCATACGAGTGCTTCGAAATGTTTGAAATCTTTGCCACAATTTGTTCTACATTTTATTTCTCAAAAAAATCAAATTGAAACTTATTTACATACATATTTGAGCGTGCTTAAATATATATTATGTATATATATATATATATATATATTCTGTCGCCAGATGTTCTACTGCCTAGTGAGAGGGGGCGGGGGTGGTAACGAAATCAAATCAAATCAAAAATATAGTGCCTGCTCTACGAGACAAACACAAGTTTTTCTTCTATTTTTTCCTTGTTGCTTTTTGCAGTGCATTTGAACATTTTAAACTATTAGTGTTGTCGTTTGCTTTTGTTTGTTGTTGTTGTAGTTGTAGTTGTTGTTGTTGTTCTTGGTATTGGTATTGCTGTTGTGCTAATGACCACGCCCATCTAGCGCCCATCTATGCTTCGCCTTGATCTAATTTGAATAGAATTTTTGGTATTTTAGTCAGTGCCAGAAAGAAATTTTCGCCTTGGTTAAATCGTATCGAACTCAGTTTTCCTCGTCTTATTTTTTGTTGTCGTTTTTCTCTCATTAATATTTATTGTCCTCATAAATGGTTTTCATCTTCTATCCTCGACTTGGGCTTTTCCGTGGGGGGAGTGCCTGAACACAACTGTACTTTTTGGCTAAGATTCTGTTCTCGTTCTCATTGTTTAAGTTAGTTTTTCATTTTTCGTTTTTATCTCGTGCTTAAGAAACCCATTTGAATGCCGTGTCCTATGATTTAGTTGAAAGAGTCGCTTTAGTTGATGGTTTATCCGTACATTAGATCTAGATAGTTGGAAACGATAGTTTGACGAGCTTAGAGACTAGCAACAGTGCGCGGCATAAACATAGGGCGTTTGTTTTTAAATCAATCATGGGGTTAACTCCTCCTTCTGTCAAAGATCCTTCAAAAATCTGAATTTGTTTCAGCCAATCAATCCAAACCACCTTATGGCCATGCCACGCACTGTCTAAATGTGTTTTCTAGGTTTATTTTTTTGTTTTGTTAGTTTTACTTTCTCTCACAGAATGTTCCTCTAATCGAGCTCAAAAAAATTCCACCTCCTCTACCTGCTTAAACTAATTAATCGACTAACTTTTGCTCCTTCGCGTTCAGTGTGTATGTTTGTGTGTGTTTGTTGGGGAATGTGATGGTGTGTGTGTGTGTGTGTACATTTATATAAAACTTGGCCTAAACAACGGTCTATTGTTACTAGAGGAGCCTATTGCCTAATGCCTAATTGTCGAAGGATTTGCGCAGCGTGTCAAAGAGATATTCCTGCACCTCCGGCGAATTGGGATCCATGGTGTTCAGTTTCTGGTGAGCACTTCTCAGTGAAATGGCCAGGCCACGCCCACTCAAAGCCTCTGGCGGGGCAGGTGGTGGCGCCCCCGTTGCAATGCTGGTATTCGTGGTGCTATTGGTGGTCAGTGAGGTGGCGGTGCTCAAAGTTGCCGAGCCATCGCGGGCAAAGAGCAGAGAACTCTGCCGCTGCAGTTGATGGACGGGCGTACAACAGGCCACCGAAGTGGAAATGCTGGCAATTCCCGCTTTCGATCCCGTTTTCGATCCCGATCCTGATCCCGAACCGGATCCAATGACCAGCTCCTCCATATGCTGGCGTATCGAGGGACGACGCGATGGCTGCACCATCTGTGGCAGCTTGCTCTTCATCGCATTGTAGGTTCGCAGGTAGCTGCTCTTCCTTCTGCGCTGCTGTTTCCATCGACAGACGACGAAGATGACCAGAAAAGTGGCCAAAGCCGTGACCACAATCGCTGTGCTAGCCACAATTGCTGACTTAATCCCGGATGGCATGCTGGCATACAAGCTGCTCAGGTGCTGTTGCGATACGGCCGATGTAGCCGCCGCTGCCGCTGGACTGCGATGGAATCCCGGACCGGAAAGCTCCAGATCCATAAGATCGTGGGCTCGCGCCACCTCATTCTCGATCTCATCGATGATATCATTGTTCGGTGGCAGTCGGCTGTTGTCCATTATCGAGGAGTTGCTGCCGCCATAGGGACTTACGCTCAAATCGATGTCGATGCTCGTGGGCTCTGAATCAGGATTCGGGTCCACCTCCTGGGAACTGCCTTCGAGCAGCAGTCGTGGCGGTGGGAGAAAATAGGGATTCCTTTCTTCCGTGGCCGTGGCCAAGGAGGCTAGCGCTAAAGTCTTCCACGATGGGAAGAATCCCAGCGACTTCTCACCTCGCGAATTGATGGATATCGTTCCCGTGCCCGCTCCAATGGTCGCCGATGATGTCTGTGCGTAGGCGGGACCTGAAAGGAAAGCATTTGAACGACAGGAAGCTGAGCGAGATAGATGCAGAGATATGGACGAGAAGCGGGAAGCGGAATGTCATCCATTTGGGTTAATTTTGAATTTTGTATCATTTTCCGAATTTGTAAAAAGGATCACGCAAGGAAAGCATTTCTGGGCAGCTGGCAGGCAGGGGTCTTAAAGGCTACTTAAATCCATTTTACCAATACTTTAATTGTATTTAATATTAATGTTTGAACTTAAGGAAACTATTCGATTAACTTTATATTAGTTGCTCGTTTGAAAACTACTTTTGTTTGGATAAAGAAGTGTTTGTAGATCTTATCGACTGGTGTTCCTATATGTAGTAGCCCGCGAAGGAGCAAAAGACATCGATCGACTTCATCCTGACCTTTCGAGACCCCTCCTGCCACTGCCCCCGCTCCTTATCCCATTTCCGCCCCTCCCCTCGGCCCATCGCTGGCGCTGTTTGCGCAACCTCAAAGCCGTAATACCTCGACTTCCCATCGGTTTGACCTCGTCATTCGGCTCGATATCGATAATGGAGGTGAAGTAGCTGGAGCCCTGCGAATCCGTCTTAATCTCATCTGGTTTCACGCTCTTCAGATCCATTAGATTGAAGTGCGGAAAGTTCTCGAAGGCCGTCACGATGTCCATGTTGTCCTGGAGCAGAACTTTCTGGCCGGGATACAAGCGGGAGTGCTCATCACCGCCGCTCACGATAGTGGAGAGGTGTAGTTGGCTGGAGCCGCGTTTTCGATGCTCTATCAACTCCTCAAGGGTCATGTTTCGTTGTTCCAGGACTTTGAACAGTCGGTTACCCGATCGCCGATCTTCTATAAGTTCCAGCAGATCGGTGCGATCGTCCACATCGTCTATAATGTTTAACTGGGATGGCTTTCCCGCCGATAACGAGGGTGGTGGTGGTGGTGCATAGGAAGATGGTGGCTCGAAGGAGGGCGAGGGTGCTGGTGCTGCTGGAGTTGGTGATCTAGCTGGTGGTGCAAGGGCAGGTGGTGCTGGCACTCGAGTTTGGTGCGTATGACTCTCCACTTCGTCAAAGAAGTTCTCCAGCTCGTCATCTCCGTAACTGAGCTCATCGCTGCTGCTGCTTTTAGTCGAAGGCGGTGCTGATGTAGTAGAGCTTGGCCCACTGCCAACCAGATTCAGGTCTTCGGCACTGTCACCGATGTTTCCTCCTATAAAGTTATCCTTCAGCCGCTTCTGAACCTCCTTGATACTGGCGTTTCTCAAACGATAGCGGGGATTACCCGGTGGCAAGGATGAAGAAGCAGGTGGTGGTTCTGGTGCCTCGGTGTGGGAATTGCTTTCCCCCGACTCGGCTTCACTGGAATCGGGCTGTTCTTCGTGTTCTTCAGGCCCCTGATTCTCATGACTCTGATCTTGATCCTGCTCGTCATTCTTGAGCCTCTCCTCAGCCTGCTCGTCTTCTCTATCCCTTTCCTCCGAGTTTTCTCTCTCCTCCTCTTGGCTTTCCTCCAAGATACTAGCCACCGTGGTAGTTGAGTAAGCCGTGCTGGTCTCCACTTCTTGAGTGGTGGTCACTGCCGCTGCCGTGGTGGTGCTAGTTATCTGCTTAAAGAGTCCCGGTGGCTTTAGGGTGGACCGCAAATGTTGTCGCTTCTTGTAGACTGGCACGCGGGTGGTGGTGCTACTACTTGTTGTGCTGCTAGTGGCCATAGTGGTGCTACTGTGGCCATTGATTCCGCCCAGAATGCGTCTTGTGGTGCTGCTCTCCCGCGAAGAGCTGCCAAAGAGCTTCAAGCGCTGCAGGGCGGTGGGGAACTTGGCCTTGTTTTTGTTGATCAAACTCTCATCCTCATCGTTGCCAGAGGTGCTACTGGTGGTGTACGCAGCAGGTAATCTCCTTACGCCCTGTTTATTTGCTTGGCTGGGTGACTTCTTCTGGGTATCTCCTCCTCCTCGGTTCGCGGCAGAGGAGGGATAGGTGGATGCCGGTGGGGCAACAGCTGTGGTCTGCAGAGCCAAAAGGGCATTTTGTTTACCCTTGAGAAGATCATCCAATGAAAGATTCTTTTGCTGCAGGATTTCACTGAGACTCAGGCCTCCGGAATTCTTCAGGATGTTCTTTAGATCCACAGAGGTTTTGGTTGGACTTGCCACGCCTGCATCGGCCAAAGGTTCCTTTTTGGCCTGCCCATATGGACGGCGATAGGCCTTGCTGGGATTACTGCTTTGAGGACTGGCATCCGTTGGGTCCACTCGCTGGCGCTGTTTCTCCCGTTCGCGGTCCCTTTCCAGAGCTGCCATGGGTTCCCTAACCAAAGGTTGATTCCTTCTTCGCAGTGCTTCTGCATCATCCTCCACATGACCGCGCCAATAGGCTGCGGTTGGTTCTGGCCCAGACTCCTCTTCCGTGGCGCCCATTGTGGCCAGCGGCAGTTGGGGGCGTCGCTTTCGCTTGCGAGTTGCCAACTGAGTGGTTCGACGGCGATTGGTTGATCCACCATTTCCGATTCCATTGCCATCGCCAGAGCCCTTGTTATCCTCCACAATGAGGGAAACGCCCGTTTGCAGGAGCTGCAAGCCAAAAGACATAAGGAGTTGTTTATTTAGAAATATTTTCCATGATTAAAGATGAAATCGTGTAAGGTGTGTGTGTCTTTGTGTGTGTGTGAGTGACATTCCTTCCTCAATTTGTAATCTCTCATTAAATCCAAAAGACTTTCCCGCAGTCCATGAAATACATTCCCATGTTTACATGGAGGAGTTGGTGTGATGGATGGATGAGCTGAAGCCATGTGATTGATGGAATATATAAATATTTGGCCCGCTCTTTATTGACTTTCCCGCATAATCAGCTGCCCCTAAAACGCTGGGTAAAACCAACGTTCATTTTGGGCTATTGACATCTAATCAAATGTCTGTTGTTTATTGAGGGAAAAGCCATCTGGTGCACTCCACCGCCATTTCCCAAGAAAAACGGCAAAGAAAATGTCCTTCATAAACTACCTTTTTATGTTATTGATATCGAAGTCTGGATGGCTTTTAATACTTTCCGACATTGCAAATATTTAATGGCAAGCTCATAAGGATCCATCTCGTCAACAGGTCGTATACTTGACAATTTTGATTAGAAAAATCTATATTTCTCAATTAAATAGTTAAGTTGGTTGTCGCCAATTGAATAATCCAAATAACCGAGTCCGTAATTATAAAATCGCCTCCAGATACCATAAGCTTTATGGTTTGGTATCCTCCTGATAGCCTCCTCCACAGGTACTTTAGTGCTTATGTAATTAATTTTCAATCAATTTTCGACTAAAAACAGAACCGGAAGGAAGCTGGTCTGAAGACAGGATTGATTATGAACAGCCGGAATGCACATATATGTATGTGTATGTGTATGTGTGTAGGCCATGAATAATACATAGAAATTTGTGTGCATAGGATGTTTGCCTTTGATTAACTGCTGGAACAGTCGGTAGACATCTCCGTCATCTAATCAGACTAATGCATTATGACATCCCAGTTGTGGTTTCAACCTTTTGACTCAAACTCATCGATCGCTTAGACAGATGGGCGGCTAACTATTTTGATGGAAAACTTGTGCACGAATTGAGAACTCATTATGATGCCAAGGAAAAGACGAGTACAAGGAATCCTGCTGACACAAAAACAGGCCCACAAACAATGCGAAAATAATGGAGAATGCAAGCAAGAATGGGCAATCGTTGCATAAGCCCCGGAAAATCGAATTGAGTCGTTTGGAAAAATGGAATCGAGAATGCAGCCTCCGACTATTACACGCATTTCTCTCACGTCATTTGCCGTGACATCTCTTTCCAGTCAGCTTTCTCTGCCTTGTTCTTTTTGTTTCTTTTTGTTCCATCTGCTCCATTTTCAATTTGGTCTAAGTTTCTGGCATTGCCCCGTGAAAGAGGGTGCGGAAGTGCGGAATGAGGGCCACAAATAGAACAAGGAGAACAAGGACTGCAGAAGTATGCATGCATAATGAAGACAGACGAAGGCTGGGAAATAAAGAGACCTCACGTCGGCAATCGGATTGTATCGTAAGAGTCTCAACTTGTCCGGCGAACAAATACGGCAAAGCCAGGCAAAACTGTTTGCCAGGACATCAGGCAATGGTATTGTTTTTTCTTTCTTGTTTTTATCCTTCAGATACATAGGTGTGTAGGATACATATGGTGGATTATACACGAAATTAGAAATTGAGGAATCGAAAGAATTAAAAGATGAGTTTCACCCAAAACCCCAATTACAAGAAAAGTATTTTCCTCTTTCTGTCTGCTAGGAAACACTTCACTACAGCATTCAGCAGTCCAGTAGTCAAAGGCATGTTTTCGAGACATATTATTTTTGAGACGTAATGACAGGGCATAGTTCGAAGGGCAAAAGAGCTGCAGAAAGCCACAAAAGATGTCGGCAATTCGAGTCACTTGAAAATGTCAGTTTGGGGAGTTTATTAAATCCAGATGGCTGCCTGACTGGCTGGCTGACTCACTTCCCCCTTGCAAATGACAGGTGAGACGCGCACCTGGCATCCTTCATCCATGCTTGCCAATGGCAGATGACTCTGTCAAATGGTGGGAGGGGGGAAGGGAAAACGTTGCTGTTTTTGTGTGACCATAAAGCCAGACGATTTCACATCGATAAATGTCAGGCTGCGTTAGCAAAAAGTACAGTTGTCTTCGAGGACAATAAGTCACTCAAAAAAGTCTAACAATGTAAATTATGGTCTCCTAGCAACTTCCAACTAATTTTCCTTCCCAGTTATCGATAAAAAAAATAAAGAAACTGCAGTCCCCAAAAAAGTACAGCTGCCTCCGATGCAGCCGTAAGGCTGAAAAAATATATAAGTCAGCAAAGGAAAAGTTCGTCATACTTAAAAACTTAACGGCGCATTGAAGTTCAGTTATCCGATTAACTGCAATAGGGGAAAGTGAAGAAAGTAAGGAAAGTGCCCGACTCTTGAATGCTGATTAACTTTTTCGTAGGTACAGTCGACGCAAAAGGGCCGCATAGTCCTGGCTGGAGACTTTCCAACACTGGCAATGCCACCTGATAACTTATTACTTTTAATAAAAATAACCCGTACTGCTGTGCTATGGAAAAAGCAGGGAAGGCAGGAAAGACATAACAGCCAATACAAAGCCTTCGGGAAAAAGTTGAGAACTTCTCTGCTCCTTTTCACTGCTGGCCAAAAATAAATACGGCCAAGAGCAGAGCAGAGCAGAGGAAAAAAAAAAAAAGAAAAAGAAAGGTGGAAAACTTACTGCAATGGCTGTTCTTGCTCTTGTCCATGGTGATTTCTAACAAAGTGAGTGGCGAGGCGACTCCCGCCCCCTAACCACTTCAAACAAGTTGCTGCTTTTCATAATTAAATTGAAAAATTTATGCACAATTAAATGAAAAACTTTTCTTTGTGGCCGAACCACCAGCAACCGCAGCAAAGCGAAGAAGCCAAAAATAACCCAAAACTGGGGGGAGATGAAGGGATCGGTCAAGAGTCGACTAAGAGGTACCCTTGCTCTCTAAAGTCGTTTCGTATTTTAAGATAATTATAAATTATAGTTAATATAACTATCCTAGCCTGCCTCGTAACTCTTTCTAACTCTCTGTCTTGCAGATGGGCCGTATCCACCGTGATGACCCGGCAGAATCTGGTGCCCAGTGAAAAACAGGAACCGGATAGCAGTCCCAAGTTCATCTCGGCCTTGATACCCTATTGGGACATGGCGAACCACAGACCGGGCAAGATCACCTCCTTCTATGCCGCCGTTTCCAAGCAACTGGAGTGTACTGCCCAGGAAGACTGTGCCGCCGGCGAGCAGTTTTTCATCTACTACGGCGATCGGTCGAATACCGATCTTCTAGTCCATAACGGGTAAGGGCTTTGCCTCGAGACTAAAATCAATACAAATTAAAATCTAATTTCTAATTTCTTTGACAGCTTTGTGGACGTGAACAACCTCAAGGATTATGTTAATATTCGCGTAGGCCTGAGTCCCACGGACCCACTGGCCGCGAAGAGGGCAAGCATTCTGGAAAAGCTCAACATCCGGCATACTGCAGAGCTGCGCGTTCTCCCAGCGCCAGATTTCATCTCTAAGGAGCTGCTGGCCTTCGTTCGGGTGTTCAAGATGAGCGCTGAACAGCTGGACCATTGGTGCAGCGACTTGGAACGAGCGGGTGACCTGCTGCACATCGATTGCGCCCTAGAAACGGACCACGAAACAAGAACCTGGCAGTTCTTGGAGGACAGATTGAAGCTGCTTCTGGCAGTCTTCGATAAGGAAATGAGAGAGGCAGACGAAATAAAGGAGCTGTCTGAGCTGGAGCTCAAGAAGGAGGGCAAAGCCGACCAAGAGATCGAGATCATGCTGCTGCTGTACCGCCGCCTGGAGAGAAGCATCCTCGCCGGAGCCCTGCAATACGCCCAGGAGCATCGCAAGGTCTAGGGATAAAGTGAAGCCCTACCCTGAAGCACATCACCCACACAATTCGAGTGGCCATCGAAAGCGACATCAATAACTCAGCATTAGCAATTAGCTACCATTTTTTTTTTTTCTACCTTTACTTAACTTATTTTAACCGAAAGTTTTAGTCGAGTGTTTTAGAAGTTGGATACCAAATCAAAGGATAATTCTACAAGGATCGATTGTTGTAGATATCGAGCTACGGAATACTCTGCTCGAATTTACGCTCGTGTTCGTCTAGTGTTGTCTGCCCAATCTAGTTTATAGCGTTTAATTGTTTTATGTTTGTTTATTTTTTTATTAATTTAATAATAACAGTTTTAGTATTTTGGAATTAAAGAATGAAGTCAAACTAAGGTCTATCTCTCGAACCTCCTTCTGGACTTTATCTTTTCAAGTTATGATCTGGGAAAGGAAATCTCCACTTGGATTCATTTAATTGCCAATAACTAATTGACTTGCCAGACGTCCAGCTGTGACAGCCTCAAAAACCAATCAATTTGCAAAACCAATCCCTCCCGCACACCACCACCAAACAATCACGCACACGCACACTCTGATATATATATATATATATATGTATATGTGCTGGCGGATGCCTTCTGGCGTTGTCTGCAGATGTAAAGTATTTGATTGCAGCCAGTGTGGAGGTCAGAGTTCAACTTTAGTGGGCGGAGCGTGAGGGCGGAGACTCACGAGCGGAAACGGAAATGAAATTCTACATTTAAATTCAATTCAACAAAAAATAAATCAATTTAACATGTAAAAGCGGATCTCTTGATAGGGATTAACTTTCACTAAAAAAAGGAATATTTAGATAGTTAACCCATCTTAATTGGTAACATTCTTCGATTACTATATAAACATTATGATTAGTTATAGTTAAGTGGAAAATCCAAACAGATTTCCAGCAGATCACGCAGCCATCCCAGCATTCAGATTGAGCCGTATTATGGGAGTGGGAAGTGGAGAGTGGGGAATGGAGATTGGAGATTGGGGAATGACGCCCTCACTGAAACATCGAAACATCGGGAACGACAACAATGCACTCCAAATTGCAGCTCCTAGTGGTGTTAATTATGGACCCAATGACGATTGGGAACCCCCAATTCGACTGCCAATGGCGATGATTACGGGGCACTATGCTGTTGTTTGTTGTTTTTGTTGTTGTTGTTGTGCCGAACAGCATATACTCGGAATGGAAATTGGTAAGGGGGGGGTGGAACTATGGATTCGACGGTGGGAGAGAGGCATGTCGCCAAATTGCACTGGCAAACACTTTGGAAGATGTCATTAAAATGGCTCGACTACCCACAAAAGCCTCCAACGCCCCCCCATCCCAGCCATCCACTCCCACCATTGACATTTGATTTGACACTCGAATAGCTATTTTCCGTATTCACATTTCGCGCCACGCCTCCTCCCCTCCTGGCCGTTTGCCTCTCGCCCTTTTTCACCCACCCAACTTTTCCCACCGAGTTGGCACTCAATTTTCACGCTCGTTGGAAAAGTGATTGGAAAAGAGCGATGGGTGGGAAGGGGGGAGGCTGGGTAGAGAAAACGATGTTTGGCCAGTTGATTGAAATATTTGAAATATTCGAATGAGACGACACCGGAAACTGGGTCGCATCGATACCATTTATCGTTATCGATTCGCGCCGCCTTTCTGAGCCATTTTCCTCTCTCTATTTCCGTCCAGAGCTTTTCCTAATTGCTTTGCAACAATTTTGTTTTGCCGGCCAAGCAATTAGCAAATGACAAATGCCCCAGCCTCGAAAAGAACCGCCCCCCCCCGGTAAACCCCTCTCCCGCCCGGTAAAAACAATCCTCCTTTTATGGAGGCCGACCGCAGTGCAAACTTAAGCTGCTTAAAATGTATGCAACATGGGTCATAAAAATGATGACCGTCCCGTCCCCCTGTCGGACAAAAAGCGAACCGAATTGTTTACGTTGCGTGTGCCAACACATAGAATACAGGGTGCTGTGCTTAAGGGGTATCTCTTGTCCTTATAAAGGAGCTTTCGTAACATAGTTTGGTAATATTTTATAGCCTTAAGGCTGTTCCGTATTGAAAAGACGAGAGAATGCGAGAAAAGCAAAGAGATAAATCTTCAAAAAAAGAAATATTAAATATTTGAAAAAAAAAGATATAAGATAATGCCAGGACACCCTGTACTTGAATAAATAAATGCCAGAGTGTGGCTTTGTCTGGCATGTGTCCGCTTTATTTGCTCGGAAACTGTTGCCAACTGTTGGAATTCTTTTTGTATTTTGTTGCCATTTTTTGTTGGCCTATAGTCTGAAATAAATCTACGCATGTTGTCGCACACGCACACGCACACCCAAACACACACACAGCAGCAGAAGCTCAGACACCCACACAGACAGGGAAAAACAAGGATTCGTTGCCACACGGACACGTGGTTAGAGCCATGTTTGTTTTAATCCATGCTTTGTTTCAAACCATACCCCCCGCCTAACCCCTAGCACCCCATCTCCTCTCTTCTACATTTGTGTGGGTGCTTAAATGCCCATGTGTATATATATATATATGTGTGTGTGTGTGTGGGCATGGCGCTTAAGCACTTAAGCGCATTTCCATAGATTTTAAGGCGATTTCATTTTCAACGCTCATTTGCATGCGACCAATTGGCATTGTATCATTTTATCATTGTGTATCGTGTTGCTCAGCTTGTTGTTGCCACATGCATAGTATTATTAAGTTATGCTCTTTGTTGCCGCCTGTCAATTGATTGCATTTATTTGCTCAACTTAAACGTTTTTGCAATTGGCTTAGTTTGCATTCTGACATTTGCGTAAGTCAAAATGCCAACGCCAACACGACGGGAACCGACTAAAGCCAGTCCGTCCATAGTGCTTTATTTAATTGGTAACAGATCAAAAAAATTTATATATGTATATATATTCGAGTATATAGTATGACAAACTGCATATTTAACTTATCATATAGACAAATTGATTGACATTAAAAACCTCTGCTTTTCCCAAAAGATTTTCTTAGTCAGGCTTCTGTTCTTTTTTTTTTATTTTGGCATTTAATTAACGACAATGTAGGGATTAAGTGCAAGGATTTTCATATTTGTTTGGTTCTTTTTTGTATTCTACTAAAGCATATGTATGACTTTCTGGACTAAAGGCTAGTCGGGTTAAATTTAAAATCTCGAAAAATAAGAAAATGTGGAAAGTTAACTTTAGTTTTCCACAAAAGTGGCTTTGATAAAAAATCTTAAAAAATATATTTCACATTCCACATACTTTTCGATGTCGGAAATGAACTTACGCCTTCTTCTACTTTAAAATGGGCGTGTCTTCGCAACCCAGCAATATGATTAACTGCCAGCAATGAAGCGAAAATTGTTCCGCAGCTGGTGCTGGTGCTGCTACTGCTGCTGCTCTTGCTGTTGCTGCTTCGTCTGAGTTGTTGCATGTGTTGCATACATTGGAGTTGTTGCACATTATTGCCTGGAAGGCAGTGGCAGAAAGGCAAATGCCAGGTACGGGGCCATAAAAACAGATGGTAATCTGCGTAAGTGGAAGTGCCAGCAGGTGTTGCTTGCTTGCTCACGAAAATCAAAACGAGAAAATGGAAGCGGCAGATCTTAAATTCGAGCCACTTGCATATTGATTCAGTTAGGTCTGCACAGGGGAAAATGTCTAGTTTGATTTCCCAAAATCATATTCATTCTTGATTAAGAATTTCTGTGTCCAATTTAATGTCCCTTTAGATTTTCCTTGAGATTACTTAGAATTCCCTCACTCTAACCATCATTTGACGCAGAAAGATTGTAATTTTCTTTGAGTGACTAATTTGTAGAGTAGTGAGTGCTTTTCACTTTCCTCTCATGCATATTCGTGAAGGAACTGCGAGAGTGGGCGACTGTCAGTTGGTCCTAACAAGGTTAAGTTGAATGGAAACTAATTTGCATGGCACGTGACTGTACCCCAGAGCTCCCGGCAGAGTTGCCAGCGCCGTGTTTGTTTGCAATTAACTCGGCCATTGTTGTCAACATTGTTGCAATACCCACGCAGCAGCGAGCGCTACTTATTTTATTTGCTAATTGCAACACTCAGGACGACAAGACGACGAAAGTGCTTGACAAGTTTAAGTTTGTTGCAACAGACAACGGCAGTGATTCACAAATATATATATATATATACTGGCAACTATATATATATATAGTCGTATATATAGAAAAATAGAAGGCCGAGCTGCTAGCGGAACGGCAAACAAATTAAAAGTGACGCATTTTCCTTACTTCTTCTTCTTCAGTCGAGTCTTTCCTTTGCTTTACTTTCCACGCTGTCCAGTAATGGCAAAAGAAACCATGACGGATTCCTCTGATTCACCGGAATATCTGAGCAGCAGTCGGAAAAATCCCCCAGCTAATCTCCATAATTGAAGGAGAAATACAAGGGAAATATTTCTATTATTTTTCATGATAAGCAGGTGGTTTTGGTGGCCAAAGGAAGGGTCTTTCCTTTTAACAAGCAACTTGTTATGGATTAAAAATTGAAAACCATATTCTTAGGCATACTATCAAACGAACTTATAGCTAACCCAAAGAAGAAATCACCCAGCTACTCTATTATTTTCCAGGGTATTTCGCTTTCCACACCTTTTTCAGTTTGCGGCCCCACTTGCCCTCTCACTTACTTTGTGCCTTTCAGCGTTTTTTACACTCTGCACTAGTTGCAATGGCTTGCACATCGGCATCATTGGGGTTCCAGCTGCATAAGCTGAAAACAAGAGGTCGCCGTGGGCGTGGCATTAACCCAAAAAGCCAGCAAAGCTGACGACGTTTGTTTTCCCAGGACCCTCGACTTGAGTTGCGAAAATTGCGAGGCGAAGAAAAGCCGGGCGGCTTAAGTGCAGCCAAGAGAGAGGCGAAGGAAAACTCATTGCTATGCTTATTATTTTTGCATTTCTGCGAGGGAAATTAAGTTTACTGCTAAGGAATACTGTAAGCCCAAGCTTACAGACCAAGCTGTGGGTTAATACATTTACCAGCAAGGAAACTCTTCAATTTGTTGCTGATTTTCAATTTTCAATTGATTTTCAGTATTTATTGTCCCAGCCATTTTACACACAAACACTAACCTGTAATTTTAACCAACAATTATGTGGCAAATAACTGACATTCTAAGCCGAAACCTAACATGATTTATAGCCATTAGCTAGAAGGTTGTTTTCAAATTTCTCCGCAGGCCAATTATGCTTGCCAGCAGCCTGTCAAAACTTCCATCTTTACCAACACCTCGAGACGTCACTCAGTCGATTTAGTTTGGCAAGTAGTTGGCTGGCTTGTTGCCGGCGTTATTGTTAACCAGGCTAAGG